TTCCATCACATCACCCCGTCATTTCATGTCCCCATTAACCCATGTCCCCATCAACCCATGCCATCAATCCATGTCCCCGTCACCTTATGATGCCATCACCCCATTACCCCATGACCATAGCCCCCATGGGCACTTCAGTTCTTCAAGCGCTTTATTCTGCTGCTCAACTTGACACATGTTGACGCTGTGATGGCATGATACCACCTCACCACTCTATCAATCACCCCACACTCCCACCCATCACCCCATGCCACCCCCACACCGCTCTTCAGTTCTTCAAGCGCTTTGATCTGCTGCTCAACTCGGACAACTATGTGACACTGTGATGGCATGATCCCACCAACCTATTACATGTGCCATGCTCCCACACTCCCATCACCCCCATCACCCCCATCACCACCAATGCTCTTCAGTTCTTCAAGCGCTTTGATCTGCTGCTCAACTCGGACAATTATGTGACGAGAAGACAAGCAATCAAGGTACGCCTGACACACACATGCTTTGCCTTGTTAACCATCGATCAGCTTGCGGCTACAGCTGCTGCTGGACCGTGCAAACATGCAAGTGATGATGCGAAATATTGCACCGTGCCTCAAGGGTCAACTTATGTCTCCTTATTCTCATTCCCACCACCCACGCAACCACCCCCATCAGCACCTAGACGAGCTGCTGTTGGACCGGGCAAACATGCAAGTGATAATGCGATGCGATACATCGGAGAGGCACACAACCTCAGCTCTCTCCATATTCCCGTTTTTGAGGCGCCTCAAAAATCCCCAAAAATCGTTTTTGAGGCACCTCAATGGCGCGATGCGATACATTGGAGAGGCACACAACATGCAAGTGATGATGAGGCTTCAGCTCTCTCCATATTCCCATGCTCTCTCCTTTCATCACCCGTGCTCTCATCCTCCATTGCTCCCTGCTCACTCACCCTGTCATCCCCTCGTGCACTCTGCTCAACCACCCCACCCACCGCCATCAGCTGCTGGGAAAGCTGCTGCTGGACCAGGCCAACATGCAAGTGATGATGCGATACATTGCAGAGGCACACAATTGCAGCTCTCTCCTTATTCCCAGTTTCATCACCCCTCTCATCCCTCATGCTCTCCATGTTCCACCCGCTCCCACCTGCCCTCTCCCACCTGCTCACCTCCATTCTCATTAGCTGCTGGGCGAGCTGCTGCTGGACCGGGCCAACATGCAAGTGATGATGCGATACATTGGACTCTCATTCCCTCTTGCTCTATTCTTTCTCACACGTGCCTACCCCTCTACTCCCTCTTGGTCCCCCTGCACATCAGCTGCTGGGCGAGCTGCTGCTGGACCGCGCCAACATGCAAGTGATGATGCGATACATTGCACCTCTCACCTCATTCCATACTCTTACCCGCTTGCTCCCACCTGCCGGTTCTCATCAGCTGCTGGGCGAGCTCCTCTTAGACCGGGCCAACATGCAAGTGATGATGCGATACATTGGAGAGGCACACAACTTCAAGATCATGATGACTCTTATCAAGGTACTGGGGTTGAAGGCATACAGTTGGTCTGCAGAGCAGAACGAGGGCTTGGTTAACGTGAAGAGACTCAGAGGCACACAACTTCAAGATCATGATGACTCTCATCAAGGTGCCGTTTCGATCATGATGGCTCTCATCAAGGTGAACAAAATGCAGAAGGAACAGAGGGTGAGCTACAGAAACAGGGCATTCAAACATCGGAACAGCACAAAAGCACACAACTTCTAGTTTATATTGATATTTTGACACGCTGCAAAAATCGGTTCATCCCCAATGCACTCTTATTAGGTGCGCGCGACAGCCCTATTTTATTACTCGCACAAGCACAGGAAAGTCCTGTACTTTCTTAATCGTTTTTTCCATTTAATACAATTATATTTTTTTCCTGGGTCTTGTCAAGAGCAACAATGCTATAACGCCACCGCCACACCCCACCACCACACCATGACCCACCCACCAATCCCAACCCCCATCAGGACCCCAGCGAGCTATTCAGTACGAGGCCTTCAATGTGTTTAAGGTGCTCCGCCGAGCCTCACCATACCCCATCCCACCACACCCCACCACTCCCAACCCACCATCAGGACCCCAGCAGAGCCATTCAATACGAGGCCTTCCACGTATTTAAGGTGCACCCCCCTTCCTCTGACTCTCAACCCATCTTTCTCTCCTTGTCTGAAACACAATGCACCCAGCCTTTTCTCTTTGCTGTATAACACCCTTTCCCCTTGCATAGCCCCTGCGTGATGCGTCAATACATGGTGTGCCCTATCGCTTCTGCACCACATGCGACTGCCATGTATGATATAATATTACCTTGCTCTATTGTATTCATGTATCTATGTATTTCTGTGTACATTTAAAGTCAAAGCAAAAAGCAGTCCAACAAAGATCGCTGCCTCGCTTTTCATGGTTCCGACCAACACCCCCCCCAGATATTTGTGGCAAATCCTCGGAAGCCGGAGAAGATAGTGAAGCTGCTGGCGCGCAACAAGGAGAAGATGGTGAAGTTCCTCAAGGACTTTGAGATCGACAAAGGTGCGAGTGGGAGATGATGCGGACCTAAGGTGGTGTGTGCTTGAGTTGGTAGGTGTGTTTAAGATGGTGTGGGTATATGGTGGTGCGTGTAAAGGACCTGCTGGCGCACTACAAGGAGAAGATGGTGACGTTTCTCAAAGAATTTGAGATCGATAAAGGTGCGTGCGTGCCTCTGTGTGGTGGTGCGTTTTCTAAGATGGTGTGTGCTTGAGTTGGTGGGTGTTCAAGACGGTGCATTTCTGCGGTGGTGCGCGAAAACACTCTGCTGGCGCGCAACAAGGAGAAGATGGTCGAATTCCTCAAGGACTTTGAGATCGACAAAGGTGTGTGCTGAAGATGGTGCAAAAGTAAGGCAGTGTGTGCTTGAGTTGGTGTGTATAGAGGCGCCTCAAGTTGCCAGATTCCTCCCGGAGTTGGAGATTGACAAGGTTGTGTGTCGTAAAGTGGGTGTGTTATGATGATAAGTTTGTTCAGCTTAGAATCAGTGAGCACCCTGCTGTCATGAAACAAGCAGAAGCTCGTCAAAATACTCCAAGGACCTTAAGATTGACAAGGGTTCACGTGCTCAACTGATAGACCAAGCTGGATTTGTAATGCAATTTAGGAAGATTCCGCAATGTTACATCCTATGGAATCTTCGCCCCAGTCGTTTGTCCCTTTGTCTTTCCTCACTTTCTTCCCATTTACCTTCCCATTACTTTTCTCTTTCTTTTTCTTGCTGCTTCATCCAGAGCTCATTTCAGCCCTCCTCTCCTTTTGGATTTCCCCCCACAGAGGAGGAAGATTTTGAGGAAGAAAAAGAGATGCTTATAAGGGAAATACAGAATGCTCATTACCCTGGGCTTGGATGAGTGCGTTGTGAGTTTCCATGACCTTTGAGATAACCCGTGAGTTCTGTCATTTACGGTACGTTTGAGTAGTTTTGTTGCATCAGCTACATATATTACAGATGTATTTATTTATCCATAATATCATGTTGCAACATCTAGAAGTAATTCAAAATACGTTCATATGTTGATCTCTAGTGGTGTATGCATTGTGCAGGTGGTTTTACAAATTGTTGGAGATCAGGTGGTTTTACATATTCTAATCTAGGTGGTTGTAATGTGGAATCCTTGTTCCATTACTGAGTCAGAAGAAGGCTACGGTACTGAAATTCATAAGCAGAAATATCGCTGACACACGAGCCACGTCAGCAAAAAAAACAGCGCAACCCCCTCGCATAGAACAGCATCGAGCATCCCAGTGACAAGCCAACCCCAAGGGCCATATGAACTGGTCACCAGACCAGAATCTTGAAATCTCCCATCGACCGTGCGACGCCTGTCATGCTAGAACCAGCAACACATCTCAGTTCATTCAGATGCACTCCGTAATCTAGCAACAACCATTCCTTTTGCATAGGCTTGATATCTTTATAGACCATCAGCTCTATCGGTTACATTTAGCGTGTGCCGCATCATCCGTAGCCTGCAGCTACTCATTCGCGAAAGCGTATTTTTGCCGGTATGTCGCTCCTGGCTTCTCGCTTGAAATCAGCAATGCGTCGACTTTCTCGTTGCCGTTTCGTTCCCAAGATACTCCCTTCCACGCTTCTTCGAAACGTTTCGCTCTCCGCACGCTTCTGCGACTGGTTGCGCACATCATATGCATTACATTCCGCACATACGTTTTGCTCACGTGTTTTAAGCTAGTTGTTTCAAACTTAACCGGAATGTGACTCCATTGGGACTCACTGAATGTCGTCAACACATTGGATGTCGTCAGCCCATCGAATAACCAACTCATTGTATTCCCAATGTCCAACCTTGCTTTCCCTGCTTCCCCTCCTTTTCCCTCCCCACTCACTGAACTCCAGGCTCCACTAACGCCATAAATCACCACAACATCTCTGCCTCGCCTTTGATGCTGTCGCCATTCGCAGCTGGCCGCAACTGAACCACTTGCTGCTTCTGCTGATTCTGCCATAAAAGCTGCCACTGCTGCTCATATTGAAGCTGCCGCTGCCATTTGAACTGCGTGTTGTGCATTTCCGAAGCACCTTGCTTTTGGTTGCAACACGACTGCTAGCAGTGCCGCTCTGAACACTGGCACGGTGCCGCTGTGCCAGGATTGAGCACCGACCTGACTGTACCGACCCGAGACCTGACTACACCGACCCGTGACCTGTCAACACCGACCTGTGACCTGCCTACTCCGACCTGACTACACCAACCTGTGACCTGACTACACCGACCTGTGACCTGTCAACACCGACCATTGACCTGTCTACACCGAGCTGTCAGCATGCCGCGAGCCTCGGCCACACCCTCCAGAAACATTCTGATCGCCGTGGACCCTAGCCCTGACAGGTGAGGCGTACCTGGGAGGCCTCAATACCTTTGCACTGTATAATCACCCTGCACGCCTTCCGAACAGCATCTGTCCCCCACAACTTTTGAGATGTCTCAAGAACCTAGCCCTGACAGGTGAGTCGTACCTGGGAGGCCTCAATACCTTTGCACTGTATAATCACCCTGCACGCCTTCAGAAAAGCATCTGTCCGTCACAGCACCCACAGAACGACACTGTTGAATTGTTCGATCATCACCGTCAACTACGAGCTTATGCCCCCCAGAAACCACATACAGGCCGAATGAACCCCTTTGCCTGAATCATTTTACCTCTTCTTTTGCACACCCCTCTCCCTCACCCCCCAACTCTCCCTCACCCCCCAACTCTCCCTCACCCCCCAACTCTCCCTCACCCCCCAACTCTCCCTCAACCCCCAACTCTCCCTCACCCCCCCCCCTCTCCCTCACACCCCCCCCGCCCTCCCTCTCTCCGGCTCCCCTTCCATATCAGTGAGAAGGCAGTGGCATGGGCGCTCAAGAACCACATTCGTCCATCAGACCGAGTCACTCTGCTGCACGTGCGCCCAGTAGTTGAAAGCGGACCTGGCCTCTTTGCAGGTATGCAGACGACAAGGGTACATTCAGTACATAGTTACATGGTAATTGACTGACTGGTTACATGGTTACATGCTACCTGGTTGCTGCAGTAACCTAATTACATTCCTTTTCGTGCATCTGATCACATTACCATATCAATGTCTGTTTTTTTTCTGTGTACCCCACACACCCCCGAATGTCTCTCTCTTCAGCCTACGCAACTGTTGAGAGTTCTCAAAACCAACCACCGTGTCTCTCTCTTTTCAGCCTACGCTACGCAGAATCCATTCTATCAACAGAGGCAATGGCAGGAGTCGACCATACGATTGAGGAGCACAATGGTGTGGTGTGACGTGTGAGAAGGAGTAACTCTGCACTGTGATGTTTTTATTGCGTTTTGTGTCTGTGTGCCCCACACACACGCCACCGTATCCGCCCCCTCCAGACTACGCGTATCCACGCTGTCAGCAGAGGCCATGGCAGAGGTGGACCGAGTGATTGAGAAGCACAACGCTGGTTTGGTGTGGAACCACTCACTCAGCCAATCTATCTCCGTGTGCCCCACTCACACACTCACCCCTGTCTCCCCCTCCAGCCTATGCGGACTCCACGCTGTCAGCAGAGGCCATGGCAGAGGTCGACTGAGTGATAGAGAAGCACAAAACCGGAGTAGTGTGAAAAGAGTGGCTTTTTTCTCTGTTCTCTTGTGGCTGTGACTTGCCTGTGTGCCCATCCCACACAACCCCTTGTCTTTCTGTCCAGCCTATGCGGATTCAACACTGTCAGCAGAGGCGATGGCAGAGGTGGACTGAGTGACTGAGAAGCACAACGCCGGAGTGGTGTGAAAAGAGTCTCTCTGCTCTCTGGTTTCGTAACTGCTTCTTATACCCCTGTGCTCCACACGCCCTCAAATATCCACCCCTCCAGCCTATGCGGACTCAACACTGTTAGCAGAGGCAATGGCAGAGGTCGACCGAGTGATTGAGAAGCACAGCGTCAAAGTAGTGTGAAAAGAGTTACATTTTCCTCTGTTCTCTTATGGCTGTGACTTGCCTGTGTGCCCCATTCCACACATCTCCTTGTCTTTCCGTTCAGCCTACGCGGACTCAACACTGTCAGCAGAGGCAATGGCAGAGGTGGACTGAGTGATTGAGAAGCACAACGAAGGAATGGTGTGGAAACAGTCTTTCTGCACTCTGGTTTCTTAGGGCAACACCGATCCCTGTGCGTCCCACCACACTTCCCCTCCAGCCTATGCGGACTCAACACTGTCAGCGGAGGCGATGGCAGAGGTGGACCGAGTGATAGAGAAGCACAACGCTGGGGTGGTGTGTTGAGAGTCACTCTGCACTCTGACATCTTTTACGTTGTTCTGATGTCTGTGTGCCCCACCCACACGCCCCAATATCCCTCTCTCCAGCCTATGCGGACTCAACGCAGTCAGCGGAGGCGATGACAGAGGTGGACCGTGTGATAGAGAAGCACAACGCTGGAGTAGTGTGAAAAGAGTGCCTTTTTCCCCTGTCCTCTTATGGCTGTGACTTGCCTGGTGCCCCATCCCACACAACCCGTCGCCTTTCTGTTCAGCCTACGCGGACTCAACACTGTCAGCAGAGGCAATGGCAGAGGTCGATCGTGTGATTGAGAAACACAACGCCGGGGTGCGGAGGAAATTCGTGAGCAATCTGTCGCACCAGCTGGACCAGGCTAAGGTGGGTCATTAGGTGTGCTAGCTGAGAAAGTTAATATTGTGGATGGGTGGGTTGGTGGGTGGGTTGTGGCGGGTGGGTGGGCGGTTGGGCAGGTGGGTGGGTGGCTGGGTGGGTGGCTGGGTGGGTGGCTGGGTGGGTGGGTGAGTGGGTGGGTGAGTGGGTGGGTGAGTGGGTGGGTGAGTGGGTGGGCGGGCGGGTGGGCGGGCGGGTGGGTGCGTGTGGCAGTGCAGAACGCGGTCCCCAGAGAGCACATCTGCAAAAACTCACATGATAACCCTGTGCTTCCTGTCACGTGCTCACTGTGTACCGTGATCCCATCTTTCCCAGGTCCAATACGACGTAGTGGCAGTTCAGGGAGACGTTAAGGATCAAACACAAAGTCCGGATTCCTCTCTCCTTCTGCATTCTCTCTCACACCCAGGTCCAGTACGACGTCGTGGCAGTACCGGACGCGGATCCCAGGGACATGTTAACGTATGAAGACCCAACGTAACCCTACCCCCTCTCTCTTGTCGCATTCTTCCCCACTCAACCACCACCAGGTGCAATACGACATAGTGCCAGTGCAGGGCGCGGATCCCTGGGAGCACCATTGCAAGAACCCGCATGATAGCCCTGTGCTGCCTGCCTGCTTCTGCTCTGCCATCCACCCCTCCCCCTTCTTTTCCCAGGTGCAATACAATATAGTGGCAGTGCAAGACGCGGACCCCATGGAGCTCATTTGCAAGAACCCTCAATTCGCCCATGTGCTCCCTGCTACATGCTCCCCCTGTATCCCCTCTCCTATCTCACCACCAGGTGCAGTATGACATAGTGGCAGTGCAGGACGCGGATCCCAGGGAGCGCATCTGCCACGAGGTGGAGAGGATGAAGGCACACACGCTCATCATGGGTTCACGAGGGCTTAGCACTGTGAAACGGTGAGACAAAGTGCAGTGTGGTGAAGAATTGTGATGAGCGCATCTGCCACGAGGTGGAGAGGATGAAGGCTCATACGCTCATCATGGGTTCACGAGGGCTTAGCACTGTGAAACGGTGAGACAAAGTGCAGTGTGGTGAAGAATTGTGATGAGCGCATCTGCCACGAGGTGGAGAGGATGAAGGCTCATACGCTCATCATAAGGTCCAGAGGGCTTAGTACTGTGAAGCGGTAAGATGCGGTGCAGTGCGGTAAAACAGTGAGGTGGAGAGAGGTGAAGCGGTGAGAGATGGTGCAATATGGTGGAGGGAGGTGATGAGTGCATCTGCCACGAGGTGGAGAGGATGAAGGCTCACACACTCATCATGGGGTCACGGGGACTCAGTACCGTGAAACGGTGAGATGCGGTCCAGTGCAATGGTGCAGTGCGGTGACGAGAGGTGGTGAATGCATTTGCAGCGAAGTGGGGGGGATGCAGGCTCACACACTCATCACAAACACTTTGTATATTGTACAAGGTAGTACCTGCTGACAATGTGCTGTACTCCTTGTCTCAACTCTAACATGGATCCCCCTTTCCGCCACTCCCTTACCCTACCTTCCAGACTGGTTCTTGGAAGTGTGTCGGACTATTGTGTCAACCATGCCACCTGCCCCGTTATTGTCGTGCGGCCAAAGCAATCAGAGACTGCTTGACTCACTTCCTGCCCAAACCTCCTCCTGCTTGAACCTCCCCCTGTCAATCAAGCTACTACCCAACTATAGTGGTACTCCAGCTGTTTAGCAGCGCCGTACAGACAAGCATGTCAATGTGATGCGAAAAGGGTGAAAGTGGCATTGCTTGTGTCACCCACTTGGTGACTCTGCTACACTGTGGTGCCACCAGTGTGAATCTCCCAGGGTTATCTTTCTTACAGACAGCCTTGTACGCTGGTACAGTGCAAGTATGGTACGCGTCATTGGTGAAATACTCCGACTTCAAATCAAGCCACAAAACCCCGATACAACCTGGTTACAAAGAACGACACTTTGCCACTCCATTCGCAGCAACAGACAGCACTTCACACTCAGATGTAGTACTGAACTGTACTGAAGTCCTCAGGAGATCTCATTGAATTAACCTGAACATACAGTAATAGTTACTTCCATATCGCCACTAACGGTGCCAGGGTCAACGGCATGCAGGTGATACTGCAGGATGCAGGCCATCCATCCTTAATTCCATCCAGTAGGGAATCCCCATGTTAGGTTGGTGTATAAGCTGCGATTGATGCACCTCTCATAAAAGACGAAGCGGCTGCGGACCAACTCGTTGCTCAGATCCAGAAAGAATTTTCCCAGCTCATCATTCTTGCAAACGGCCTTGTACACCAGACACTTGTCGGAAAGGGAGCAGACGTGAATTTTCCTGAACGGGTCCAGCGAGATCACGGGATCTGGTTTCTCCATGCGAACACTCACAATCTCTCGCTCAGTTTTCGAGACCTCGACCCACTCCCCGTTAGCAGTAAGATGGATAAGATCTTTCAGATTACTGAACCCCGTTGGGAAATCCTCCTCTACCGGGTTGGGTGTAGAGAGAACGAGCTGTTGGATGGAAGGCATGGAGGCCTCACCATACCATCCCACCGCATACTTATACACCGGTACCTCCCTCCATCCTATCACCTGCATGCCATTGCCCCGAGCCTCTATCACATCCTCCACCACTGTGGGAAAGGGGAGGGGTTGGGGGGGGGGGGGGGGGGGGGGAGAATGGTGGGGGCTGTGAGTGGTGCAGGAATAATGGTGGAGGGGGGGGGGGGGGGGCAGGGGGAAGAGAGAAAGATTACCCAGCTATACACCCCTGCACTACCATTTTTATTTTCCTCACATTGCTTTGCGGCGTCAACAGCTTCTCTTGGCAGAAACAACATTCCCACGACCGTCCGCGATCGATCCAGCGGGCCCCGGCCATTCTCCTGCTGCCAGCTGTCCAGGAGATCCCAAGGGACGGGCGTCACGAGCAAGGCACCCTCACTGGAGTCATAGTAGCGGGACCTGGGCAAGAAGATATCCCAGGGGTCCGGTTGATAGTCCGGGTAAGTTCTGAGTGCTTGTAGGGCCCGCGAGCAGAGCAAAACGGGATGGCAAAGAAAAATGGATTGCAGAGCAGAGCCGGAAGCGAAACAGAACAGAGCAAAGTCGATAACAATCCAGTCTCTGTCACGATCCTGAACTGCTCGGATCCGCAGCCGTTGTGCCTTCAACAGTTTTTCCTTTGTGTAAGAATGGCAAGTTGCGCAATTCTGTGACCCCATGATAGCGTGAAACGGGAAAGGCAGAATAGAAGAGCAGCCGTCTTACCCGCCTAATGATCTCATGCGTGTAGCGGTTGCTGCGTGACACCACTTTACCACCGGCGACCCAATCGGACTCCACCCATACAAAGTCTCCGTGATTTGGGTTCTTCCACTGCACAAACTCAGAACAGTAAAATCGAGCAAGCAAGACGGGCGAAACTCAATTCGATGGTCATGACCTAGAGAAACTGAGGGTCATACCCTCAAGGCACAATCAGACTCCTCCCAAACAAGGTCTCCACTATTTGGGTTGCCCCACTGCACAAACCCAGAACAGTGATAACAAGAAAGGGGAAACAGAAACTGGTTGATAAACTGGTTGCATTGCATGACCCAGAGAGACCGTAAGTCATACTTGCATGTAAGAGCCATATGTGCTGCAAAAACCCGAACACAGAGTAATGAAACAATGCAATCAGAAACCAGCTGAAAAACACTCAATTTATCACGCTGGATTAACGGCGCCGGCCGGTTGTTCTTCACCCCCCAAAACTGGATGGAAAAGAAACGGCGAGAGAAGAGTAGCATAATCAGCATAGAGTCAGCTTCCATAAGAAGTACAAAGGCAACTGCGTGGTGAATTTGTATCGTCCGATAAAGCGTAACACTTCTTCTTAAAAAATCTTTCATCGCTGAAACGCAGTGAGGTTCACTTGAGTATACTGTGTTTCATGGCTGGTTGAAAGTTGAAACAGGTCGGTTGAGACAAAATAGCTGAATAGCGACAAAAATCGCGTTACATGGTCGACAACATGAAGCAAGCAGCCATTAGTAAACTAGGAAGAAACAGCACCCCTCATACAAGCAACTAGGACTGCTTCGCGACTCTGCTTTCGAAACAAGCTGAACCTAGAACACTGCAACAGCAGCTATCTTACCGTCTCGGCAACACCCCACGAGGACAAGTAACCACTGGCACGGTCATGCCTTCACCCTTTTAAGGCCCCCATTGAAGGTAGCATCGGAACTCAGTACGGTGCGAAGAAGCAGTGGAAAAAGACAAGATCCCACACCTCAAGCATCTTACCGTCTCGACAACATCCCGCTAGGACACGTAACCTTCGCTGGCACATTCATGCTTCGCCTTTTTTTATATTCCCATCATGTGCACCCCTCCGCTGCACAAACCGAGAACAGTGCGAACAACAAGTGGAAACATAAATTGGAAAAAAGGGGGGGAAAACCATCAAATTGAAATTGCTTGACTTTTGCCACTCTGAGAGTCCCTCCCATATAAAATCAAGACGCGCCCCTCCCTCTGCGGAAACTCCATCGTAGGGCGACGAAGAAGATGAAACGGAAGCACAAGTGGAACGTAAGCTCAAAGCCCAACCCTAATTGGCTGAAAAAACACATGAATCCGTCATCTGTCTGAAACGCGCGAGTATTATCGATATTTCATCTGCATAAACTGAGCAAGGATGCGTGGAACAAGTGCTGCTTAAATAGCTTCCTGAGGAAGAACAGAGCCTGTCGCATGTTTTTGTGCGATATTATCATGCGATCATGTGTCAGACGGGCTTGCAACAAAAAAAGGACCATCCACAGAACCAGCAATGATAACCTAACAGCGGACAAGGCGGAATACATAACGCCAAAACCAAAGCCAAATACTACAGCGACGATGCATATTTATTAGAACGCTATTTTGCCGCCTGCGTCGCTCTTCTAATACTAAGTCTGACCTTGTTAGTTCCCTTCACGGCGGCAGTCGTCACAATCCTCCGCGAATTCGATGACCACATCGGGAATCCCGAAGTCTCTCCTGCCAATCCGAAGCGAAGATTTTCAGAATCGATAATCAAATGCAGCCTTGCCCCTTGAATTTCACCAGCCTTGCTCCCGCTGAGACTCGCGGTACGAACATCACTCCTCACGAGAAGCGAGGAAGGACTTAGCGCGAGAACCATCGCCATGATGGCTAACTGAGAGTCAATTCGCTTTCTCGAAAAGACGAGTCAGTTCTTGTCGCGACTACAGTTTCTCTCCTGCTTCTCAGATGAGAGGGGGGACAGGACAGGAGGAAACACTACCACAGATCAGGCGTTTGAACCTTGAAGGCAGGTTTGATGCGTGGTACTGCAGCGGATTTGCTCAAGAGCCACCGTACACCCTGTTCTCGATAATTTCACACCCCCTAATTCACATCGCGCTTCGATTACTTTGGCAAAGCCTCAGGGCTGCCAAGCTGGCGAAGCGTGGTTGAACATCACTGATGGAAATGCGAGAATGAGGGCGTTTTATACTCCGAGGAGTGGGGCGGAACAGGGTTGCTGGGTTCAACCTAGGTCGCGTTTTGTTTTCGTAATAAGTAACGTAGTTTCATTCTTCGTGTCATTCGACAAAGCTCACATAATGAGTAGGGGGTAGAATTCACTCCAGTAAGAGGCCTGAGGACCCGCGAAGAACAAGGGTTCTCTGACTCTAAGTTTCGACAGAGATTTTAGTCGATTCTGATTGGTCCGAATTGACATAAGCAACTAGACGTGCTCATCTTTCATTGGGGTTAAAAATTCCCTGTATCAGTCAACATCATGCATCAACCCTACTCCTTGTCAGCTCATAGATCTTCCTAAGTCCGTCAATGGGGCTGTTCGCCAGCACCATTATAGCAAAAAACGACGGGATAACGACGGGATCAGGAAGGTGGGTCTCGCCTTCCTGATCCCGTCAGTTAGAGTTCGTTAACCTCCGTCAGCCTGGTCAGCCCGTGAAAAAAGTGCCGAGCCTCACCTACCGTCCAAACCAACAAACAAAGTGGGCGTCTGGCGAACGCCCACTTTTGTCCACCAAATCTAACGCTTCGACGGCATATGGAAGCGGGGACGAAACTTCGTCCCCAGGCAAAACACCATCCCCTAGCCATGCCAACGCCATTTTGCGTTTTTCAAAGCACAGCGATGGCACAGCCGTCGCATTGCCGTTCAAAAGGGATCGAAGGGAAGGTGGGGATGGAGGTTCCCGATGCGGTTGAGAAATTTCTCAACCGCAGGCGCAGAAGTTTCCTGAACGGCATTACGGCCAAACCTCGGAGGTGGGTTCCACCTCCGTTTCCATATGCGGTCGCGATGCCGATGCCATCATTTTCATTTCAAAATACGATTTGCTGGCGAACAGCACCAATCTGTTCCTGCATTTCGAAGCCCAGTCAGCACAACAAATTCGCGCCTCGTGTGTGAAATTATTGGGAAATTTTTTTGCCCGGATTATTTCACACCCTCCCAGGCATTTTTTTGCGCGGTTCGGGATGGGGGGGTGTGAAATTAGCGAGAACAGGGTGTAGTTAACCGCACGAAATCGTTTAGAAACACGCGGCGATGTGTTTCAACCTCTAATGAAACCGCTTTCCTGTGTCGAATGTTAGACACGGTGTGGGGGGTTTCAGTACGGTAGCCGTACCAACAGCTATGTTGGAAGGAACACCTGAATGCGCCAAACCAAGCTCCTGTTGGAGCAAAGCTTCGTGGTTCTCATGACGCGACCCGTCCCGTCTAAAATTCCTCCTACCCAGGAAAGCTGGCATAACTAATCTGTCCGTCGCAGCAACTAATCTGTTTTGAATTTCAAGAATTTTGTTCGTTGTTAGCCATGGCGATGGTGCTTGCATTTACTCATTCCCCGCTTCTCGCCAGGAGTGATGCTCGTACCGGAAGCAGCAGCGGGAGCAAGGCTGGTGAAATTCATGGGGCAAGGCTGCGTTTAACTCTCGGTTTTGAAAATCGTCGTTTCGGATTGGCAGGCGACACTTCGCAATCTTTGACTTGGACAACGAACCCGCGGACGACTGTGACTACTGCCGCCGTAAAAGCAACTAAGAAGGTCGGACTTATTTGAAAGAAAGCGAGAGCTAGCCAGCCAGGTGACAAGCAGTGTGGCCATGTCGCTGTAAGGTTTTCATTTCTCAACATAGGAATTGGCACTAGCCCTTGGCGCCATGTCGCTGTAAGGTTTTTACTGGTCGTGCAATGTCGTTATTTATTCGTCGCCATGTCGCTTGTAGGTTATCATAGTTCGTGCCATGGCTGGCGATTCCTTTGTTGCGAGTCTGTGGAGCCCGTCTGAGCGATCGCATAACAATACCACGCAATCTTCGACAGAAACATGCGACAATCAACGAGAGTTATCTTTAAGCAGATTTAACCATTGATAAGACTCCCGCAGTTCTAGCCACTTAGGGTTGGCGTTGTGCTTCCGTTTCCCCTTTTCCGTCGTGATATGTTAGAGATTCTGGGAGGACTCTCTTTTTGGCAACAGTCATGGGAGTTCATTATAACGTAATCTTGTACATTTTTCAAGCTCCTGTTTCCACTGCTTGTTCGCAATGTTCTGGCTCTGTGCAGCGGAGGGGCACACATGATGGGGACCTTAAAAATGCGAAGCATGATGGTGCCAGTGATATAGTGTCGTCGCGGGATATTGTTAAGACGGTAAGACGGCTGCGCTGCTGTTTGCAGCGCTCCAAATTCACCCTCTTAAGGGGAGAACAGTCTGTCTCGTTCGTTTGTTCGGGGACAGTGTTTATTCTGATATTTAAATGCTTGCTTGCTTGAGGGTTTCAACCATGTGACTCGCTGTTGCTGCTATTTAAATTTGTGAAGACACCCAAGCGGACTACAACTTTTCAGTGACGAGTGATGCTTGGCCGTCTCTTGCCCTATCTGCCACCGTCTCAGACAAGGTCGTTGGCGAGTCAGGTGATGCAAAGAGTTGATAACTTGAGAATATGCATTGTTATCGCAATTACCTTGGTGCTTCTTACGGAAGCTGTATTTATGCTACACCTCTCTCAGCCTTTATCTTTCAGTTTATGCAGGTCATAAATAAGGAGACGACTGCCGTTAATTCAGTTTACGGCTCTTAGACATGAGAGGACTCGCAGTCTAACTGGGGCCTTGCTTTAAATTGAACCGAGTTCTGTTTTTAATGTTTGTTGACACTGTTATTGGTTTGTGCAGTGGAGAAACCCTAATTATGGGGACCTTGAATGGGAAAAGAATACTAAGTTTGAGGGTTTCATTTCATCTCGCAGTCGATGCTACAGTCATGATATTGTCAGGCTGGTGAGTCTGCTGCACCTACACTGGTTGTCATATCAGGGTGGTAAGATGTTTCAAATCTTCAGCTTCGCCTTTTTAGGGGGGAGCGGACATTGTGAAGGCGAATCAGGAGAATTGGATTTGAAGAAGCGCAGAGAAGCAATCCTGATTGTGAGTTTTGTACTGTGTCACGACCCCCTTCCCCCCCTCCTTTCCGCTTTTCCCCTACCCCCACATCGTCTCCACTATGTTCTGTGTTTTGAATCAACTATATTACCCCCTTTCTCACTTCTGCCATGCTTACTACCACCCCCCCTCTCTTCCCCCCCCCCCCACACACACACATTGCCGCCACTGTCTCGTAGGGCCTGAAAGCACTCTCTTGGTGCGCGGACTACGAGTTTTATCCACCTAAATACTTCATTCAGATGGGCTTCACACTACACAACGATTCCTGTGAAGGCTCCGTGCTCGTGACGACCGTCCCTTGGGATCTCCTGGACAGCTGGCAGCAGGAGAATGGCCGGGGCCCGCTGGATCAATCGCGGACGGTCGTGGGAATGTTGTTTCTGCCGAGAGAAGCTGTTGACGCCGCAAAGCAGTGTGAGAAATACGGAATCCGGTTGATCAATTCAATCAACTTTCTCCCCTCGTGTTCCTGCTACGGTGCTACCTACCACCACATTGCCATGCCCCGTGGGCCGTCTTTCTGTCATGACAGGACAACTGTCTTCACCCTTGCTACATCACCAACTCATTGGAAACTATCGCAACTATGCACAACGGGTGAACAGCTGTTTGGGAAACTTCCCTACCCACAACCATCCTTTCCTCCCACCATCCCCCTAGAGCATCAAGAATGTAGAGCACAACCATCCCTCCCCCCCCCCCCATCCCCTCCCCTCCCCCTCCCTCCCCCTCCCCCTTTTCCCCCCCCCCCCTCCCCCTCCCCCTCCCCCTCCCCCTCCCCCTCCCCCTCCCCCTCCCCCTCCCCCTCCCCCTCCCCCTCCCCCTCCCCCTCCCCCTCCCCCTCCCCCTCCCCCTCCCCCTCCCCCTCCCCCTCCCCCTCCCCCTCCCCCTCCCCCTCCCCTCCCTCCCGTCCCCCCCCCCCCTCCCCCTCCCCCTCCTCCGGCCCCCCTTCCCCCTTTCCTCCCACAGTGGTGGAGGGAGTGATAAAGGCCGTAGGCGAATGCATGCAGGTGATAGTATGGTTTTTGAGTTGTCTCACAACATGTTGAATCACTAGCTCTTCAACATCATCTTTCCCCCCCACCCAAATCCATTTCCCTTCCCGCAGTGGTGGAGGGAGTGATAGAGGCCGAGGGTGATGGCATGCAGGTGATAGGATGGAGGGAGGTACCAGTGGATACAGATGCCCTGGGGGAGTATGGTGAGCTCACCATGCCCTCCATCCATCAGCTCGTTCTCTCCACACCTAACCTGCCTCTGGATGAATCTCTTTTCGAGGGTAAGGGATACTCTCACCTGAGAAAGGCCATTCATCTCGCTGCAAACGGGGTTCCTGAACCCCCTGTGGAGGTGAATCCTGAGGCTCCTTGGGAGCCGTTTAAAGACGTGCACGTTTGCTCCTTCTCTAGCAACTTTGTGGTATACAAGGCTGTTTGCAGGAACACGGCTTTGGGGGAATTCTATTTGGATCTGAAGAACGAGCTGTTCCGTAGTCGGGTCGTCTCTTATTGTCGCATGTTCTGGAGTCACATCACGTGGGACTTCCAAACCTCGTGGTGTTAGGTGAAATTTTGTTTGTACCGTATTCATTTGATGATTTGAAACTGCTTGAAACGTGGTAGGTGTGTAACTGTCATTTCAAGGGCTGATTTTTGGGAGACTTCTAGCACTCTGGCAGTCTATAGTTGGCAAGTTCTGAACCCCAGGTACGATAGTAGCACTGTCTCTCACTGTTTCATAGAGCTACCGGTATGCTGACCCCATGATGAGCGTGTAAGCCTGCATCACGCACTCCCCCACCGTAGTCTCGTGGTCCAACCGCTGCAACAGGGTGCTCACTAAGGATGTAGCAAAAACAAATGCTTTTTCTAAATTCATGTCTGTACTGAAAAGCTTCTCATGCAAAAAAAGAACCTGTATTGTAAACCATTCAATGAAAATGACACCTTTGCTTCCTGAAAACCAACCCTGAATATGATAATCCCATATCGAATCTTAGAAGCAGCGCCAACCAGACTACAGATTACTACCGTAGTATATAGGATTCTCCCAAATCCACGAGGTGATAAAAGACCACTTCAAGTCCCGGCAGCGACCGTCACTTGGGCACCACCTCTCATACAAGACAACACGGGTGCCGTAGTACCTACTCTTCAGATCCGGATAAAAATCCGCCAGGTCAGTGTTCCTACACACGGCCTTGTACACTAGATACTTGCTTGCCAAGGAACACACATGCACTTCACTAAACGGCTCCAGCGGAACCTCCCGGCCTGCCTCCCGGTATTTGTCGTCATCGTCGTCATCAGCCTTTCCGTTGGCAGCGAGATGAATGCTCCTTATCAGATCAGGATACCCCATAGGAATATCATCAAACGAATCTGTCTTCGCATGTTTGGGATCGTCGTCGGGATAGCCGGGTGTGGAGAGAACGAGCTGGTGGATGGAGGGCATGGTGGCTCTGCCATACACCCCCAGCGCATACTTGTTCACCGGTACCTCCCTCCACCCTATCACCTGCATGCCCTTGCCCTCAGCCTCTATCACTCTCTCCACCACTGTGGGAGGAGGGGGATGGGGAAGGGGGGGAGGAATGATGTTGAAATAATCAGTTATGCGTAAGAGACATAAGAAGGCTGATCCAATAATATCCCTTCCTTTACCTTGTACACTATGCGTCGATTGCTCCAGGCTACAGAAACACAAAAGCCACTACGATTTGTTATAAACACCAACCTGCTTACCCTATGACAGCATTTCTCACCTCGCTTTGATGCGTCAACGGCTCCGGGCGGCAGGAAAAACATTCCCACGACCGTCCGATCTTCATCCAACCATTTGTGGCCGTTCTCACGCTGCCAGACGTCCAGGAGATCCAAAGGCACGTTTGTCAACAGCAAGGCTCCTTCACCCGAGTCATCGTATCGGGGCACGTGCACTGGGGACTCCGCATTCCCGGACTCTCGCTTACGGCCAGGGCACCAGGCGAGTGCCTTGAGGCCCTGTGACACAGAGAGGGTGGTGATTGGTAAGGGAGGAGGGGGAGGAGGGGTATGAGGCGGTTACTGGCTACTCAATAAGGTACGTGCACTGGGGAGTCGGCATTCCCGGACTCGCGCTTACGGCCAGGGCACCAGGCGAGTGCCTTGAGGCCCTGGGGCGATGATTCAGGGGGGGGGGGGGGGGGGGGGGAGGGGGGGAGGGGAGAAGAGGGGGGAGGGCGGTTGGAAGGTGGGGGTATGAGCGCGGTTACCTCGTAACCAGGTTTGCCTCGCAATTCCAGTCAGGGCACCAGCTGAACGCCTTGAGGCCCAGCGACACGGAGGGGGCGATGATCGGGGGATGGCCGAGCATTGCTCACCACTGAAAAATCCGTGGAGTCTGTCTGGGTGTCATCACTCATTGACGGCCATGGCCTTATGACCAGTTGAGAAAGGATAAGCAGTTACGAAACAGTACCAACAGCAGGTTACCAAGTTAACAACCTGATGCAAGTAATCATCCCTACACAATGAAGAATCAGAACACATGGTGGATCAAAACAGAATTGCTTCCCTCTGCTGCTTTTAGTTCGGCGGGTCCCCTACACCATTCTGCTGCTCCTCCTAAGATCAATAAAACTGCAAAACTGAAACGTCTTACCAGCCTGACAATCTGATGCGACGGCAAGGGATATGACAGAAAACCGATGTTGTCATCTACCATATCCCAATCATAGATCCCTTGCCAAGAGTTCCACCACTGCAAGACAACTCAAGAAGAGTGCGAACAACAAGCAGGAAATCATTTTGAGACGTCTCGAAAGGCGCTATGACACAAAGCCAAAGTTGTCATCGACGATATCCCATTCACAGATCCCTTGTCATAAGTTCTACCACTGCAAAGAAAACCAGAAGAGTGCGCACAAGCAGGGAACTATTATTTATTCAATAATTGCAGGACTAGGTGTACGTTCTTGTAAAAACCCTAACACAAGGCGACAAACCTGTGGAAGCAGAAACAGGGTGAAAAACACTTGCAATAATCATCTGCATTAACGGCACCAGTCTGCATTAAGGAACAGCCGAGAATCACTCATCACTGAAGAGTGATAGAGACTGCATGAGTATTATCGCACATTAGGACTGCTTCACGACTCTGATTCACGACTCAGCTCTCCCGTAATAAGCCCAATTCAAAGCGCTTCAATAGCAGGAGGACCCATCACGCTTACCTGAACATCAATATCACGAGAGGCAACGTAACCGCAGCAGCAAGGTCATGCTTCGCAAGTTTTTGGTCGACTTATAACTCGCATCAGTCTTACCTGCATGATTGAACCGCGCTGGTTTTTGAGAATTCTCAAAAACCAGCTCGCATCCGTCTTACCTGCATGATTGAACCGCGCAAGGACACGTAACGTCTGGCACGATCATACTTCACCCGTTTAAGAATCGTGCCCCTCCACTGCACAGGGCCAGAACAGTTTGAAAAAGAAGTGGAAACAGAAATTGGACAAGAAATAAACCATACGTTGGGGCCATGGTAGCTTACACATAGCTTCCTTACAGCAAGGAAGCAGAAAGGCTACCACATGTTCCTGCCGCATGTTTCTGTCGCATGTTTCTGTCGCTCGCAGGTCGTGCGATACTATCATGCGATGGGTCAGGCGAGCTCCACAAGCTCGCAAACGATCAATCACCAGCCACGGCACCAACAATGATAGACTAACCTGAACATGGCGGAAAACTAAGAACAAATGCCAAAACTATGTCGTCGATGCATACTTAATCAATAACCTACCCTGTTCTGTCACCTGGCTGGCCAGCTCTCGATTTTTATAGATCAAGTCCGACCTTCTTACTAGTAGTCCCTTTAACGGCTGCATTCCTCACAATCGTCCGCGAATTCGCCCACGTCGGAAATCCCGAAGCCTCGCCTGCCAATCCGAAGCGACGGTTTTCAGAACCAAATTCAACACGCAGACTTGCTCCGTGAAATTCACCGGCAGTGCTGCCGCTGAACCTCTGCAATAAGAACATCACTCCTCGCAAGAAAGGAAGGGGTTATCGCGAGCACCATCGCCATGGCCGCTCACGAAGAATTCGCATAACAAAGATTCCCGTAGGATTTTCGAATGGGAAGTGTAGGAAGGACGAATGTCCATTCCCGTTTGTGTGATGCTTCTTATTACCTCTGTCACAACAGAACAGTTTATCATAATGTATTAACGCGAAAGACCATGTTGAAAATTCCTATGTTTCAGGTTGAAGCATATGTACCACAACTTCTACTTGGATTAAATTACTTGCAAATTAATTACTCTGGTTCACTAGTGCTCACCAAGGATATCTTTCAATCTCTATCTCCTCCGACAAGATCTTTCCAGAAATTGCCAAACGTCTATTCTCTTCTGCATCGTCTCATCTCCAGGTGCCATTCCCTCGAGATTCCAGTCCAGCTGAGATCTGCACCCATGCCTAAGTGCCAGAGTTCCTAAATTTCAAAGTGCGAGAGGTCGCGCCTGACAGTTTTTGCATACCTAGGAACCCATGCTTGGGCTTACTTGGAATAACCGGACATCTTCTCCTGCAGGCTTCTGTAGTTCTGTCAAAATGAGGAATGGATGATGCATTGATGTTGGTTGGGGTACATATAGCTAACCCTAAGTTTTGTACCCCCTAAGACAAACCTCACTATAGGCTACAACATTTGACACACCCCCATAGCCTAAGTGAGGGGTGTCTAGCAGAACCAAACGAGTACGGTCACAAGACCAGTCCAAGAAACGAAGCTCAGGGTGGATCACAACGTCACCACATAGTCTGAGCACAAACAACAGTGGCCACAAGGCCAGTCCAAGAAGTAACAGAGGTATATAGAAAGCAAAGTAAACAGTACACTCAAGTCTAAGCAACACGAGAACCAGTGTCAACAAGGCCTAACTGCACACAGCACCTCTGGTGGTCACAAGGCGGAAGCGCCTTGGTGAAGATGTCTGCAGTGTTGGCCTCGGACTCCACAAACTCAAAGCGAGCCTGTCCACGCCTCTGCAACTCTCGCAGAAGAAAGTACCTGACGTGAATGTGCTTCACTCTGCTCTCCAGTCGTGGCTCTCGACAAAGGAGAATAGACGCCTTGTTGTCAGTGAACAAGGTCAGTGCAGAGCTCGGCCGCTCACCAAGGTCGGTGAGCAAGAAGGTCAACCAACGCAGCTCCTGTGCCGCCATGGCACCAGCGTAGATCTCAGCCTCAGCTGTAGAGGTCGAGACCGAAGAGGAGCGCGTGGACCGCCAGGAAACAGCTCCAGAACCCAGGCTGAAACAGTACCCCTGAGTAGACCTGTGAGTCTCAGCGTCGTCAGCGTAAGAGGAGTCACAGTGACCAGTAAGTACGACAGACTGCTGCCCTCCAAGAACTAGCCCCACGCCTGACGTCGACGCTAGGTACTTCGCCACCCTCACAGCTGCTGTCCAGTGAACAGGACGGTGTCTCCCTGGCGCAACAAAGCGCGCAAGAACGCTGAGAGGGAAGGCGAGGTCCGGGCGAGTACAAGTCATCAGGTACATGAGGCAACCCACAAGCTCTGCGTAGGGACCACTAGGCTCGAACGGCTCGTCAGGAAAGGGTCCAGTGAGTCTGTGGTCAACAGCAAGAGGTGTGCGCTGTACTGTGGAGTGCTGAAGCCCGAACCGCTGAAGGACCTGCTGCACCATGTGCGACTGTGAAAGTGTAATGGTGCGAGCAGCTCTGTCCCTGGTGATCTGCAGGCCAAGGTAGTGGCGCAGCTCACCAAGATCAGTGCAGGTGTGTCTCTTCTGCAGTTCGGACTTCACGTGTGCCAAAGCAACCCTGTCAGGGGTGGCGAAAACAAGGTCGTCAACGTAGACCAGAACAAAGAAAGGTGTGGGGCCACGACGAACGAACAGCGACGGGTCAGCAGAAGACGGCTGGAACCCAAGGTCAGACAGGGTAGAACGCAGGGTGTCGTGCCACTCACGAGGAGCCTGACGAAGACCGTAAACCGGTCGCCTCAGCCTCCACTGGGTCCCAGGAGGGAAAGAGCCAGTGAAGGCAGAGGGACGACGCAACCAGACCTCCTCGTGAAGACTGCCCTGAAGGAAAGCAGTGGAGAAGTCGAGAGAGTGTAACTCGTAGTCTCTCTGTGCTGCTACGTGTAGTAACACCCGAAGAGTGGTCATCTTCGGGGTGGGCGCGAAGGTCTGAAAGAAGTCAACTCCCTCGCGCTGACTGAAACCTCTAGCCACGTAGCGCGCCTTGAAGACCGGAGGAGATCCCGGTGGCCGCTTCACCCTGTAGATCCACGCAGCGACTGGACTGGACGCGACAACCTGAGGGGACGGAACCACCTGGTGAGACGCAGGGAGGAGACTAGGGGGAGGGACAGGAACTGGGAGGAGTGGCTGCTGCGACGGCGGCCGCTGTGGCTGCGGCTGCGGCTGCTGCCGCTGCTGCTGCTGCGGCTGCTGCTGCTGCTGCTGCTGCGGCTGCTGCTGCTGCTGCAGTCGCTGCTGAGCGCGCGGGCCAGTGTGAAGAGTGTAGAGACCGGAGCCCGGCTCAGCAGCAAAAGTGGCGAGGGGCTGGTAAGAGTCCCCGTCAACACACACCGCAGTCTCTCCAGAAGGCTCAAACCACACACCCACGTGCTGACTCACGAGGGGTCGCACGCCCACCAAGTTCCGGGAGAACGAGGGGACGTGAAACCCAGTGAGAGACCCAGAAGGAGCAGCCGGACACGGCAAGGTGGTAGTGTGACGCGCGGTGACTGGTCCCGAAGTGGGATCAGCCAGCGCCACAGAAACAGGCGCAGGAAGAGGCGTAAGTGTCGTGCTGTCACGAAAGAAGCAGTGAGAGGCTCCAGAGTCCAGCGTGAACGACAGCGAACCGTCCTCTGAGGTAGCCGCTGGACTAGAGTCTACACAAGAACCTACACTAGCAACAGGCAACTGAGCAAGGCTAGCACCTAAGCTAACAACACCAGAGTAAGCAGAGTCAGAAACACTAGAGTCAACAACAGCATACATAGCATGAGGAGCACCAATCAGATCAACTAACTGCTCAGCAGACATGCCCCACAGAGCGGAGCCGTAGCGCTGAACCAGAGGAAGCCAGTCAAGGGCAGGACCGCCAACCCCGTAGGCCAACCGGACCGTGTCAGTGAGCTGAGCAAAGCACTGACCAGGGGGGTGAAAGCGGCCACAAGGGTGGCCCCGACGAGGACCTGTCAGAACCTGATAGGTGCAGGGAGGGTAAGCAGCACCACGCTGGGGCTGACGCAGCCCCGACCCCGGAGCCAGCTGCTGACGCTGCTGCTGCTGAGGCTGCTGGGAGGAGAGGGGCTGCTGCTGCTGCTGCTGACGCTGAGCCTGGTACCACGCCGCTGCTCCACCTAGCGGGGCCGGCAGTACAGGAGACGACTGACGAGCTCGGGTGTCGCCACCACCAGCAGGCGCAGTGGAGTCACCAGCCGCTGCACGAGAGGTCTCTCCAGACGCTGCACTCCCACCACCGCCAGTCGCAACAGCACCCCCACTACCTCCGCTACCTCCGCCTCCACCTCCACCAGAACCACCTTTCTTGCCCCCCTTGCCGCGGGACCGCGACGCAGTCGTAACAGCAGCTGCAGTCGCGTCAGTAGCGGCAGTGGCAAGAGAGGCAGTGAAGGTGGGTAACTGCGGGACTGTGCACCCGTGGAAGAGTGGGGGGGGCACAGCACCAGAGGCGGCAGCTACCGAGCGAAGGTTGCTCTCGACGTCCTTGAGCGCAGACTCAAGGACCTCGACTGTCAGCTCACTAGGGTGCTTCAGCAGGAGCGCGTCACGTACGGAGGCAAGGCGGTCAGGGAGGCTAGTGGCGATGAAATAGATAGTAATCGCCATGGGGGGAGGAAGCAGTGCAAGCTGTGCCTCAGTGCAAGCAGCGCGGTAACTAGCGTCGAGCGAGCGGAGGTGAGCGATCAAGTCAGCAGAGCGCTCAAACGAGGCGAGATCAGGAAACAGGAACGGGAGGAAAAGACGGCCAAGAGAGACAGTAGCGGGAGTAGAGTAGCGGGCCTTAATCGCAGTGAGGTACGCAGCAGCGGTGCGAACCTGAGTGAAGTGGACCTCCTCTGACTCAGGGAGGAGGCTGCTGAGTGCGATGCAGGCCGCAGCGTCACGCGACGTCCAAGCCGTCCTGTCAGCGCGCTGACGGGCAAAGCGAGCCGTAGCAGCATCGTCAGGGGCAGGACCTAAAGCGGCAGGCTCGGGGGGCTCGGGGAGGTCACCAGTAGCGTGCGACCAGAGGGTCTCGCCCCCCTGGACTTGACTCTCTAACAGACGGCGAGCGCGAAGAAGCCAGACGGAAAAGTCAAGAGGTCTACCGTCAGCGTCGAAACGAAGAACTCGCGGAGTCGCCATAGCGAAAACTAACGCGAACGAGCAGGCGAGTAACAGCAGGAGGTAAGAGGCAAATTAGGGTTCAGGTGGGACTTAGTCGCAGCGGAAGAGCGGGCTAGAGCGACGGGCCAGGGCGTAGGGTCGACGGGACGGGGGAAAGGGCGGGCACGATGCGACGGGGCAGGGCGACGCGACGGGGGAGGGCGACGCGACGGGGCAGGGCGACGGGACGGGGAAGGGCGACGCGACGGGGCAGGGCGACGGGACGGGGAAGGGCGACGCGACGGGGCAGGGCGACGCGACGGGGCAGGGCGACGGGACGGGGCAGGGCGACGTGACGGGGGGAAAGGGCGCGACGCGACGGTGGGAAAGGGCGCGACGCGACGGGGGGAAAGAGCGCGACGCGACGGGGGGAAAAGGGCGCGACTCGACGGGGGGGAACGGGCGCGACGCAACGGGGGGAAAGGGCGCGACGTGACGGGGGGGAAAGGGCGCTAGGCGACGGGGGGAAGGGCGCTAGGCTCGGCACTAGGCGCGGTAACAACGGAACCGGTACGAACGAGAGGTAGGATCAGGCTCGGGAGATACGAACGGAGAACGGAGGAACGGGATCCCACAGGATCCTAACCTAACTGATACCATGTCAGAATGAGGAATGGATGATGCATTGATGTTGGTTGGGGTACATATAGCTAACCCTAAGTTTTGTACCCCCTAAGACAAACCTCACTATAGGCTACAACATTTGACAAGTTCCACTCCAGCCTCCGGCCAGACGGAATGGAAAATGCTGGCCCTCCAGCCACTCCCTCTCCCACTATTTCTCCCACTCCCTCTCTCACTCCATCTCCCACGCCCTCTCCCAATCCCACTCTCCCCCTCCACTCACTACATTCACATTCTCACTAACTGCACTTCTTCCTATACTGTACTAGCAACCACCACTTCAACCACATCGTCATCACTATCATCCTCCTCTTCCTTCTGGAGATGCCCCAACTGTGCCCCTCCCTCCCTCAATCTTCTTCCACTCCCTCTCTGCACCTCCCCTTCCCTGTCCCCTTCTTCCTATACTGTCCTAGCAACCACCACTTCAATCACATCGTCATCACTATCCTCCTCCTCCTGGAGATGCATCAGCTGCGCCTTATCTTCTTCCAATCTCTCTGCTCCTCGCCTTCCCTATCCCCTTCCCTATACTGTCCTAGGAACCACCACTTCAACGACATCGTCATCACTATCATCCTCCTCTTCCTTCTGGAAATGCCTTAACCGTGCCCCTCCCTCCCTCTATCTTCTTCCTCTTCCTCTCTGCTCCTCCCCTTCCCTATCCCCTTCCCTATACTGTCCTAGGAACCATCACTTAAACCACATCGTCATCACTATCATCCTCCTCTTCCTTCTGGAAATGCCTTAACCGTGCCCCTCCCTCCCTCTATCTTCTTCCTCTTCCTCTCTGCTCCTCCCCTTCCCTATCCCCTTCCCTATACTGTCCTAGGAACCACCACTTCGACCACATCGTCATCACTATCATACTCCTCTTCCTCCTGGAGATGCCTCATCTCCGCCTTATCTTCTTCCACTTCCACTTTGCATCCCCCCTTCTCCATCCCCTTCACAGCACTCCTCATTACAGTCTCAACGCCCGACTTCATCCCCCTTTTACCATCCCGAACTGTAACTCCACCTGCAACCCCCTTTCCCTTGCAATGACCCAAATCCCCCCTGGCTGCTGCTCCTGCTCTGCCTGCTGCTGCCTCTGCTCTGCCTGCTGCTGCCTCTGCTCCTCCTGTGCCAGCTGCTCCCCCTGTTCCTGCTGCTCCGCCTAACTGTGGTGCATGAATGATGCGAGATCGCAGCACCCGACCATGAGCAGCCTTCAACTCAGCAGCGTCAGCTTCCATTCTTGCCGCGGCTCTCCTTGTCACGATCCCACTTTCTCTCTTCGCCTCACTTCCTTCTCTCTTCACCTCACCTCCTTCTCTCTTCACCTTGTTCCGTGCACCATCTTCTGTGCCTCCACAAGCGACCCTCCCTCAATACCCCATATACTACAACCTGCTCTGCCGAATGTCTCTTTTCCGAATGTCCCTAAGCCGGAAAGGGCTGTTGGTGGAGTTTCCATCTTGACTTTACCCTGCCCTTTCCGCCTTATGCCTACTTCCTCTTTTCTCTCCCCCTCCTTATCCCCCTCCACCTCCCCCACCACCACCTCCTCCCCCACCACCTCCTCCTCCTTCACTGCTCCCATCTTTGTCCATGCGATCTCCAATACTCCCTCCATCTGTCCCTCCTCCCTCCCCTCTTTCACTTGCACCACCGATCTGCACACCTGAACCTCCACAACATCATCGTCGTCCTCCTCTCCCTCCTCATCCTCCTCCTCCTTTTCCTCCTCGTCTCCCTCCTCCTCCTCCAACTCATCTCCCTCCTCGTATTCCTCCTCCTCCCTTGTATTCATGCGTTTCCGCTTCCTCCCAAGACCCTGTTTCCGTCCCCTCGTCTCCACCGCACTCCTCTCAACGTCCCGCTTTCTCTTCCTTGACTTCTTATTCCCATCCGCACACTCTTCTATTAACATGACATCACTCCCCTCTCGTCCCTCCTCCTCCTCACATCCTCCCTCTTCATCGTCCTCCCCACTCTCTCCTCCTGCTCCCTCACTCTCACCCTCTGCTTCCCCCACCTCATCCGCTTGAACCCCTGTGCTCTCTCCCCCCTTGACCATTCTCGTGAGCATGAGATAGTGTGCAACGGACTGGTATCCCGCACCCCAAACCTGCAGGGATGGAGGGAAATACAAGGAGTGTGGGGGAGTGGGGAAACGGCATCTATGAGACAAGAGCACTTACAGGCTCGCAGACTGGACTTTTTACGGGTAGGGGAGAAGGGGGGAAGAGGGGGTTGTGGAAACAACATTCATACGACAAGTGCACTTCGGTGTTACCGGTTGACTGTAGATAAGTCGTCAGCTACCTTATGGACGAGTGGCCTGGTGGGCCCCCATCGCTTGCGGTTTCTGCAGATCGAGCAGTTGCAGATGTCCCGACACACCGGGAGGCTGTAGGGTAACCAGAAGCCTGCTAGTGTTACCTTGTGTGTGGGACAGTACCTTGTGAAACAGTGGCCCAGTTGGTCCCCATCCCTTGCGGTTTCTGCAGATGGAGCAGTTGCAGATGTCCCGACACACCGGACACTCCCATGAGGGATCTGCTAGCGCCTCCTCTATGTTCTCGCCGTACCTGAGAGAATGAAGGGAGAGAGTGAAGGGAAGGGAGAGAGTGAAGAGAAGGGAGAGAGGAGATAAACTGGTTGGTCCCGACACACCGGAAACTCCCACTTGGGGTCTGCTAGGGCCTCCTCTATGTTCTCGCCGTACCTGAATGGCAAGGGAGTGAATGGAAAGGAGGAATACACTGTCTGGACTTGACAAACTGGATACACTCCCACGCGGGGTCCTTTAGGTAGGAAGGGAGTGAAGGGAGAAAGAGAGAAACAAATAGGGGAAAAGACACACCGGGCACTCCCACTCGGGGTCTGCTAGGGCCTCCACTATGTTCTCGCCGTACCTGAATGGCAAGGGAGTGAATGGAATAGACAACAAATACATTGCTTGCTTGTTGCTTGCCTGGCCCATCCGCACATGGCACTCCCACGCAGGGTCTGCTAGCGCCTCCTCTATGTCCTCGCTGTACCTGAAGGGTGAGGGGGAAGGGAATGGATAAAAGAAGAGTTGCTTGGCCTATGTGCACGGGGCACAACAAACAGGTCACTTATGACATTTCTCAAAAGCTCCACATGAAGTCTCCGGGTCACCTCGGAGGTCCCCTGTGATCTCCTCGTAACTCATCTCAAATAGTCTCGGCTCGTCTCGGATGTTAATCTCATTTAGTCACATGCTGATCCTTACCTCAGATGCTTTCACCCTATATAGTCTCACCACACATCGTCTCACCTCACAAAGAGACAGTCCCCGCAAAACTGCCCGCACACTGAGAGATCCTTGCACGTCGCACACTCCGTGCGCAGCCCCAGCGTCTTCTGCCTGTGTGGAGACGCCAGTGGGGAGGTGCAGGGGAGGAAGGGGGGAGCCTCGCATGGAGGAGGCGGGGGCGTAGGCTTGTAGGTTCATCCTTGCACGCGCACTCAGTGCGCAGACCAAGTGTCTTCTGCCTGTGGGGAGAAGGCAGGGGGAAGAAGCAGGGAGGTGCAGAGAAGGTGACTTCTGAGTCGACTCTAAAGGCACACTGATCGATCCTTGCACGTCGCACACTCCGTGCGCAGCCCCAGCGTCTTCTGCCTGTGGGGAGACGTCAGGGGGAGGAAGGGGGATTGCAGGGGAGGAGGAGGAGGGACGTCAGGGGTGGGTAGGCAAGGCTTTAAGGGTTCATCCATACCTGCATTGGTGCCACATCTTCCCAGTAACAGGGTCAATTTGTCAAAACTTTTTATTATTTCTCAACCTTGTCATATGATCATTAATCAATACCTGCACTGGTGGCACGTGCTCCCATTAACAGGGTCGTTAACCTTCGTCTTGAACCGCTCAACGTTGATGCCATATGGCTTCTCGTGGCCAGTACTCAGTCAATCACTCTGACCTCGTGTTCACTTTAGTCAATCACTCTGGCTTCATACCTGCACTGGTAGCACGTCTTCCCTTTAACAGGGTCGTAAATTCTTGTCTTATACGGCTCAATGCTGAGGATATAGGGTTTCTTACAGTCAGTATCAAACTAAACTCACTATCACACTAGACCCTTATGAATCAGTACCTGCATTGGTGACACGTCTTCCCATTAACAGGGTCATAGATCCGCGTCTCATACGTCTCAACGTTGATGTCATATGTCTTCTTACAGTCAGTATCACACTAGACTCACTATCACACAGTAGACCCTTATTAATCAGTACCTGCATTGGTGGCATGTCTTCCCATTAACAGGGTCATAGATCCGCGTCTTGTACGGCTCAACGCTGAGGTCATGCGGCTTCTTACAGTCACCATCACACCAAACTCAGAGACTAGACCCGTATTAATCAGTACCTGCACTGGTGACATGTCTTCCCTTTCACAGGGTCGTAGATTCTTGTCTTGTATGGCTCAACGCTGAGGTCATACGGCTTCACGTGCCCACGAAGCTTCTTCAGATCTTCCTCCGTGTACACCTCCTTTCCGCACCGAACCACCGTCCCAGCCTCAGCCGAGCCTGCCCCCGAGCCCATAGACCGAAGCTGCCAGGTTCGGCGACCGGCAGAGGTTCGTGCGGTGCTGCGGTCCGGCGTTCTGTCGTCCAGCTCAAGATATTGGGTAGCAGGGGAGTTCTGGAGCCTGGAGAGAGGGGTACGCAGGGGAGGAGGGCAGAAAGGTGAAGATGGGGGCGGTGTTCGGTGCTGCGCTGTGGCGTTCTCTTGTCCAGCTCAAGATATTTGGTAGCAGGGGAGCTCTGAAGCCTGAAGAGAGGGGCGCCGGGGGAGGGTGGGGGAGGGTGGGGGAGGGTTGTGGGGGAGTGGGGAGGGCGAAATGGGAAAGACGGGTGGGATGTTTAGTGCTGCGCTCCGGCGTTCTCTCGTCCAGTTCGAGGTAATAGGGTAGCAGGGGAATTCCGGAGTCTGGAGAAGGGGGTGCAAGGGGAGGTGGGGGAGAGGGGGGCGGTAGAGTTGGGAGGAGGGCGGAAGGGTGAAGCCGGGCGGGGCATTGGCGTTCTGTCGTCCAGCTCGATGTACTGGGGAGTTCTGGAGCCTGGAGGGGCGCGGGGGAGAAAGGGGCGCGAGGGAGAAAGTGGCGCGGGGGAGAAAGGGGCGCGGGGGAGAAAGGGGCGCGCGGGAGAAAACGGGGGAAAGGAAGGGGGAGAGTGTGAAGGAGGGCGGAAGGGGCAACACAGGGCAGAGGCGTTCAGTGCTGTGCTCCTGTGCTCTCCCCTCTAGCTCGTGGTATTGGGCAGCGGGGGAGGTCTGAAGCCTAGTGAGGAGGGAGAGGGGAGAGGGGGGAGGAAGAATATCGTTCACCGCTCAGTTGGAGTCTTCGCAACGGCGGACGGCGTTGTCAAAACGTATTGAATTCAAGGCAGATATGCGCGGTACAACATATGAGGCGCCTCCACAGCCGCTCAGCGTTGTCAAAACGCATCAAAATCTAGGCAAATTTGCGCGGTACAACTTCAGAGACGCCTCGAAATACTTCTGCGAGGTACGTGCAAAAACAGCTCATGACTGGCGGCGATAAAGAGGATTCTCGAAGCCGCATTTGGAAATGAGCGAAGGATCCACATGCTGGATCGACGAACTTCCACGAAGAACTTTCGCCGAGTTCACAAACGGCGAGGGCTTCGCTGCTTCGCTGTTCCTGCGACGCTTCTCAAGCTGCGAGATTTTTTCAGATTTTGAGATGCCTCAAGTTTTCAGTTCAGACGGGCCTCAAGAGTAGAAATACGCGAAAGGATCACCTGCCGGATCGACGAACTTTGTCGAAGAGCTTTCGCCGCGTCCACGTCCTGCGAGGCTGCTTCTGCTGCTGTTTTTCGCCGGCCTGCCGCCGGGTCTCCTGGGTTAAATCCGCCGAAAGGCTCTGCAGCTCCGCGAAAGCACGCTGCGTCGCCTGCATTTTCGCCTGCCGCAGCTGCTCGTACGTCATGGCGCTGCCCGCGGTTGGCGGGGGTTCGACGGGCGCCATTGGAAAAGGAGGCTGGTGGTACAGCTGGAGGTAAGAGCTTTCTTGGTATCTAACAACTCCTCGAAAATGGAGGGGTCAATAAGGAATTGAAAGCTGGGGAGGCGGGGGAAGGGAGAGGGGGGAGGATGTGTTTGGTGGGTGGATGGGGTGAATGGTAGGGAAGTGAAGGCAGCTTTGGAACGCTCGTGACGACTTTTTAGTCATCTTGCGACACTGCACTTTGGGTCTGGGACTTTCAAGTTACTGCCGGTCGAAAAGGGTGGCCAACATGTTCAGTCGGGTCTTCCAACGTCGAATTACTGCGTTTCAGTATGTGGAATATGAGCCTTGAATGCGCCCTCGAGTGATGGGGTTTGATTTGGGATTTGACCAATTGGAATTCAGGGTCGCCGGGAGGCGCAAGCAGCAGAATTTGCGGTAAGGGGGACGTGGGAAAGATCCATTGCTTTGTGGAGGGAAATCACGTGGTTGGTTTGTCAAGGATTTCGAACCCACTTTTGAATACATACAGTACAATAAGATCATGCCCATGCCTGCCCAACATCATCAAGTGGCATGTGACACGATGCGGTACAAAGGAAGTTATGTGTACTTTGGGCTGGTTGGGTTGGGTGTAATGGCAAGGCATGACCAACCACACATGCGACAAAATGTTTGCACTGCCCATATCATGCTTTCGGAAGGTTGTGCGGTTTGGAGAAGTACCGCACGTAGATCCCTTTGATTTTATGGCGCGAGAGCTACGTGGCTGGTTTGTCAGAGATGGTTTGGCTCCAAAGTTCAAAGTGATTGGTCAAAGACAAACTCTATACCCTTTCCAAACCACCTCACCAAACACGATGGAGGCATTTGGGTGCAGGAACGCCACCGGCGAAGCATGCCACACAGCGAAAGATTCCGCTGGTTGCGAAAAGCATTCACGAGAAGCAACCACACCACCAACGCCATACGCGAAACCATCGGATGACATCTACCCCAACGGGCTTCGCGAAGAAGAATAAGGGCGTGTAAAATCGCTGCACCTAAAAATTCGGCCACAAGCCGAATGGCCGAATTGGCGAAAGTAACCCGTTTGCGAGTTCCACGAAGACGCTCACGACCATCGCAAATTTCGCGAATAAAAAACGAAATTGATGGCCGTTTTGAAAGTCGACTCGAATTCGACACCATGTCGACTCCAATTCGGCCAAGTAGTCGACTCCGTGAGCGACTGTCACGTGCGACGTCGCACAGTCTTGCTGAACGACAGAATATTTTCTCTTGTCGAATCAGAGACTTCGCCGTCATATGTGCGACCCCGTCGCACAAACGTTCCTACTGTAGCACTTGCAAATTTTACAAGTTTTCTGGAGTCGGCCAGCAATTCGGCCTGCAAAGTTGTAAAATTTGCAGACCTGCAAATACTGGTCGACTCTAATTCGGCAATCAGGTCGACATGTGCGAAAGAAGTGTCGACCATTTGGTCGAAAAAAACCCGGCCAAACCCCATTTTTTAAAATGCACGCCGATCTTACACGCCCTAAACCACAGAGAACACCATCGCAGAGGGGTAACCTTGAAGATCAACACCAGCTAGGAAACCTTGAAGTTGGGAATTTTGAATTTATGGATTTCTTCAGCTTGACGGTTGCTGCTAGTACATACAGAATGGAACGATGAGTGAGCAAGCGGGTGAGAAGGAGAGCTTGAATACAAAGAGAAGACCAGCTAGCTGATTCCTGGCACGGAGTGCAAGCTTCACTTGTTTCAATCAGTTTTTTGCCAGTGAAAGGACCATGGCGTCCTTTCATACTATGCAACAGGCAGTTCTTAAACTAACGGACTGGTTGCAAGTCAAAGGACAATCTAACGGTCTTCTGGAAAGACTTTCACGCGGGGAATCCGTTCTTTCTGTCCCCGTAGACGGCATGGAGCTCGCTGATTGGTCGCTGGGAACCGCAATCTTGCTTCTTTCGGACGTCCGATCGATTTCGACTTTTCTTTCAGAACATTTTCTCGTCGTCCTGTCTGGAACGGACGTAAAGAAGGAAGAAGAAGGGTTTCCGTCAGAGAAGGACAGACCTCGTATCCGATCTCGTGCCTTGCTTCTGATCCGGTTCACTACAGCTCCGATTCCGAATCTGACGGTTGAGGAGGCCTGGACATCCAAGATCCATCTGGGACCGTCGAATCAGCTCGTTCGCATCCATGGCGTGATCTACTTCGCGTCATTGATACGAAAGATATCCGACCCCTGTTTTAACATTTAAACTAGAAACGGAGTGAGCATGAGTGAGCAACAGTTTCCATTGCTTGGGATGCTGTGCATCAGCGCTGGTAAGGTGCATCTGGGAAACAGAGAGTTGAGTGCGTCTATTGCCTTTTTCTTCATTTCAGAAAAAAATATTGTCATGCGTGGGATGTTTTCCTTGACCGTCTCTATCCTCGTTCTTGGGATCATATCCTCCCAGCACATTATCTTCATGAGGAGGATTCAGTGCCAGACCTGCGGGCGACTGAAGGACGTGTGGTGGACAGATGACGTTGCATCCCAAGTCTTGTGTTGCCCTTCAAATTCTTTCAGTGAAGACCTGTCCCGGCGAATCGAAGCAGAGTTGCAGGTAAGTTATAACTGCTTCAATTCTGTCTTTTTATTTGACATAAGTCACGTCTGTCGCATCTACTGACGTGTAAGAAGCTTTCAGGATATCGTATTGGGTCCTATACCCACGCTTAGAAAAAGCGATCAACGCTTTTCAAGGCCTCCACTATTTCACGTGCTCCTGCTTCACGATCTAGCTGGCAGGCTCCACGTGGGTGCTCTCTGTGACGTGATTGGACACACGTGGAGTCCAGGTTCATTTCAGCAGCTTCCTCCCAACACCCAGATCTTCGATGCAACAAGAATCATCGCTAACAATCTGATTTCAGGGGAAGAGATGATCCGATCCAAACCAAAAGCAGCCAATCCCATGGGAAAACTTTTTGGGATTCAAGACATGAAAAAAGTTCCATCCAGCCCCAAAGTTTCTTCCAGCCAATTGGCTGCAAACAGCCCGACATGCTCCCAGTCTGACAGCATCCTTTCCCAGAATCCGTTCCTATCTCAGACCCAATTCGTTTCGCAAACCCAAGACTGGCACAGCATCCCGAATCCTGCCGCAGCACCATCAGATGACGGACTGTCAATCCTCATGAGACTAGCAGATTCTCTGAAGCGAGAGATTCACATAAACCTCGCTGGAAGCGCACTGGGAATCACAAGTCCAGAGGGCATTGCAGGGCTCTCAGATTCAGATGCTTTTGCAATCCCGGAGCTTCTCCCTCTTGCTCTGCTCCTCAGCCTTGTCTCAGCTCCTGGAAGCACCCCTCTCCCATCCCAGTCTCACACTCCACTCCAAGCCATTCTAGGGAAAACCACCACTTCGAACGTCCATAACAACCCCCAAAACTCCTCTCATCACCGACGGTCCAAGATCAACATTCTCCTGACATCCAACGGCCGATGTCCGATCCAGGAGCGGTCCCTAGAAGTTGCCGCTCAGCTGGCCAGGCGAAGCATCCGGCATGTTATGGGCTTGCAACCCCCAAGAGGCCGCCACCTTCTGGGAAAGAAACTCTCTGCAAAATCCGACGAGCATTTTCTTCCCAATTCCGGGGTGGATGGCTTATCTGCTGGGAGCTTAGCCCTGGGAAGCTCTGGGATCGTCCTGACTGACGTTTCCAGGGGTTTGGTGCGGTTGGATGCGGGTGTGCTGTTGAGCCAGGCCATGGACCGGCATAAGATCGTCGCGGGAGCTGCTGGTATGGCTGTGGGCTGTGGAACAGTATGGGCGACGTATTTTGGTGAGGAGAATCGATCAGGAGGAGGGCAGAACGCCTGTTTGACCTCCAACAGCGGGACAAAGGAAACAGCTGCTCGGCTAGCATCAGGCCTGCCTGGGCCTGTGCTTGCAGATCTGATCACTGCAAAGAAAGACGCCCCTCTCGCCAGAATGCTGCCGAAATTCGACATTGTCCTGTCGCCTGCGAATTCCTCTGGCAGTGGTCCTGTCTTCGGTGGTATCGCTGGCGTTGGCGGCGCAGCCGGAATCAAGCGGAAAAAAGGCAGCAAGAAAGCGGGCGGAAATTCCTTTCTGGATGGAGCAGAGGAGGTGGATTCATGGGATTCGGAGTTGCCTGCGTTGATGAGTATGGCTGAGATCCAGCAGCACGTTGAAGCTGCTAGCAGAGTGGCGGTGTCGCCCTCCTTCTCTGAGAAGGCATGCAGTTCGTTGCATGCGTACTACCTTGTGATTCGCCGGGCCAAGGTGGACCAGGATGTGGGTGACGTGTCGCTGCTGACTCTGGAGAGCCTGATTCGAGTTGCCATCGCGTGTGCCAAGCTATGCATGAGGTATGGAAAAACGTTTCCTGATAGGCTGATCTTTCCTTCTTGTCATTGTGGCATCGCTATTTGCCGGGCCAAGGTGGACCAGGATGTTGGGGACCTGTCGCTGCTGACTCTGGAGAGCCTCATTCGAGTTGCCATTGCATGCGCCAAGCTATGCATGAGGTATGATATTGCTCTTGACTCGACTCATATGTTTTTTCTTGAATGGAATTGCGTATGCCCACTTTTAGAGGCCCTCATCAGCTGCTGTTCCCTCCTTTCCTGTTCGCACTTCTGTTTCAATGCCAATCACACTTCAGACTGAGTGTGGTGAAGAGTCTAGTTGTGCTGGGTGCCACTCTGCTGTCCCCATATCATGCCTTTCAAACCCTGCCACTGCTTCTCAAATTTATGTCTGCACTTTTGTTTTGGAATCCAACACAATCCAGGCAGAGCGTTGTGAAGAGCCCAGATGTGCTAATCGCCATTCTACTATCTGAGCAGACCTTCATGGCTAAGGTATGCTGTGCTTCACCAATTTATTTGGAAGTTTCCTTTTCGAACTTTCCGATAGGAATTGGTGCATATAAATTCTTTTAGGCTTGCGTTTATTTTTTTTTTTTTTGGGGGGGGGGGGGGGGGGGGGGGGGGGGGGGAGAGGGAGATGCTTATGTTAACGTTATGTGGTGTGTGTGTTTCCTGATGGCAGCATGGGTTCCCCCTCGTGCCGTCGCTTGCATCCAAGCTGCGGCACCAGCCACTGGATGTGGTTCTGGAGGCTTTTGAGAGTGACCTGGAGCATGTCATGCCTCACATGGACAGTGAGGAATGAGGAGCACAACAGAAGATTGACGGAATGCAACAGCCGTTGGATGTGGTGCTGGAGGCATTTCAGAGCGACCTGGAGCATGTCATGCCTCACATGGACACAGAGGAATGAGGGGAATGACAGCAACCATTGGACTGGATGCATATTGCGTGCATGCCACCAGCCACTGGTTGTGGTGGTGCTGGAGGCCTTCCAGAGTGACTTGCAAGTTGCGGCGTGTCATGCCTCACATGGGTGCCGAAGATTCAGAAAGACAATACCTTGTGGTTTTATGCATGCCTTGCCTTGCCACCAGTTAGCAGGTGACCAGCTACAAGTGTAGTGCTGGATGCTCTTGTCTACTGACCTTTGAGGTGAGAGCGTGTGCCGCTCACGATGGAGATAGAATAATGAGAACGGGTGTTGCATTCTGTGCATGCTATTCCTGTCACGCCAAACATACATTGTCTTCTTGAGAACTGCGTTGCGAGACAAAATTGTGCCCATCCATCCAGCACCACCTGTATAAAGTATGCGCACTTATACTTTTGATTACGTGTAGAGCGGTGCCCTGCTAAACCCCCGGCAACTATCGAAGCACATGCCCCATTGCGAGGACGGACTTCTGCTGGGCGATGAACAGGAATGGACGCCCGCACCGCATCTGATCAGATGCCAGAAGCTCCTCTCTCATGACTAGCTTGCTCCTAGATTATCCTCCTCGCTTCGCGCTCGAGCACAGTAGCCATCCCGAATGTCGATAACGCCTGAAATTCCCTCTTTCCTGCGCAATGTCTCCGTACTTCCCGCTACAGCAGCGAACGAGCCTCCATTGCTCCTCGGGTGTCGGCTTTCGAATGCACTATCACGGAAAGCCAATGTGACTCTAACGAGGAAAACTCGTGATTGTGACGATCGTTCTAGAAAAGGGAGAGTTACTGTAGGGGCGATGCAGTACAACAGGCTTGGCGCGTCGGACCTCGTGGTGTCGCGGATTTGCCTCGGCACCATGCAGTTCGGAGAAGCTCTGAGGCACGTTCTCTTACCTGCTTTGGGACATCGCTGTTTGGAGAAATGCTAAAGTGAACGTGACCTGCAACGCGAGTGTTTATAGGGCGAGTGACTGTAACGCGAGTTTTTGTAGCGCGCGCTCGGAGTGTGGTCGCAAGGCGGGTGTTCAGCAGAGTGACATGGCTCCCTCGTATTCCATTCTCCCTTACGTCTTAACTCTTGAACCCTCTACCGCTCCTCCTCCCCCACCCCTCCACAGTTACCAAGATGCATCGGCACAGCTAAACAGGGCGGTAGAGGGAGGGGTGAACTTCTTTGATACGGCTGAGATGTACCCTGTGCCACAGCGGGCAGAGACACAGGTGACTTAGTTGACGTGCCTTGACTCTATTTACCTGGCTTTGATTCATAGGTCGGTGAGTCGGTGCATAAGGCGGGTACAGGGGAGGGAGGGGTGAACTTCTTTGATACGGCTGAGGTGTACCCTGTGCCACAGCGGGCAGAATCTCAGGTGAGTTACTGTGACTAGATTGACTTGCTTTGACCTTCTTGATTTGATGATTCAGCACACATAGCAGCTGAGGAGAGGGAGGGGTGAATTTCTTTGCCACGGCTGAGATGTACCCTGTGCCACAGCGGGCAGACACACAGGTAATCTTGACTTGGTTTGACTTGTTGAGCTTGTTTGACTTGGTGTCAGCGCACAGGGAAGTTAGTGGGAGAGCGAGGGGCGAACCTCTGACACGGCTGAGATGTACCCTGTGCCTCAAAGGGCAGAAACGCAGGTGACTTGCTTTGACTTTCTTGACTCTGGTTTGATCTGTTTCTTAAATCAAACTAGTGGGAGAGGGTGAGGGAGGGTTCAACTTTCTTTTATATGGCTAAGATGGCTACGGCTACGCATATCTAGGCATGCACAAAATGCGTGAGTCATATCCGCTTACCTGCTTCTTCCCTAAACTGTCCCCACCACCAGCAGCTTAGGTGAGGAGAATCGGGGTTAGTGGCTAAGCTGCCCATGTCCGCTTTCCCCCACATTGCAACCCACCACCAGGGCCGAAGCGAGGAGTATCTGGGGCGCTGGATGGCCGCTTCCGGCATTTCGAGAGGCAAACTCCTCTCCAGCACACCACCATGTCTGCCTTCCCCTCTGCTATCATCTGCTTCTCCCCCCACATTGCAACCCACCACCAGGGCCGAAGTGAGGAGTATCTGGGGCGCTGGATGGCGGCTTCTGGCATTCCGAGAGATAAACTCGTGGTCGCCACCAAGGTGGGCTTTAAGAGGCTTTCTACGTGCCAATAATCTGGATTGTATGAGGCAGGTTACGAATGGGCGGCCACTAAGGTTGGCTTAAGGTGTTACAAGTGGCCTGAGTGAAGTGAGGAGTGGCTGGCCCATCTCCTCAGTTCAGATGGGGGAGGGCTCATTCCCCCATTCTTGTGAGGTGGATAAGGGAAAGGTGGGGGGGCTTCTTAAGACGTCCTCAAACGTCCTTCCTTCCCCCCTCCCCTTCCCCCCCATCAGAAATGCTTCAGGTGGCAGGCCCTTCTGCACAAATGGCGTGGATAAGAAGGGGCCCTGCTTCTCTCGACCCCGTTAATATCACATCCGCTATAGACACCAGTCTGCAGCGACTGAAGTGTGACTATATCGACCTGCTGCAGCTGCACTGGCCGGATCGCTACGTGCCCATGTTCGGCGACTGGGAGTTTGACCCGCGGTGTGACTATAACGAGTACAGCTCGTTTGAAGCACAGCTGGAGGCTTTGGGAAGGGCGGTGGAAGCAGGTTGGTCTAGTTGTCCAGGGAATCAAGCAGGAGTTTAGGTTTGGATTTTAAGAAGCTAGTTTGTCTGTGATGCGATGCGGGAAATTTATGCATGTGATATCCCCCCCTCCACGGACCTCGACTTTTCCATAGTTCCCTCCAATATATCTGTTTTACTTTTGAAGACCCTTGGATGCACTTCTGCCCACTTCCCCCCCCCCCTCCCCAACCTATCCCAGGGAAGGTGCGTTACATTGGGCTCAGCAACGAGACAGCATGGGGGCTGGGAAAGTCCCTGGAAGCTGCCAACCAGCCTGGCTCGGACCACCCTACGACCCTCCGCCCTCGGCCAGTCTCCCTCCAAAACGCCTACTCCCTGCTCTGCCGCACCGCACGTTCGACTCCACCCTAGCTGAATCGTGTCACCACGAGCACATTCCCTTCCCCTCTAACCTCCGCTTCCCCCCACTTCCCCCCACTTCCCCTCACTTCCCCTCCCCCTTTCCCCCCAATCCCAGGAAAGGTGCGATATGTGGGACTCAGCAATGAGACCGCCTGGGGACTGGGCAAGTTCCTGGAAGCTGCGGCTCCCTCCTTCTCCTCCTCGTCTCCTCTCCGGCCTCGCCCCATCGCCCTGCAGAACGCCTACTCACTGCTCTGCTGCACGTTTGACTCAACCCTGGCTGAGGCGTGCCACCACGAGCACATTCCCCTCTAACCTCCGCTTCCCTCACTTACCCCCACTTCCCCCCACTTCCCCCCACTTCCCCCCACTTCCCCCACTTCCCCCCACTTCCCCCCTGCTGCCCCCCCCATTCCAGGGAAAGTGCGGTACGTTGGACTTAGCAATGAGACCGCATGTGGGGTGGGCAAGTTCCTGGAAGCTGCGGTTCGCTCCTCCTCCTCGTCTCCTCTCCTCCCTCGCCCCATCGCCCTCCAGAACGCAAATTCCCTGCTCTGCCGCACGTTTGACTCCACCCTAGCTGAGGCGTGCCACCACGAGCACATTCCCTTCTAACCTCCGCTTCCCTCACTTACCCTCACTCCCCCACCCACTTCCCCCCCATCCCAGGGAAGGTGCGGTATATTGGACTCAGCAACGAGACAGCATGGGGGCTGGGGAAGTTCCTGGAAGCTGCCAACCAGTCTGGTTCGGAGCACCCTTCCACTCCCCTCCGCCCCCGCCCCATCGCCCTGCAGAACGCATTCTCTCTGCTCTTCTGCACGTTTGACTCAACCCTGGCTGAATCGTGCCACCGTGAGGGCCTTGTGGGACTCCAAGGGCTTGTTTTCCCCCTCTAACCTCCTCTCCACCCCGCTTCCCCTCCCTCCCCTCACTCCCCTCCCGTTTTTTCCCTTTCCCAGGAAGGGGGGGTACATTGGACTCAGCAACGAGACAGCATGGGGGCTGGGCAAGTTCCTGGAAGCTGCGGGTCCCTTCTCCTCCTCGTCTCCCCTCCGGCCTCGCCCCATCTCCCTCCAAAATGCATACTCCCTGCTCTGTCGCACGTTTGACTCAACCCTAGCTGAATCGTGCCACCACGAGCACATTCCCCTGCTCGCTTACAGCCCCCTAGCCATGGGGCTGCTCACGTGTGAGCGATTTTTGAGCTCAGGTAATTACCACTGCAACCCTCCCACTCCCCTCCCCTCCATCCAGGGAAGGTGCGATACATGGGACTCAGCAACGAGACCGCATGGGGGCTGGGAAAGTTCCTGGAAGCTGCAGCTCCCTCCTCCTCCGCTTCTCCTCTCCGCCCTCGCCCCATCTCCCTCCAAAACGCATACTCCCTGCTCTGTCGCACATTCGACTCAACCCTAGCTGAATCGTGTCACCACGAGCACATTCCCCTGCTCGCTTACAGCCCCCTAGCCATGGGGCTGCTCTCGGGTAAATACCACTGCAGCCCCCAAATGCTGTCGGGTAAATACCACTCTAGCCCATCGGCAGACGCTGCCACATCAGCAGACGCTGCCACTTCAGCAGATGCTGCCACATCAGCAGACACTGCCACGTCAGCACCAATCGACACAGCACTCCTCCTGGCCCAGTCTCTGGATCCCCACCAAAGCTCCGAAGCAAAAACCAGTAGCAACAGAATCTTCCAGGATCCTTCTTGGCGCTTAGTTAAGTACCGGAACCGGTACGCAGAGGCAGAGGGCAGGTACCCGATCAGCAACCCCCGGGTGGCGACAGCTGTCAGGGCATACGCTGACGTGGCGAGGCGGTTCCACGTGTCGCCAGTACAGCTGGCGCTGGCGTTTGTGCTGGCGCATCCCCTGGTGGGAGCCGCGGTTGTGGGGGCGTCGTCTTTGGAGCAGCTAGAGGAGATTTTATCCGTCGCGGGGGAAGGGGGAGGGGGAGGGGGAGGGAATGGGAGGGGAGAGGGGATAGAGTTCACAGAAGAGATGAGGGCAGCTGTTGACGCCATTCATGCTGTGCTGCCAAACCCCACCCCTTGATTGGGTCCCCTGATGGGAGGTGCGGTTGTGGAGGCATCGTCTTTGGAGCAGTTAAAAGAAATTTTATCTGTTGTGGGGGAAGGGGGAGGCGGAGTTGGAGGAAAAGGGACAAGAGGAGAGGGGATAGAGTTTACAGAGGAGATGAGGGCTGCTATTGACGCTATTCATGCTGTCCTGCCAAACCCCACTCCTTGACTGCAAGGCCGAAGTCCACCCTTTGACTATTTGAGTTGTCTGGAATCCGAAGTCTCATTGTTTGTGCTGGCGCATCCCCTGGTGGGAGCTGCGGTTGTGGTGGCATCGTCTTTGGAGCAATTGGAGGAGATTCTGTCAGTTGTGGGGGAAGGGAGAGGGGAGGGGGAGGGGGGGGATGGGGATGGGGATGGGGAGGGGAAGAAGGGCGGAGGAGGGGAGAGGGGATAGAGTTCACTGAGGAGATGCGTGCTGCTGTTGACGCCATTCATGCCGTGCTGCCAAACCCCACCCCGTGATTGTGGCTGCTCACAGTCTTGAGGAATCCGTTCATGCTGCCGCTGCTGCTGCTACCGGATCAAACCACCACTCCTAGTCCTGGCGTGGTGTGGTGTGGTTTAGAGTGGTGACCTCGCATGATCAGGAAGGAAGGCAAGGGAACGCGGGGCACTGCATTGGATGCTGCACCTTGCTTCCTTACCGTAGTGTTCTGTGTGTTTATTAAGTGGTTCAATGTACCGTACCATAGGAAGCCAGCCAGAGCTTCAAAAGCTTGGTCTCCTTGATGCAGTAGCCTACGTGCGCATGCTTGTGTGTACAACCTCTTCCCTTTAGGCATGCGCAGGCGTGTGTATAACATACTACCTATTGCTTCTGCTTTTAGAAAATATAACATACTATAACCAATTAAACAGGGTAAAGTCCTGTTGCATTGAGTGCAGTCACAGTTGACCTCATACGATCCCATTTGACCTCAAAGACAACCACTTGCTGAGCTTTGTCATTGTCAATGCATATGATTCCCATTATAATTCTTACTCAGCTCCCCCCTTCTTGTAACGAGTGCGCTACTAGAGAGACACCTGCCAGCATGGCCACTGCAGCCGTCTCAACTCTCAGCCTCTGCAGCCCCAAGCTCACTGACTGAGCGCCTGCCGATTTTAGAACCTCTATTTCTGATGAAGTGAAGTCTGCATGATGGGAGGGAAATATGGAAGGAGGGCGGGAGGGAAAGAGGGAGAAGGGGAGGGGTTTCGGTAGGTGAGGGGAGGCAAGGCAACGCTTCACTTTGTGTCACTTTGAGGCGACGCTTCTTAAAGCTTGATCTGATGCATCTTTAAACTGCATATATCAAACGTCTCATCTCCTTCAGGACCCAGTATAGGCAGTCTAAAGGTGATTTCAGAATCAACATAAAGATCACCCCATGTGGATCATATGAAAACTTGATCGAATCACACATGTGTATCAAAGGACCTCACAGCCCACTTCCTTCAGGCTCTACTACAAACAGCCCCCATTTGAAACGTCTCAATGATTTTCAGAATGATAACAAAAACAGATATCTCACCTCCTTCAGGCCCCACTATAAGCAGCCCCCCTTTTAGCAGCAAGGAAGGATCCATGGCCCCGACTACTGCCAGCAGGGGTGGTGAGTTGGGCGCTCCCAGCAGAGCGAAAGGGGCCTGCTGAATCTGCAGGGAGGAACGACAGGGAAGAGGTAGGAGTGGGATGCGGTGAGAAGGAGTTGGTGATTGTTACAAAGAATTCATTGTGTCATCTTCAGCCAGCAGGGGTGGTGCGTTGGGCGCCCCCAGAAGAGCCAAAATGGGCCTGAGGAATCTGCAGGGGAGGCAGGAGGATGATATTTGGAGGCAGGAGGATGATATTGGGAGGGGATGAAGAGGTGGTGCTCGAACAAGCCTCTCTCGCTTGTTGGGAGGTCTCAAAACTGGATGGAGAGGTGGTGTTCCAACAGGCCCCTTCTCGCTCCCACGTACCTGCTTTGTCAGGTCGCCGAGGGAGGTGAAGTCGTGGATGATAGGACGATGGATGGCCTGACCTGAAGGGTGAACCAGAGCGAGACAAGGCGCGGACAGGAGAAACGGGAGGGGCAGAAGGGAATGAGAGGTGGTGCAGTAACGAAGAAAGAGAGGGAGGGAGGACGGAAGAGAGGTAAGGTGCGGAAGGGAGGGAAGAGGAGGGGCGGACGGAAAAGAAGCAAGCAGACTTTGACTCGACTCAAAATGTTAACACCAGCACGCACGCACGCACGCACGCACGCACGCACGCACGCACGCACGCACGCACCCACGCACGCACGCACGCACGCACGCACGCACGCACGCACGCACGCACGCACGCACGCACGCACGCACGCACGCACGCACGCACGCACGCACGCACGCACGCACGCACGCACGCACGCACGCACGCACGCACGCACGCACGCACGCATGCACGCAGCACACATGCACGCACGCAAGCACACCCCTTCTTGCTTCCCCAACTCAACTCTGCTTAGCAGCGGCCAGCGCCACTCATTCCCATCTGTCCACCCGCCCCTCTCCCCTCCCCCTTGCTCCCAGCTTCTGCATGTGCATGCATCATACACACGCACACACCAGAAACACATTCCCCTCACCCTACCCCCTCTCCCTCTCCCCAAAACTCACTCTGCTTTGCAGCAGCCAGCGAAACTCGCTCCCATCTGTCCGCCCGCCCCTCTCCCCTCCCCCCTGACCGCTCCGTGACCAGCGGAATGAACCCCACTGCTCCCAACTCCTGCAGGCGAACACAGAGAGGAGGAGAGGGAGGGGAGCAAGGAGGGGAGGCACTATGAGGCTAAAGAGAGGGATGGATCTTTGAGTCGTCTCGAAAATCTTCTTTTTACAAGTGAGGGGCGCAACGCAAGGAGGGGAGGCACTATGAGGATAAAGAAGTGATGGAGGGGGAGGGGGTGCAGTGACGTGGCAGAGTGCGCATGCCCAATTGGGTGGTGGCCACCACAGGAGTGACGTGGCAGTCAAGGGCATGTGCACACTACCATCTCTACGGTGAATTTCTTGATCAACCAATCCTAACCTTGCATTTTCTATCAGCTAATCCTGACCGTGCATTTCTCGATCAGCCAATCGGAGCGGCCGCCCTTGAGCGTGCCACAAGCTGCCACCACCGTCCACTGGGGGCCGGAGAAAGGAACCTTCCGGGCAGCTTCCGTGGCGACAAGAACGAGGCCCTGCTGGCGGTCGATCGACTCCAATCGGACGGTCACGATGGATCCCTGGCCGTCAAACAACTCGGCTCTGTTGATGCAAGAAGATGTAGAGAGGGGAGGGGGAGGGGTTTTGAGACGTCTAAAGACTCCAATCGGACGGTCACGATGGATCCCTGGCCGTCAAACAACTCGGCCCTGTTGATCAGAGACGTTGTGGTAGGGAGAGACAAGGGGAGGGGGAGGAGAGGAGGGGAAGGATTGGTGGGGTTGGGAAGTAGAGGAGAGGAGGAAACATTTGAGGAGGGTTTGGGTGGAGGTTTGTGCCACTTTTGAACATTCTTAAGAGTGACACAAATCTCACCTACTCAATGTAACTGATGAGGGGTTGGGGGAAGGAGGGATGCTTGGCAATACGACCGAGCTTGGTGAAAACTCTGTAAAAGCAGACTCGAAGAACACAAATTACCACCATAATGAAACTGAAAATGACATCTAAGGGAACTCCAGTAGAAAAAATGTGCGACAATGAATTTACTGAATAGGATGCAATGGGCTATACATGCAAGTCATCGGGTCAGGAGAATGGGATTGGCTGTATGCACAAGTCACCAGGTCGAAGACATAGTGAACGAGCAGGGAGTTTTTGAGAATTCTTAAAAACTCCCTGCAACGTCAAGGAGAATGGGATCAAGTGTACGCACAAGTCACCAGGTCGAAGACGCAGTGAACGAGTCATGTGCGCCGCCTCGGAGCCCACCAATCGCACAGCACTGCCCTGCCAGCATGGCACGTTGCCACGTCATCAGATGCCTGCCTGGACGTGACACGTGCACGATGAATCTAACACAGCAAATGGAGGAAGGCAGACTTAGAACAGCACTCGCATCCTCGATATAAGGCTCCTCACCATTAACGGGGGCAGACTTGCGGAGAAAAAACGCGGAAGGCCCGAGGAGGAAGGGGAGTAAGAGGAAGGAGAGGCGGAGGGAGAAGGGGAGGACGAGGAAGGTGAAGCGGGAGGCGAGGAGGAGGAAGAAGAGGATGCAGAGGGAGGCGAGGAGGGATGTGAAGGGGATGTTGGAGAGGTTGGGAACGAGGATGAATGGCCTGATCTTGTAGCGAGCGTAACCGAATCTCTTATTCGTTGACGGGACACGTGGCGGCCTCCCATTAGCTGCCTTTTCCAGGGCTGGAGCAGGCCGAAGCTCGAACCTTCATCCCGGAAAACATACTGACAGCTGGGATGAAGAAAACTACAGTTACCAGAGTTAACGAAACTGGCGAAGTTTAGATCCCTCGCACGGGTTCGCCGCTGAGCCGCGAAAGACCTGGCGAAACTGCCCAGGAGATCGGCATTCGCCACTGGATCAAATCTCCTTTGCTCCAAGGCTTCGCCGTACGAAGTAAAACGCGCCTCGACTGACAGACGGCAGATCGCAACTAAGCTCGGGCTCATGACCAAGCTGGGACTCGCGACACTCCTGGTGCTGCCCATGGTACGCGACGGCCCTCGCCGCAAAACGCGTGTTTCGACTGATCGAGCTAGTGCCGCTGCGGCGGACATGGCGACACTGTACGGACTCGGGGCTGTGGTGAGAGCCGAAAATTAATGCGAATCAAGGCGCAGTACTTGAACGAGGTATCACGTGTTCTAGTCAACTAGAGAGCCTTCGCGGTTGCTCCTGTCAGACTGTCGAGGCTGGCCTCTAGCACATATTCAGAGCGACAACTAAGAAATTCAGTAACTTGATAATCATAATACAGCAAAAGCTCAGTAAATCGTATTGAACCGTTCTGGAACCATTTTCACCATTTTCTGCCGAATCCGTGAATTGTGAAGAGAGTTTTAGGAGGGGATGGAGATGGTACGTATTCAGAAGCGCGGCACATAGTTCTGTTTAAACTGAAACTGAAACGTTCCTACATGACGATCAAAAACATGTACCGAAGTCTGAAACTCGACGGGATTGCGTCCTCAGGCTCGTCAGCAGCCGCAGCCCAAGCCATTTGATCCGACAGTCCCAAGGTCTGCAGCATTTTCGATGAGGGGGACCTGACCAGCAACAGCATTTCTGGTCACGTATCACGGTTTTCTTCGGTCTATTGCGCTCTAAAGCGGTCATTTTGTGAAACCGCGTATAACCCCGAGGAAACCATCCGAACCGCATGATTTAGATGATCTTGTCAGTGGTGGTGGAAAACCGAAGTTCCAGACCAGAGTGCTTGACCAAATGCTATCATCAGATTTCAGGAAGGTCTTGTCTGACCATTCCGAAGAGCCACCGCCATTCCCGGAGGCGACCTGCGGTTCCTGTGGTCTCGAGCTGAGCTCAGGATAGGCGGCTGCTGCGGTGCTTAGCTAGGCGTTATTCAAGCTGTACCTAGACTGACTCGTTTTTTACCACTCCATCGCATTCTGGCTGCATTGTGTCTGTGCTTTACCCATCTTGCTAGCAGCGCAGCGCGTTACGAAGTACGCTCAAGCTAAGCTCTTACCGCACTGCAGCGGAGGCTCAAATCTTCAAGGTATATTTATTTTTCCTACTCCGACGTCAGTCAAGAGAGCATCGAGGGGCTGGTGTACTGTCATCCTCGCTAAGTCGTACGATAAGGCATTCCTTCACGTGTATCAACGGGCCTTTAGTTCAGAACTGAGTAAGCTAGTTGATTTCGCGAGGAGGATCTTCAGCAGTAAATATAAAATATCCAGTATCACCACTCATCAGTACAGCCAGCCTGGCTGAGCGGAAGCTTTTGCCCGCACACGACAGCTTATCACCGTTCCACAACCAGCATGGCAATGCGGCTGCTGCTCCAGCATGTCGCGCCTCTTCCGCCGTTTCCGCCTGCGCCAGCGCAGCCCGCACGCGGGCGGAGGCCCATCGGCGCAAACAGCCTCCTCGCGCAGGGAAATCCTCCGCGCGCCAATGCGCAAAGCCTCAGAAGCAGGGGATCAACCTTGTTCGGCGTTACGCGAGCGCTTAGCTGCGCCAGGCGCATTTCTGGAGCGCCTGAAAACAGGCGCGATGCGACCGGTGCAAGGGAGGCCGTCCGCGGGCCAGTCCGCGCGGAGGCTTCCGCTTACGCTGGCGGAGGCGGTGGTGAGACTCAGCTCGCGGAAGCGGAGTGGCGGAACGAGGCGGAGATTGGGAAAGAACGGGGGGAAGGAACGCGAGAGCATCCTGTGATGGTAGGGGACCACATTCAAATTAAGATGCATGTCGTTAATGTATTTGCGCGTAGGTATGTTCTATGCGAGATCTCGCATTTAACAGCCAAAGACCGCACGCTTGTACGCATGTGCATGCTGTGAGCAATGTGGCTCGCAATGTGGGTGAAAGATTTGAGAGTGCAAGCAACGTGGGTGTGAAAGGTGTGAAATTGCCTCGCCTTCTTTCTCTACTTTCTCCCCTCTTTCCCCTGGTCCCATCCAGCCACCCGCCCTCCGGCCTCTCATTCTAGCAGCAGCGCTGGTGGCAGCATCAGCGCCAGCGCTGCTCGGATGGAACCCCCTTCGCCCCACCGCTCCTTTCCCTCTCCACATTCTTCATCGCCTCTACCTTCCCTTCCCTTCATTCCCTTAATTTCCTCCGCTTTCCCCTTCGCCTTGGCCCATCCAGCCGTCCGCTCTCCGTCCTCTGCTCCTAGCAGCAGCGCTGCTCGGATGGAACCCCCTTCAATTCAATCTACTGCTGATTTCCCCCTCACTTTCCCCTTCAACCTGTCCCATGCAGCCATCCGCCCTCCGCCCTCTCATCCTGGCAGCAGCGCTGGCGGCAGCATCAGCACCAGCACTGCTCGGATGGAACCCCCTTCAATTCAATCTACTGCTGATTACCCCCTCTTTTCCCTTCAACCTGTCCCATGCAGCCGTCCGCCCTCCGCCCTCTCATCCTGGCAGCAGCGCTGGTGGCAGCATCAGCAGCAGCGCTGCTCGGGTGGAGCCCCCTTCGCCCTACCGCCTCTCTCCCTCCACCTGCTGCTGCCTCAGCTGTTCAGGTATGGTGATGGTGATGGTGATGGTGACTGGTGGTGGTGGTGGTGGTGGTGGTGATGCTGCTGCCGCAGGTGTGGTGATGGCGATGGGGGTGGGAGTGGTGGTGGTGGTGGGAGTGGTGGTGGTGGTGGGAGTGGTGGTGGTGGTGATGCTGCTGCTGTTCAGGGCGCGTTTGTGTGGCTTGTTCAACGTCTACAGTTTCCCCTGCATCTATCTCTGCGTCCACTTATACTGCTCCTTCTGCGTCTATTTCCGCACCTACTCATATGGCTCCATCTCCCATTCCCTTTTCCCCCACTTCCACTTCCCTTCACCTTCTCAAATCCCGCTGGGAGTGAAGGAGGCCAAGCCACCAGGCCGCCTGTTTAATTGCCTCTCGAGTTGGCCCAGGAAGCATCTCTCTCTCCTACCTCCCTGTCCTTTTTCATCCCTATCCCCTTCTCCCCCCTTTGCCTTCTCAGATCCCGCTGGGAGTGAAGGAGGCCAAGCCACCAGGCCGCCTGTTTAATCGCCTCTCGAGTTGGCCCAGGAAGCATCTCTCTCTCCTACCTCCCTGTCCTTTTTCATCCCTATCCCCTTCTCCCCCCTTTGCCTTCTCAGATCCCGCTGGGAGTGAAGGAGGCCAAGCCACCAGGCCGCCTGTTTAATCGCCTCTCGAGTTGGCCCAGGAAGCATCCCTCTCTCCTACCTCCCTCTCCTCTTTCATCCCTATCCCCTTCTCCCCCCTTGGCCTTCTCAGATCCCGCTGGGCGTGCAGGAGGCCAAGCCCCTGGGTCGCCTGTCTAAAGTTGAGTTGACACAGATGTGTCACATCTCTCCCACACCCACCCCATCCCACCCCACACACACTTCTTCTTCTCAGATTCCGCTGGGCGTGCAGGAGGCCAAGCCGTTGGGTCGCCTGTCCAAGCGCTTCTTGAGATGTCATCCCTCTCCCCCAACCACCCCATACACATTTCGCCACCCTCCTTTCCCCCTTGGCCTTCTCAGATTCCGCTGGGCGTGCAAGAGGCCAAGCCCTTAGGCCGCCTGTCCAAGCGCGCTCGCCTGCTGTACTGGCTGGACAACCTCTTTGCCACCGAGCCCAACAGCAAGGTGGGTGGGAGACAGGAGAGAGAAAGAAATTTAGGAGCATGATGTGTGTGTGTGTGTGCGTGAGTTGACTCAAAGCACTAGGCGCTCGCCTGCTGTACTGGCTGGACAACCTGTTTGCCACTGAGCCCAACAGCAAGGTGGGTGGGGAACAGGCGAGAGCTTGAGTTGCAAAGCACACTGTGCTCGCTTGCTGTTGGCGAGTCCAGAGAGTGTTACGTCCTCATCTCAACCCAACAGCAAGGTGGGTGGGTGTGAGGAAGAGAGGTTAATCTTGGGTTGAGATGAGGACGTAACACTCTCGGCACTCGCCTGCTCTGCTGTACTGGCTGGACAATTTGTTTGCCACGAAGCTCAACAGCAAGGTGGGTGTGATGGGAGGAGAGAGCTTGGGTTGCAACGGTGTGACTCTTGAGTTGAGTTGAGGCAAGTAACGCACTTAGAACATGCCCGCTCTGCTCTACTGGCTGGACAACCTCTTTTCCACCGAACCCAACGGCAAGGTGGGTGCACAACAGGGGGGGGGTGTTTATACAGAGAGGCGACTCTTATGTTGAGGGTGCATGGGTATGCGTCGGTATTCATGGGTATACATATGCTCTACAAAGCAGCAGTGGTGCTCTTGTGTTTGGTTCCGCTTTTCACCTCTTGGCACCCCTCTGAACGCCTTGCGTCTCACCCCCTCCAGGCGCTCACCCTGCTCGCGATCTGCATGTTGCTGACTGCAGTGGGCGGGGTGCTGTACAACAAGGCAGCAGCCGTGGCGTCCAATGACGATCTGCCACTTTCTTCCACCACATGATACCCCTTTCCCACCACTTCACACCCCCCTCTACCTCCTGGTTTTTCCCTCCAGGCCCTCACGCTGCTGGCGATTTGCATGCTCTTAACAGCAGTGGGTGGGGTGCTGTACAAGGCAGCAGCCGTGGCGTCCAATGACGACCCGCCAATTCCACCACATGAAACCCCTTTCCCACCTATTCAAACCTCTTTTAACCTCTTGCTTCCCACTCTCCAGGCCCTCACCCTGCTCGCGATCTGCATGCTGCTGACGGCAGTGGGCGGCGTGCTGTACAAGGCAGCAGCCGTGGCGTCCAATGACGACCTGCCACTTGGCGAGTCCGTGTGGGTGTCATGGACGTTTGTGAGCAACCCTAGCGAGCATGTGAATGAGGTGAGTGCCCCCCACCCTCACACACATAGAAGGCGAGAAAGAAGTTAAGCTAGGTGACTTATGAGTTGACTCTAGAGTTCATGTGGGTGTCGTGGACGTTTGTTGTGTCCAACCCCAGCGAGCACGTGAATGAGGTGAGTGCCGCACTCCCCCCTTCCTTCCCGCGCACGCGTGTACGCACGCACGCCCACACGCAAAAACACACAGGGGGGGCGTGGGAACTGGTGAATCGGCTAGAGTCCGTGTGGGTGTTGTGGACATTTGTGAGCAACCCCAGCGAACGTGTCAACGAGGTGAGCACAGTGGTAACAGTAGGTGGGTTGGGGGTGGAATGCTCTTCTTCACGTTGTTGGTGGGTCTGGCAACGGACCTGGCGGCGAGCTGTCTTGCTCAATCCCTCTTCCCCTCTTTCCATCGCCCCACCCCCCTCCCCACCCTTCCCAACCCAACCCCCCGCCCTGGCCGTGCCTTCCCCTCCATCAACCCCTCCCTTTTTGAAACACCACAGGCCACGGGACCAAAGTGTGTGGTGAGCGCAGTGGTGACAGTGGGTGGAATGCTCTTCTTTGCGTTGCTGGTGGGTCCAAAAAGCAGACACACATTCTTGTCCGATTCCTTGCCTCCCTTTTCCACCTTCCCTCTCCCCTGCTTCTCTCGTTTTCACTTCCACAGTCCACTGGTCCAAAGCGTGTGGTGAGCGCGGTGGTAACCGTGGGTGGAATGCTCTTCTTCGCCTTGCTCGTTGGTCTGGCAACGGATCTGGTGGCGAGCAAGGTGGACCAGCTGGAGCAGGGCAACGGGGCGGTGATAGAGAGCAACCATACCCTTGTCTGTGGTGAGTGAGAAGATGCATAGGTGTATCTGGCCACTGGGACTTGCTGAAAGAGGTAAAGGTAAAGGAGGGGGGGAAACCCCTCTGGGTGTTACCTACACCTGGCTGTCGGTCGTAACCCGCCTCCCCATTTGTTTACACTCCTCGCTGGGTCAACGAGGTTGTTCTATCCACTCCCAGATGAGCACCTGTGTAGCCCCTTTTGGAGGCTGGCAGAATACGCCGCAGGGGGGATTTGATCCCGGGACCTCATCTTTCGGAAGTGAACCAGCTACTTGCTGGGCCACTTCAGGATGGGGCTTGCTGAAAGAGGGGTTCTTTCCAGACGGATCTGGTGGCGAGCAAGGTGGACCAGCTGGAGCAGGGCAACGGAGCTGTTATTGAGAGCAACCACACGCTTGTGTGCGGTAAGAAGAATGGATAGGTGTAGAAGAAGGCACTGATCTAGTGAGTGAGTAACGGATCTGGTGGCGAGCAAGGTGGATCAGCTGGAGCAGGGCAACGGGGCAGTCATTGAGAGCAACCACACGCTTTTCTTTGGTGAGTCAGAAGAATGCTCAGGATAGATGCAGCCATTAGCACCTGCTGAGCACAAGAAGGGGGTCTGGCAACAGACCTGATGGCGAGAGAGCAAGGTGGACCAGCTGGAGCAGGACAACGGGGCAGTCATAGAGTAAACCACACGCTCGTGTGCGGTGAGTGAGAAGACTCATAGGTGTAGTGTATTGCAGCCACTAGGACTTGCTGAGTCCGAAGCGGGTTCTGGCTGGCAACGGACCTGGTGGCGAGCAAGGTGGATCAGCTGGAGCAGGGCAACGGGGCAGTCATAAAAAGCAACCACACGCTTGTGTGCGGTGAGTAAATGAACATATTCGCTGAGTAAATAAATAGAGTGCTGTACAGAATGTGTTTGTGTAGCCACCTTTCTCAACCAACCCTCTCCCCTCCTTCGGGCTGGACCCCCAAGACCATTCCTCTGGTGAAGGCTCTGGTGGAAGCGGGGGAGAGGCCATCGGTGGTGGTTCTGGCAGAGAGGGAGAGTCAACTCACGAAAAAACTCTGGTCTCTCTCAGCTCCCCTCTAAGCCCACACTTGCCGTTTCCCCCCCCCTTTTTCAGGCTGCACCCTCAAGGCCATTTCCCTGGTGAAGGCTCTGGTGGAAGCAGGGGAGAGGCCGTCCGACGGTGGTGGTTCTGGCGGAGAGGGAGAGTCGACTCACGAGTCACCTCTGTTCCCTCTCTGTTTCCCCTGTTCCCCTGTTGTTCCCCTTCTTGCCCCTTCTCTTTCCTAAAGGCTGGACCCCCAAGACCATTCCCCTGGTGAAGGCTCTGGTGGAAGCAGGGGAGCGGTCGTCAGTGGTGGTTCTGGCGGAGATGGAGAGTGTGGAGATGGATGGAGAACTGTTGGAGGCTGTACCGGTTGAAGATCGAGGAGGGATGCGGGTGAGTGAGTGAGGGAGTGAGTGAGGGATTAGTGAGTGGGTCACGGAGCGAGGGGACGAGAAAAGCAAGGGATTGGAAAGAGAGACTGTCAGTGGTGGTGCTGGCAGAGAGGGAGAGTGCTGAGATGGATGGAGATTTGCTGGAGGCTGTACTGATCGAAGAGCGAGGAGGGATGAGGGTGAGTGAGTGAGTGAGTGAGTGAGTGAGGGAGTGAGTGAGAGAGGGAGGGAGGGAGGGCCATCCCCTTGCGCTCAGCTTTCGTTTTTTTTTCATCTCACCATTCTCGCTCCTCCACATCTGGTGATGACTCGCCATGGCGACCTGCTGAAAGCAGTTTACCTCAAGCGCAGTCCCACCTCCATCCTTCCTTGTACCCCAGTTCCTATTCGTACTCCCATCTCTTGTTTGCAACGTTGTTGCGCCCCCACCTCACTAGGCGATATCCTGGTGATGACTCGCCATGGATGGAGACCTGCTGAAAGCAGCTAACCTCAACCGCTGCTCGCCGTGGTCTCCACCCCTTCCCTTCTCACTCCCCATCTTCATTGTTTCTCCCTTCTTGACTTCAGGACATGACTCGTTGTGGTCACCCCCTGAAAGCAGCTGACCTCAACCGCTGCTCCGCGTCCTTACTCCGTCTCTATTTTTATTCACATATCTGATTGTTCTCGCCTTGTTCCCATCTTTTCTCTTACCCCGCACCGCCACCCCACCAGGTGATGACTCGTCGTGGTGATCCGCTGAAAGCAGCAGAACTCAACCGTTGCTCCTCCTCGCAGGCAGCGTCCATCGTCATCCTCTCACCCGAGCTGCTGGTCTCATTGCCCTATCTCTTATTTTATTCGTACCCGCACCTTTGTCACACCAGGTAATGACTCGTCGTGGTGATCCGCTGAAAGCAGCCGATCTCAACCGCTGCTCCGCCTCCCAGGCAGCGTCCATCGTCATCCTCTCGCCCCAACTGGCCTCCCGCCAGCAGGCGGACGCTCAGGTGAAAGAAACAGACGCTCAGGTGCAAACAGCAGAGGCTCAGGTAAAAAAAACAGACGGTCAGGTGCACAGCACACAACAGACGTTCAAGTGACAAGTTTTGACTGGATTCATGGTTTATGGTTGTGAAATGTTGTTGTTGGTCGTCCACGTGAGTGATTGTGGAACAGTCTGTTCAGGGAAGGAACAGACTGGGCCAGTCTCAGTCTTGTACATTCGAGTCGACTCAAGAGTCACCCTTTGAGTCAACGCAAAAGTGATTTCGTTTGGATTCATGGTTTATGGTTGTGAGATGTTGTTGTTGGTCGTCAAGGTGATTGTGCAACCAGCAGGTGATTGTGATTGTCGTCAAGGCATATTCCCCAGCGAGCTGCAGACTTAACTAGGCTTAAGCTAGTTGTGGAACCATGCCCCAGGTGATTGTGGAACCATGAACAGTCTGTTACTCAGTCTGGACTGGAAGGAACAGACTGAGCCAGTATTGTACAAGGAGCAGAAGTTGATTCTCAAACATCGCTCACAACAGACTGAGCCAGTCTTGCACAAGGAGCAGAAGTTAACTCTGGGTCAGAGATGCCTGTTTCATAATCTTGTTGCTCGTTGCACATTGCTCACTCCTGTGGCTCAGGATACCAATTTAGTATTCTTGTTGCTCGTTGCTCAATGCTCACTCCTCCATGTTCCACGTCACCATCAGGTGCTGCAAACCGCCATGGCACTGGCGATGCTTCCTGAAATCCAGGGTGACGTGGTTGCTGAGCTGGCATGCCCTGAAAACACGATGCTGCTGGGGAAGCTGCACGCGAGCCTGATGAAACGACTGGATAAGGCGAGACAGCAGCACATGCTGGGGTGAGTGAGTTGATGGGTTGACTGTTCAGAGAGAACCCCCCTGACTTGGCTTATCCATCCAAAGAGCATTAATGCTGCTGGGGAAGCTGCACGCGAGCCTGATGAAACGACTGGATAAAGCCAGGCAGCAGCACATGCTGGGGTGAGTGAGTTGATGGGTTGACTGTTCAGAGAGAACCCCCCTGACTTGGCTTATCCATCCAAAGAGCATTAATGCTGCTGGGGAAGCTGCACGCGAGCCTGATCAAACGACTGGATAAAGCCAGGCAGCAGCACATGCTGGGGTGAGTGAGCATTGTGGATTGTTGGGTTGGGAGTGAGGCAATGTGGAAGAACTCACCCACCTCATCCTCATTTCCATCCTCATTTCCATCCACATTTCCATCCAGGACATCATCTGAGGCTGCTCGCCTTGTCACCCATGCGGGATCAGCAGCCACAGCCATCACCACTGCACCATCTCCCTCCGCTGCTACGACCACCACTGCCGCAACAAACCCCTCCTCTTCAATCCCCACCGCCACCACCGAAAGCACTGCAGCAGCTGCTGCCTCCACCACTACCAGCCACGCTTCGCCGGCCGGACAAGCGAGGACCGGCTCGCGTGGCTCGTCCGCTTCTGCGGGGCAGAGGCGACGCAAGCTGGTGCCTGTGGAGACGGGCGGCATGGCTTTAAGAGGGCTGGTGGACCTGGCGCTACAGCCGGCTAGCCATGCTGTGACTGCTGAGCTGCTTGGGTTTAAAGGAGCAGAATTCCACTTCAAGGAATGGTGAGCGAATGAAGAGGGAATTGGGCGAATAGGGAGAGTAGTGAGAGATGGGAACTGTTACGCTACAGCCAGCTGCCTCTGAGAGGGCTGGTGGACCTGGCGCTACAGCAGGCCAGCCATGATGTGACTGCTGAGCTGCTGGGGTTTAAAGGAGCCAAATTTCACTTCAAAGAATGGTGAGAAATTAAAGGAGTGGTGAGAATGAAGGGAGACGGGATGGGATGGGATTGGATGGGATGGGATAAGGAGGTGGGATGGGATGGGATGGTTGGATGGCGGCATGGCTCTAAGAGGGCTAGTGGACCTGGCGCTACAGCCGGCCAGCCAAGCTGTGACTGCTGAGCTGCTGGGGTTTAAAGGAGCAGAATTCCACTTCAAGGAATGGTGAGAATGAAGGGAGTTGCAAGAGGATGGGATGGGAGGGGAGGGGATGGACAGGCGGCATGGCTCTAAGAGGGTTGGTGGACCTGGCGCTACAGCCGGCCAGCCATGCTGAGACTGCTGTGCTGCTGGGGTTTGAAGGAGCAGAATTCCACTTCAAGGAATGGTGAGAGAATGAAGGGAGAATGGTGACTGACTGGTGGATGCTGTGCGGCAGGTTCCCTGTTTCCGCCATGTAGCAGGCGGCGAGGCGTGCAGCATGGCAGATGGTGGGCCAGCGACATTATACCGAGTCGATTCAAAAGTCACGTCGTTGTGTGGCAGGTTCCCTGTTTGTGCCATAAGTGGCGTGCAGCATGGCAGATGGTGGGTGGGCCGGCTGGCACCACAGGTCGTCTGCTTTTGAGTCAACTCAAAAGCTGACTGCTGGACGTTGTGCGGCAGGTTCCCTGTTTCTGCCGTGTAGAGTGGCGACCTGTACCCACCATCTGCAGCATGGCAGATGGTTGGCGGGCTGGCTGGCAGCACAGGTCGTCTTCCCCTCCCATTCCTCCCCATTTCAAGCTGCCACTGCCAACACCCCTCGTCCCCGCAGGAAGGAGCTAGAGGGTCGCACCTTTGCCAAAGCAGTGTTTCAAAATATGAGGACGCTGTGCTGTGTGGAGTGCAGCAGATGGTGGTGGGCTGGCTGACTGGCTGGCTGGCTGGTTGGATGGCAGCTCGGTATCCAGAAGATGATGTGCTGTGCTGTGCTGTGCTGTGCGGAACACGTGTTGGTGCTCTTTCTCCACGCAGGAAGGAGCTTGAGGGTCGCACCTTTGCAGAGGCGGTGTTCATGTTTGAAGACGCTGTGCCGTGCGGGGTGCAGCAGATGGTGGGTTTGGAGGATGAGCGGACACTTATCAACCCTCCTGGTGACACTGTGATTGAGGTGAGTGAGTGGGTCTAGGGGAGACGGGGTGGATGATGGGACATTGATTGGAGGGAGTGTGCAGCAGATGGTGGGCACGGATTCCTCATCACCCTCCCTTTTCTCACCTCTCGCGCACGCCACATCAGCCCGGGGACCGTCTGCTGGTCATCGCTGAGTCAGCAGACAGCTACGCGCCACGTAGGCCGACCGCTGAGTCAGCAAAGGAGCGCGAGCTGGCGGAGAAGCGGCTGGCGTCATTTGCGACGCCGTGGCACTACGACAGCCTGCCACGTGGCAACGTGCGGCGCCGCCACAACGTGCTGATCGCGGGCGAGTGGAGGGATGACGTGGCAGAGGCCCTCCTGCTGCTCAGTTCCAAACTGGCTCCTCGTGAGTCTCTCAACTTTCAATACAGTCACACAGGCTTCAAGGCTAGGTAGTTGGGAGTTTGAGAGGTAGGGAGCTTCATTGCCTCCTCATGACGTGGCAGAGGCCCTCCTGCTGCTCAGTTCCAAGCTGGCTCCCCGTGAGTCTTAAATCGTTCATTCTGTGATAGACACAACATATAGGAGGCTACGAGGTTAGGGGTTTCATTCTCTCCTCATGACGTGGCAGATTCTCTCATGCTGCTCAGCACCAAGCTGGCTCCCCGTGAGTCTCTCAACTTTCTATACAGTCACACAGGTTTGGAGGCTAGGTAGTTGGAGGTTTGGGAGGTAGGTAGCTTCATTCTCTCCTAATGTCTTAGCACAAGGCCCTCCTGCTGCTCGGTGCCAAGCTGGTTCCCTGTGAGTCTTAGCTCGTTTATTCTGTGATAGGTACAACATGCAGGAGGCTAGGAGGTTATGAGGCTAGTGGCTTCATTCTCTCCTAGTGACATGCCAGAGGTCCCCTTTTTCTGCCCACCTTCCCCACACCTTGCCCATCGTTTGATGCCTCCACACCCTTCCTGCACCCCCCTGCTCCCTTCTATACACCTTTCTGTCCCCCTCTGCCCCTCTCGACCCCCCTCTACCCCTGTCTAACCCCTTGTACCCCGTCTTTCACCAAGCAGGCAGTCAGGTGGCAGTGATGGTCGACTCTCCCTCCCTCTCAGCAGCACAGCAGCGGCTCAACCCCTTCATCAAATCAGGCAGCCTCAACCTGAACCTCTCCCTGTGTGAGTGGGTGGCTCTAATTTGGTTTTGAGGCACCTCAACTGTCACTGTGTGAGTGGTTGTGAAGGGGTAGCCTCAACCCCTTCATCAAATCCGGCAGCCTCAACCTCAACCTCTCGCTCTGTGAGTGCTTTTGAAAGCGTCAACACAGACCCTGCCACACGTACTGATTCAACCCCTTCATCAAATCAGGTAGCCTCAATCGCAACCTATCGCTCTGTGAGTGCTTTTGAAAGCCTTTGACACTGTTATCGTGCTCGCCCCTCGCTCGCTCCACCCCCAATGTGTTCTTTCTCTCCTCCCCCACATCCCCTCCCCTGCACACCAGACCACGGCCACCTTGGCTCAATGGCCAATCTGGAAAGGGTTCCTCTAGAGGCCTTCGACACTGTCATCGTTCTCGCCCCCCGCTCGCACCAAGCCTCTCCCACCGACCAGCCGCAGATGCGAGACGATGAGGGGGGAGCGGAGCGAGAGGGGATGGGACCCGCAGCAGGAGCGACACACTCCCCTTATTCTCCTTTCCCCCATTCCCGTTTTCCCTTCTTTCCCACACCCCAGACCACGGGCACCTTGGTTCAATGGCCGATTTGGAAAGGGTTCCTCTAGAGGCCTTCGACACTGTCATCGTTCTCGCCCCCCGCTCGCACCAAGCCTCTCCCACCGACCAGCCGCAGATGCGAGACGATGAGGGGGGAGCGGAGCGAGAGGGGATGGGACCCGCAGCAGGAGCGACACACTCCCCTTATTCTCCTTTCCCCCATTCCCGTTTTCCCTTCTTTCCCACACCCCAGACCACGGGCACCTTGGTTCAATGGCCGATTTGGAAAGGGTTCCTCTAGAGGCCTTCGACACTGTCATCGTTCTCGCCCCCCGCTCGCACCAAGCCTCTCCCACCGACCAGCCGCAGATGCGAGACGATGAGGGGGGAGCGGAGCGAGAGGGGATGGGACCCGCAGCAGGAGCGACACACTCCCCTTATTCTCCTTTCCCCCATTCCCGTTTTCCCTTCTTTCCCACACCCCAGACCACGGGCACCTTGGTTCAATGGCCGATTTGGAAAGGGTTCCTCTAGAGGCCTTCGACACTGTCATCGTTCTCGCCCCCCGCTCGCACCAAGCCTCTCCCACCGACCAGCCGCAGATGCGAGACGATGAGGGGGGAGCGGAGCGAGGAGGGGAGGGTGTTAGTGGTGGCGGTGGGGGTGAGGGGGGAGAGGGGGTACTGATGCCGTCTGCTTCAGTCACTGCTATGATGATTCGGACGGTTCAGAGGGAGCGGGGGCAGGTGGGAGCGATAGTTCTGGCAGAGAGTGATTTTGCGGTGGAGCGGAGGGGAGAGGGAGGGGAGGCGGGCGGGGGAGAGGGGGAGGGGGAGGGGGAAGGAGGGGATGGGGCGGCGGCAGCGGCGGTGGTGGAGGGGGATGTGATGACGGAGGTGTGGGGGAGATGGCTGACTGATTGTATGGATACGAATGCGGTGCATGCGAAGATTCTGGCTCAAACTGCCATGGACCCAGGTGGGTGGGTGGGTAGGTGGTTGGTTGCTGCTGCTGCTGATGTGTGAATGAAGCAGTGTTGGGAAGGGAGATAAGTGGGCGGGGGATGAAGGAGGTGCGAGCAAGATGGCTGACTGACTGTATGGATACGAATGCGGTGCATGCGAAGATTCTGGCGCAAACTGCTATGGACCCAGGTGGGTGTGTGCTGCCGAAGTGGGTGGTTGGTTGCTGCTGCTGATGTGTGAATGAAGCAGTGTTGGGAAGGGAGGTAAGGGGGCGGGGGGTGGAGGAGGTGCAGGGGGAGGTGGCTGACTGATTGTATGGATACGAATGCGGTGCATGCGAAGATTCTGGCCCAGACTGCTATGGACCCAGGTTGGTGGCTGTCGCTGCTGATATGTGAGTGAAGCAGTGTTGGCGGACGGAGTCACTTTTGAGAATTCTCAAAAGTCACTTTTGAGAATTCTCAAAAGTTTTACATGGAGCAATGCCTTCTTCACCTACAAGACAGGGATGTTTACCAAAGGGTAGACAGCATTCCCTGGGAGCAAATTCAGTCCAGCTTTTAAGGATCAGGGAAGGATTTCTTCCTTGCATTCCGAAGAAAGTCTGGGATTACTTGGAGACACCACCATCGACTGGGTGGAAACCAGCCTGGTTCTACATTTTGTTGAAAATGCATAAGAAAATCCCTGTTGGTAGGCCAATAGCAGCCTCCCACTCTTGGGTTACTACTATGGCCTCAAAATGGCTGGATGGGCAGCTCAGACCCCTTCTCAAGAAACAGAAGACCTTCCTGAAGGATAGTACATCTTTACTCGTCAAGATGGAGAGTTTGAAGCTTAGTCCAGATACTATTCTATGCACCTATGATGTTCAGTCTTTGTACCCTTCTATACCAATTCTAGACGGGGTAGAGGCAGTAGATAGGCTCTTATTTCGTGAGAAACACCCTCTTAGGCCATTACTAGTTCAGCTTCTTAGATGGGTGATGCTTAATTCCTTTGTTCAGTTTGATGATATAATATACAAACAGGTACAAGGTATGGCCATGGGTACCCCGGTAGCTCCGATTTTTGCCACCCTATTTATGAGCTGGCTTGATGAAGAGTTATATCGGAAGGTACACCATCTGCCATTAGTACACTACAGGTACATCGACGATGGTTTCATCCTATAGGACAAAGGGAAGGAAGAACTACAGAACTTCCTCACGGCGTTCAACGGACTCCGCCCCACTATCAAGTTTACATGGGAGATCGACGACAACAGCATCGACTTCCTCGATCTTTCCTTTTACAAAGGGAAGAGGTTCAAGGCAACTGGCTGCCTGGACGTGGCGACATTTCAGAAGCCACTGAATAAGTACCTATACCTTCCTTACTCCTCGTACCACTCGAGGGAGTGTAAGGTCGGATTCATCTCGGGGGAGCTTAAGAGACATTGCCTCCGTAACTCTTCAGCCTCCACTTTCTTAGACAGAAAAGCAGCCTTCTTCAATCGACTCAAGGCACGAGGGTATCCGGATGTCTTCCTGCGTCCGATCTTCGACCGTGTGAAGCACAAAGACCGAGACTCTCTGCTCCAAGCCTGCAAAGTGACCAAGACGAGGGAAGCACCCCAGTCCCTGAAGGTAAGAAGATGCCCAAAAACCACGGGCATGGGGCTGGGGAAACTTTTGAGAATTCTCAAAAGTGACTCCCAAATAGCAAATATACAACTCCCTCGTTTGATTTCATGCTGGAAGTTACCAACTCGGTTACGAAACCGTTTGGTAAGAGCGCGCTTCAATAAAGCGAACTCACCTACCGAGCGGAATTCCCTTTGACCTTCGGGACCACTTATCCGCGTGGGTCCAGGATAATCCGACTTGGCAGCTGCTTAGAATTCTGGGCAGATTACACCTTGATGTTTTGCTTGACCTAGGGAATTTGAGGGGGGGTAGGAGAAAAACGGGAATGAGTAGAAAAGGGTTAGAGTAGTCTTCTTCTTCTGTAATCCTACGGCGCTGACGAAGGCCTCACGGCCGAAACGCGTTCGCCCACGTTCTTTACTGAAGTTGGACTTACCAAGTCCTGATTCTACTTTTTTCCCACTCTAAACACCCCTAGCTGTTAGTTAAGAACTTTGAGGAGACTACTCCGCTTGCTGCGGTTCGAACCCATACCCTCGTGCAGACTGCTATGGACCCAGGTGGGTGGCTGTCGCTGCTGATATGTGAGTGAAGCAGTGTTGGCGGACGGGTTGACTTTTGAGTCGACTCAAAAGTCGACAGAGGAGGTGCAGGAGAGGTGGCTGACTGACAGTTTTGATGCACAAGTGGTGCATGCGAGGATTCTGGTGCAAACTGCGTATTGGATGAGATCGTGAGCGTCCGTATAAGACGTCTCAAAATCACACCCATCCCCTGCCGGCACCTCATTACGCAATCCCACCCACTCCTTGCCATGCCAGATGTCGGCGGTGTATTGGACGAGATCGTGAGCGGAGCGGGCTCATCGCTCTCACTGGAAGATGCCACCTCGTTCCTCGTGGACGGGGAAGCACTCTCCTTCTTCGACCTCCAGGTGTGCCTCTCCCTCAACCCCCTCACCCCTCGAAAACATTCCTTTCACTTGTATGGTTGTTCCACACGCACTAGGGCCCTCACCTCACCTGTTGCTCTCACTGGAAGATGCCACCTCGTTCCTCGTGGACGGGGAAGCACTCTCCTTCTTCGACCTCCAGGTGTGCCTCTCCCTCAACCCCCTCACCCCTCGAAAACAGTCCTTTCACTTGTGTGGTTGTTCCACACGCACTAGGGGCCTCACCTCACCTGTTGCTCTCACTGGAAGATGCCACCTCGTTCCTCGTGGACGGGGAAGCACTCTCCGTTTTCGACCTCCAGGTTTGCTGCTTTCCTCCCATGCACCACACACCACGGGCATCGAACGTAAGGGACCTCGCCTCACCTTTTGCTCTCGCTGAAAGATGTCACCTCGTTCCTCGTCGTGGGCAGCAACGCCCTTTCTTTCTTCGACCTCCAGGTTTGCCCCTCCTTCATGCCTCTCCGGGAATCCTCACACTCCTCCCAAAGGGTCACTTGACTCTCTTGCTCTCACCCTCTCTTCCTCGTGGGCGGCGAAGCCCTTTCCTTCTTCGACCTGTAGTTGTGTATGGCTTAGGGCTCTCCTTTAACCTTGGGGTTGTGCATGCATGTACACATTGTGTGCGGGCTCGTTTCTCTCACTGGAAAATGCCACCTCGTTTCTTGTGAACGGCGAAGCACTCTCTTTCTTTGAACTACGGGTGTGTGCGTGTGTGGAGAACCTCTGCGCACGCATACATGCACACAAGCACACACGCTGCACACACACTCCACTCACGGCACGCGCACACACACTGCACACGCGCTCCACTCACAGCACGCACACACACAGAACATCACCCTCCACCCCACACACACTCACACGCACGCACGTGCGCACGCACATGCGCGCGCGCGCGCACACACACACACACACACACACACACATACACACACACACACACACACACACACACACACACACACACACACACACACACACACACACACACACACACACACGCGCGCGCGCGCACGCGCGGCGCACCCATGCACGCACACACGAGTGCACATGGTTTTGTCCATCATGCTTACTAGCCATTGTGTTACCTTCATTGAGGTAGCTTCAACGAGGTAATCCCTATCTCTTCTTGCCATTGTGATCCCTTCGTATTCGCTTCTGGCCATTTATCCCGACGTATTCCCATTATCAAGTATACTTACTAAACCTTCCACCTTCCACTCATTGCAGAGCCGGGTTTTGCGCCGGCGGAAGCTGATGATTGCTTATAACTGTGCTAATAACGGGGGAAGCTGGCAGCTGAACCCTCAAGATAAGAACAAGCCTCTGGTGTGGCGAGCAGGTGACCGCCTCGTGGTGCTGTCTTGATGCTGCATGCTTGCAACAAACTGGTCTTTATACGGCTTGATATTTATGTTGTAGCAACTTTCTTGTTGATACGTTTACCAGACGCGTACATGCTCGAAGATGTGTTCTACCAAATATGCAGGCTCTGGTATTACCGGTATGGCCTGAATTGTAGTTTCATAAATGTCATGTTTCATTGAAGAATTTGACATTTTGATGTATGTGAACGAGCTCATGCGCTATATCGAGGTGCTTTTCAGTGAAGTGTACCTTTCCAGCGTTTCCCAGCCTTCCCCGCACTTCCTCCCGCTATTTCCGCCACCCTCGACTCTTCTTTAATTGACGGCAGTATGCAGTAGACGCACGATACGCCGTCGATGCTCTGCCAAATTTACCACCGTCTCCGTGCTAGCCTCGCGAATTTCCACCGCGAGCAGTCCAGATCGTGTCTGTTTCGAAACTGTGGTGGGATCGTTTCAAGAGGAATCGCCTTATCTGTTTAGGGGGTTTTCTTTTGCGAGGTGGATTCTGGTTCCATCCGTATCCCACTGAGCGGATTTTCTTGTAGTTCTCGTCCGTTGTGGTAACCTTTCATTTGTTTTTCGCCGAGGAACTTTCGCATGATGGTGGCGGCAGTGACGGCGCGGCCCCCGTCGCACGCGGCGGCATCAGGCGCTTCGGCGGGATGGTTGTGGCCGTTGATTGGCACTGCTGCGTCGATCGCCTTCGCGTCCGCCTTCTCGCTCACTCTCCGCATCCTGCGCGGACTCTCCGCGTCGCGCACCGCCGCGCTGCATCCCCCCCAGGTACGCGGTTAGCCCGCGCTACAGCCTCCGCGGGTGCGACGTCAGCCCGCGGTGCGTCGTCGGTCACTCTTGGCGTCATCACCTGCCGCTAGTCCCCACGGAGCCGCCTCTTTGTCTCCTTCGTTCAGCTTCCTTCCTTCTCCAACTCTTGCGAGGCCCTCGTTTCAAACGGCGTTTCTAGCGAACGACTTGCAAACGACCCTCTTTTCGAACGACTCCCTGGGATGTCCCACTGTGCGCCTTTTGAGTCGACTCAAAAGCGCTGCGCGCCTTGCTCCGTTCACCTCCCCCTTCGTTAAGTCACTTGTCACGACTCTAGGTGCTATTCCCCTTCATTTTTTTTTTTCAATTTCCCTACACTCAAGGCCCATCTTCGTACTGGGAGGGGAGGGGACTGCAACCGACTGGGAGATCTCATTACGCTCCCTGCCCTCTCTCCTCATCCGTCGTTTCCTCCTCTCACCATTCCCCTCAGGCCATTCTCGTGCTGGGAGGGAATCGGTATAGGGAACGGCTGGCTGGGAGATTCGCTGCCCTATTGGCTGCCCCACACCAACGTGGCGGCAGCAGCGGCAGCGGCCAGAGCGGCAGCAGCAGCAGCAGCAGCAGTGGTGATGCTGGTAGCACCGCCGCTGCTGCTGCTGCTGTTTCTTGCCTTGCGTTTGATCCCATCTTCACCCCAATCCTCTCCCAAGCCTCTAGCCGACGGCACACTCGACTCCCTCCCTCCCGCGCACGCTGCAGCAAGTGGGAAGCTTCCAGTGTTCATTTCGTCAGGCAATGATGACGCTGCTGACGTCATGATGAGGGAGGGAGTGGCTGCCGGGCGGTTACGGGTGGATAACCACGCGCTGGACACGGTTACCAATTTCACGGAAATGTTACGGACTTTCCAGAGGTTGAAAATAACGCATGTGCTGGTGGTGACTTCGGATTACCACATGCCGCGCGCGGCTATGATGGCAAAGATTGTGCTTCAAACGCATGGGATCGCGTTCTCTACAGTAACGCTTCCGAGTAGACCAGAGACGTGCAAGAAAGGTGGGGCAAGCGAAACAATGGGTAAGGATGGAGCGAGGGAGAGAACTGGTGGTGGTACAGGGGTTAAGGGAGGAGGGGAGGAGGAAGAGGAGGTGGAAAAAGAGGAGGTTGAAGAAATTGAAGAGGAATCAAAGTTGAGGTTGGCGAGGGATAGATTACGAGGGTTATTTTGGTTGGTAACCGGCTGGCACGGGGCGGAGTTTCTGAGGTTCACCCGCCCGGAGCGATACAGGTTGCACAAGCAAAAGCCTCTTGTTGTGTGTCCCGTGTCAAGGGAGCAGCTGTGAGTGTAGGGAATTCTAGAAGGACGTGGGCAAGTACTGCACCGTACCTTTGTCAGATTGTAACTTCTTTTGTACAGTGGTCTCGATGTATTTGTGTACATTTGCTTCGAGCTTGCCTCATTGTTACTGGTAGAACGCAGTAAAGCGACTTAGTGTGCATCTACGTACGTGTGTGCTGAAGTGTTAGTATGTTCCCAAATTGTTTTTTTGCTTGGGTGTGCTTTCTGTTGCATCATAGATGATGCGAGCTTAAGCACTCTGTTGTTGCAACCATTGCTGTACGTTGCGGAAAAACAAGCAGCGTGCCTGTATCGGGTATCGGAGCCCTCAAGGATTCCTCGCCCGGGCGGCCCTTTCGGGCAGATCGAGGAACAGTAGCAGAGCAGACTCGCAGGATAGCATTCCGCTTCAGCAGTAGCTGGTGCCAGGCTAGTAGCGCGTACCGCACCATGGCACAACTGGATTCTCCGTGTTTCGCGCATGTAGCCTGAATCGCGTAGTCTCTAATCGCCGCTCGGTCATCCTTTACAATGGCTCTGTATCCTCGCTATTAGAGTGCTTCGTTACTGCATTGCGCGGCGGTTGCCGCCCGAGTTCGTGAAATTTCCCACGCTATCGTTGAACAGTGCACGTTTCTTCTCCGAATCGCATTATGATTCACCATGTCTTCCTCGCGTGCGTGCTGGTCCTCGCCTCTCCGCAATTCGCGGCGGCTCGCACCACCGCATCAGCCGTGGCGATGGGTGACGTGGCAGAAGAGACAAAACGCGCCGCCTTAACTGTTCCGCGCCACGTGTCAGCCGAACCCGTAGCCACCGCGCCGGGCCAGGCTCCGGAATTCTCGCTGATGCGATCCGACGTGGCGGCCAACGCGTCGTTTGCTTACGCGGCAATCCTGTACATGGGCACGCCACGAGACTACGAGTATTACGTGGCGACACGTGTCATGCTGCAGACCGTCCGACGCACGGGCACCGTCGCGGATCTCGTCGTGCTGGCATCCGAAGACGTCCCTGCCACGTGGACCAATACGCTGTGAGTGAACGAACCCTCATTCAAGGACACTTACACAATTTCTGTGATGAGCAAATCAAATCGAATCGAATTGAATTCCCTGTTTCACTGACACAAGTATGGTTCTCCTGTTTGGATCGTATGGTTCTGGCCTCCGAAACCGTCCATCCCACCCACCTCATGCACTAGTCTCCTTTTACTCTGAGTGAATCCCGTTGCATTTGCGTGACGATGTGACTTATGGGTCGACTCAGAATTCGCCCACCTCATGCAGTTCCACTTTGAGTGAACCGAACTTGCATTTGCGTAAGCGAACGGCGGTCCCTTTTCTCTTTGGTAGAGACACCTCTCCCTCTCCCCACTCCTCACGCCAGCAAGAAGGAGGGGTGCAGGTGGTGCGGGTGAGCAACGTCCCCAACCCTTACTGCACCACGTTGGCCTTCAACCCGCGCTTCTCCTTCCATCACATCATGTGTGCCACTAATCGTATCGCCCTGGCCATCCCCCATCCCCGATCCCCTGTTTCTCTCCTCCCCCTCCCCACGGAGGGCGTGCGGGTGGTGCGAGTCAGCAACATCCCCAACCCCTACCGCATCACTCCCGCTTTCAACCCGCGCTCCCCATCCCATCATGCCATGTGTGCTAGTAGTAGTGGTAACACCCCGCCATCCCCCCTCTCCCACTCCTCCCCTCTGCCAGCAAGAAGGAGGGCGTGCGGGTGGTGCGAGTGAGCAACGTCCCCAACCCCTACAGGGGCACTCCCTCCTTCAACCCACGCTTTCCCTTCGCCCTCAACAAGCTGCTCCCTCTGTTCCCCTCCCCCCCTTATCATTGCCAGCAAGAGGGAGGGTTGTACGGGTGAGCAACATCCCCAACCCCTACCGCACCACGCCCGCCTTCAAACCCGCGCTTCCCCTTCGCCCCATTCCCCCTCCCCCATCCTCTCCTCCCCTCCCTCAGCAAGAAGGAGGGCGTAGGGGTAGTACGGGTGAGCAACATCCCCAACCCCTACCGGGGCAGTGCGGCCTTCAACCCGCGCTTCCCCTTCCCACCATCCCCCCCTCCCCTGTTTCTCCCTCCCCATCTGCCAGCAAGAAAGAGGGCGTGCGCGTGGTGCGGGTCAGCAACATCCCCAACCCCTACCGCAGCACGCCCGCCTTCAACCCTCGCTTCCCCTTCGCCCTCAACAAGCTGCTCCCCCTGTTCCCCTCCTCTCTTGTTCATCCAGCAAGGAGGGCGTGCGGAGCAACATCCCCAACCCCTACCGCACCACGCCCGCCTTCAACCCGCGCTTCCCTTTCCCTCTTCCCACCCTTCTCTCCTGTGCCAGCAAGAAGAAAGGGGTGCGGGTGGTGCGGGTGGTGAGGGTGAGCAACATCCCCAACCCCTACCGCAGCACTCCTGCCTTCAACCCGCGCTTCCCCTTCGCCCTCAACAAGCTGCTTCCCCTGTTCCCCTCCTCCCCTCCTCAACAGCAAGAAGGAGGGTGTGCGGGTAGTGCGAGTGAGCAACATCCCCAACCCCTACCGCAGCACGCCCGCCTTCAACCCGCGCTTCCCCTTCGCCCTCAACAAGCTGCTCGCGTGGCGCCTGCGCGAGTACAAGCGAGTTGTGCTGCTACTGGAAACACCCTCTCCCGCTCCCTCTCCCTCTCGCTCTCCTCTCTTCCCTCTCTCTCCCTCCTCCTCCCTCCCCTTCTCCCAGCAAGAAGGAGGGCGTGCGCGTGGTGCGAGTGAGCAACATCCCCAACCCCTACCGCAGCACCCCTGCCTTCAACCCGCGCCTCCCCTTCGCCCTCAACAAGCTGCTCGCGTGGCGCCTGAGGGATTACAAGCGCGTCATGCTGCTGCTGGAAACACCCTCTTCCTCTTCCTCTTTCCCCCCATCTCCCTCTCTCCCCCTCTCTCCCCTCCCATGTTTCCCTCCTCCCACCACCAGCAAGAAGGAGGGCGTGCGGGTGGTGAGGGTCAGCAACATCCCCAACCCCTACCGCAGCACCCCTGCCTTCAACCCGCGCTTCCCCTTCGCTCTCAACAAACTGCTCCCCCTGTTCCCCTCATCCCCTTTCATTGCCAGCAAGAAGGAAGGGGTGCGCGTGGTGAGGGTCAGCAACATCCCCAACCCCTACCGGGGCAGTGCGGCCTTCAACCCGCGCTTCCCCTTCGCCCTTAACAAGCTGCTCGCGTGGCGCCTGCGCGAGTACAAGCGAGTCGTGCTTTTGGATGCAGATAACCTTGTGATGAAGAATGTGGACGAGCTGTTTCAGTGTGGCAGCATGTGCGCAGTCTTCATCGACCCGTGCACCTTCCACACTGGGCTGATCGTGCTTAAGGTGTGTGTGTTTATTGAGTCGCTTTATAACGGGGATGGGAGTACAAGCGAGTCGTGCTTCCAGATGGGGACAGTCTGGTCCTGAAGAACGTGGACGAGTTGTTTCAGTGTGGCAGCATGTGTGCCGTCTTCATCGACCCGTGCACCTTCCACACCGGGCTCATCGTGCTTAAGGTGCATGTGTTTGAGTCACCTTATAACGGGGATGTAAGTACAAGCGAGTCTTGCTGCTCGATGCGGACCATTTGGTCCTGAAGAGCATGAACGAGTCATTTCAATGCGGCAGCATGTGTGCCGTCTTCATCGACCCCTGCACTGAAAGATGTGTTCATAGACCCATGTCTCTTCCACACTGGACTCGTGGTGCTTAAGGTGAGTCAAGAATGTAAGATGAGTTGTTTCAGTGTGGCAGCGTGTGCGCCTTGTTTTTTGACCCATGCATGCATCTTTCACATCACACCGGCCTGGTTGTTTTGAAGGTGAGTACAAGCAAGCTGGTGTAACCCCCACTTCAGGCAACCCTCAATAAGATGCTCGCGTGGCGCGCGCCTGCGCGAGTACAAGCAAGGCGAGCTGTTGACTTTTGAGTCAACTCAAAAGTCAACGCGCCTGCGCGAGTACAAGCGAGGCGTGCTGTTTTGAAAACATGCTGAACCCACTCACACGGTAATTCCCACATGCTGGATGTTAATTTCCCAACTGCATGGTAATTCACACGGTTAGGGTGAGTGTATTCAGCATGTTTTGAGTCGACTCACTCAAAGTAAATCAGCATGTAGGGAAGCAAATCAAATCCTCATTCCCCCCTCCCCTTGTCTCCTTTCTCCTTCCCCCCCCAGCCGTCAGTGAAGGTGTTCAAGGACATGATGCAGCAGCTGCGCTCCCTCCTCTCCTTCCCCCTTCCCTATCCACTCCACCTGTTCCTTCACCCAACCCCGCTCTCTTCCCCTCTCCCCAACCCCTCCTCACCCCCAGTCGTCAGTGAAGGTGTTTAAGGACATGATGCAGCAGCTGCGCTCCCTCCCGTCACACTCACACGCCCTTCTTCTTTCCTACTCGCCCCCTCCCAACTCTCCCCCCAGCCATCAGTGAAGGTATTCAAGGACATGATGCAGCAGCTGCGCTCTCTCCCGTCACATCTCATCTCAGCGCCCATTATTTTGTGCCCATCTGCTGACCTCTTTCTTCTTTCTCTTTTCCCCTCCACACCGCCAGCCGTCAGTGAAGGTGTTCAAGGACATGATGCAGCAGCTGCGCTCTCTCCCGTCACATCTCATCTCAGCGCCCATTATTTTGTGCCCATCTGCTGACCTCTTTCTTCTTTCTCTTTTCCCCTCCGCACCCCCCAGCCATCAGTGAAGGTGTTCAAGGACATGATGCAGCAGCTGCGCTCCCTCCCATCACGCGATGCAGCGGACCAGGCTTCCTCAACCGCTACTTCCCCTCCCTGCTCGCCTCAGAGCCCCTTCCCCTGCTGGTCTCTTCCCCTGTCCGCACCCCCCCTTCTCCTTGACCAGCCGTCAGTGAAGGTGTTCAAGGACATGATGCAGCAGCTGCGCTCCCTCCCGTCACACGATGCAGCGGATCAAGGCTTCCTCAACCGCTACTTCCCCACGCTGCTCGCCTCACCGCTTTTCGTGCCTCCCGAGGACGGCTCGTCACTCAAAGGGCAATTCAGACTGCCCATGGGGTACCAGATGGACGCCATCTTCTACAGTGAGTACAATGGGGTAGTAGTACATCTTGTTATAGTCACATGGGGCAATGGAAAGGGCACAACGCTCAAAGGGCAGTTCTGGCTGGCCATGGGGTACCAAATGGACGCCATATTTTGCAGTGAGACGACTTTTGAGGCGCCTAAAAAACTTTACAGTGAGCATGAAGAACCATACTGCACTATGCAGTGAGTGTACTGGGTTTAGGGTAAGGGAGCATGGTCTTTCCCCACGCTGCTCGCTGTTTGAGAATTCTCATGACAGCGCCACGCAGTGAGTGTACTGGGTTTAGGGTAAGGGAAGGTGGGTTTGAGGCGCCTCAAAACTGTACTGGGTTTAGGGTAAGGGAACATGGACTTTCCTAGCCCTGCTCGCCAGCCCTCTCTTCATGCCTTCCCACCAACGGCCAGGCGCTCCAAGGGCAGTTCAGGCTGCCCATGGGATACCAGATGGACGCCATCTTCTACAGTGAGTGTCTTGTTACTAGCACATCCTGTTATAGGGCAAGGAAAGAAGCCGTTTCCCACTCTGCTCTGCTCGCCTCACCCCTCTTCATGCCTTCCCACCAACGGCCCGGCGCTCCAAGGGCAGTTCAGACTGCCCATGGGATACCAGATGGCACTATCTATCACAGTGAGTGTAACCCATCACTATAGCACATCCTGTTAGAGTCACATGGGGCAAGGGGAGAGGGTTCAGTTCAGGCTGTTCATGGGATACCAGATTTCCTCCCAAACCCCCCACCCTCTTCCTCCCAAACCCCCCACCCTCTTCCTCCCCAAACCCCTCGCCTAAACCCTGAACCCTTCCCCCTCTTCCCTGTCCTTGGATCTTCACTCGCCGCCAGATCTCAAGTTCAAGTGGGAGGTGCCGTGCTCAGACAACAAGGTCATCACCTTCCCCTGCTCTCTCTTGCCCCTCTCTCCCCTGTCCCCCCCTCCCTCACACTCTTTCACTCCAGATCTCAAGTTCAAGTGGGAGGTGCCGTGCTCAGACAACAAGGTCATCACCTTCTCCGGAATCTCACAAGTATACCCTCATCCCTCATCCCCCTTGTCCCCCTCTCACCTTTTCCTTCTCCCTCTCTCCCCCACTCTTCTTTCATCCAGATCTCAAGTTCAAGTGGGAGGTGCCTTGTTCAGACAACAAAATCATCACCTTCCCCGGAATCGCGCACTTAAAGCCCTGGTTCTGGTGGTTCTACCCGCTCCTCGCCCACTCCCTGCACTGGCACTCCTGACGCCTCTCCACCATCGGCTACTCCGCTCACCTCTCTCCTTAACGCCCCTCTCCCCTCTCCCCTCTCCCCTCTCTCTCTTCCCTTTCCGCCACTCTTTGTTCATCCAGATTTGAAGTTCAAGTGGGAGGTGCCTTGCTCAGACAACAAGATCATCACCTTTCCCTGCTCTCTCTTGCCCCTCTCTCCCCTCTTCCCTCTTCCCCTGCTCTCTTCCACTCCAGATCTTAAGTTAAAGTGGGAGGTGCCTTGTTCCGACAACAAGATAATCACCTTCCCTGGACTCGCCCACTTAAAGCCCTGGTTCTGGTGGTCCTACCCGCTCCTCGCCCTCTCCCTGCACTGGCACTCCTGGCGCCTCTCCACCATCGCCTACTCCTCCCACCTCCCCCTCCATGCACTGCCACTCCTCCCACCTCTTCCACTTCCATCCCTCTTACCCATTACCCGTCTCTCCCCCCCCCCCGCTCCCCTCTCCCTTCTCTCCTTCTTCCCTCTTCCCCTGGTCGTTTTTACTCCAGATTTGAAGTTCAAGTGGGAGGTGCCATGCTCAGACAACAAGATAATCACCTTCCCCGGAATCGCGCACTTAAAGCCCTGGTTCTGGTGGTCCTACCCGCTGCTCGCCCTCTCCCTCCACTGGCATTCCTGGCGCCTCGCCACCATTGGCTACTCCTCCCACCTCCCCGCCTGCCTCTCGGCCGGCGTCTTTTGGCTCGTAGTGCTCGCGCTCAGCCACGTCATCTCCCGGGCGGCAGCCGACCCGTCCTCGATTTTATACCGCCTCACGAGGTGGTGTCAGGGGTCCAGACATGCCGGCGGCCCCCCTGTTGTCTCAGGCATAGGGGGGAGCGCAGCGGGAGGGGGAGGAGCGGGAGGAGGAGGGGGAGTAGGATCGCCATCTCCTTATTCCCGGCTAGGAGCGCTTGGAACAGGGTTGGGGACGCCAGGAGGGGGGGCAAATGGGGGTGTAGGTGGAGGGGTGGCAGGAGCTACAGGAGCAGGAGCGGCAGCAGCAGCTGCTGCTGCTACTGGGGGAGCATCAGGTCTCCTCTCCTACCTCTCCCCCCGCTTGCTCCTCACTCTCGCCCTCACGGTTCTCTCCGCGTTTGTCTCGTTCTGGCTCGTGCCGACCACTGTACACCCGTTTCTCGGCTGGCTGCTCTTCACGTTCGGTACCTTTTCTGGATTGTCGCTAGTTAAAGCCCTGGTTGGAGCCACAGCAGCGATTTTCTGGCTGCTACAGTACCTGGTGGTGGCGCTTATTGTCTTGGGATTGCCGGTTTACTCGGCTTTGGTGTTTAAGTTGTGTGTGATGCACCTGCTCGCGTTTGGAGCGGGAGCGGTGCTGCTGGTGCAGGTGCAAGCGCTGCAGTTTGGGTTCCTCACAGGGGCTGGTTTGGCACCTAGGCCTACTAGCTCATCGGGTGGCCGATCACTCTTAGATTAGAACAGTGATCGAGGGTGTGTGCTTGCAACGTCTCAGAAAGCAGTGCTGCTGGTGCAGGTGCAAGTGCTGCAGTTTGGGTTCCTCACTGGTGCTAGTTTGGCACCTAGGCCCACTAGCTCGTCGGGTGGACAATCCCTCTTAGATTAGAATAGTGATGGAAGGTAGAAGTGTTTTTGCGTCGTCTCAGGAAGGGGTGCTGCTGGTGCAGGTGCAAGCGCTGCAGTTTGGGTTTCTCACTGGGGCTGGTTTGGCTTGGCTCCAAGGCCCACTAGCTCATTAGGAGGCCACTCCCTTCTGGATTAGAATAGCGGTAGAAGTGTTTCATTACAATCTGTTGCGGCGAATGCTGAATCCTACCTGATATTGGAAGATAGGTGCATTAATGCGCTTCTGATGTCTTACCTTGATGAAACAATGTCAAACTTGGGGTTGGTGGTTTAGTTGGGCATTATTTAGTCATGAGTCATGACCCTTTTGGAGAGGATGAGTATGAATCAGCCCGACATATGCTGACCACGGAAAATAGCTCTTACAACAAAACGGGTAACACGTTTCTTGTCGCGTACGACGAGACCCTCCCTGACACACCAAAATTCTGGCGGGAATTTGAAACGACCGTTTGAAATTGCTTCCATCAGTTGGCGTCAGTTATGAGTTATGGCCCCAAACATCCGAAGGTTTAGGAGAAAATAGTAGAGGCCGAAGAGACTACAACCAATGTATCTAGATTTTCTATTGGTCTATTTTCTAGGCTAGCTGAGCAGAAGTCTTAGTCGCTCGTTTACAGTACAGTGGACTTGAGAGAAGGTCTGAGACTTCTTAGAGTCACTTTTTATCGGATAATACAAGATCCCTCTTTCCTCTTTGCTTCCGTTTCGAAGCACGGCAGTAGAAATTATCTTGTCGTTTCAAGTAAAGAGAAGCCTCCACGAGGATTCTGAGAGCATCTAGTCATAGATTAAGCTGTTTGTTTCTGAAGGCGATTGTTAGGAAAGGCCCCACATGAAGCAGCTTGGAAGCGTCGTGCCCTTACCGAAGAGCTTACTAAGGAGTTCCTTGTTCCCAGGTCACCCAAGAAATGCCTCTAGGGTCAGTACTTTCAGAAATGCCTCTCAAGCCACCCTGATTGGTGGATTCAAAATTCGTGTTTCCGCGCACCTGCGCGATGGCACCGATGGCGCCGCCAAGAACGGGGGGACAGGCGGAAGGCGGAAGCCGGTTGGTGCAAGGACAGGTCACATTGGCGGAAGGGCGACTGGCGGAAGGGCAATTGGGGGAAGAGTCATGGGCGCGAGGGGGGATGCCTTGACGGTGGAGTTCGGGGAAGGGCGGAGTGTTGTGCTGGAGGGGGGAAGGCGATTGGCGGAAGTGGGGACGTGGGGAATCGGCGGGCCTGCGGAGTGGCTGGCAGAGGTGACAACAGTAGATGAAATGGCGGCAGTGCTTAGGTAAGTGCTGGTGGGAGGGCACTGGAGTTTCAATCAGGGTGGTTGCTTGACTTGAACAGGCCAATGACAAGGAGTGGGGACGTGGGGAATCGACGGCTTTTGAGTCCGACTCAAAAGCAATCAGGGTGGTTGCCTGACTTGAACAGGTCAGTGACAGTCCTTGAAGTGGGGACGTGGGGGCTGGCGGAGGTGACTGGTGGTAAGGCGCTGGACTGTCAGTGACAGGAAGTGGGGACGTGGGGAATCGGCGGGCCGGCGGAGTGGCTGGCGGAGGTGACGACAGTTGATGAGATGGCGGCAGTGCTTAAGTAAGTGCTGGTATCGCTTTTGAGCATTGTCAAAAAAAGATTGGTTGGCGGAGGTGACGACAGTCGATGAGATGGCTGCAGTGCTAAGGTAAGTGCTGGTATTACTCTTGAGAATTGTCGAAACGGATTGGCTGGCGGAGGTGACGACGGCAGATGAGATGACGGCGGCGTTGAAGTAGTGCTCGTGGGAGAGCGCTCATGCTTTATCACGGTCTCCGACTGCCTGTTTGTTAACGGTCAAAATGCCCCGTATTGTTTCCTGCTCCCCTTTCCTGTGCGTTCCAGGTTCTGCAACAGCAATGCCATCGGAGTGGTGGTGATAGGCAAGGGTTGCAACTGCCTGTTTGTTAACAATCAGAATGCCCCGTATTGTTTGTTTCCTGCACCCGCTCCCTGTGGACTCAGGTCCTCCCAGAAAAAAATCTATTCGCGCGGTGGTGATAGTCAAGGGCTCCAACTGCCTGTTTGCCAGACAGGGTTTTCCCAATACATTCTTGCACCCCTTTCTTTCCCTTTCCCCCCGTTGCCCCTCAGGTTCTGCCACAGCAACAGCATCCGTGCTGTGGTGATAGGCAAGGGCTCCAACTGCCTGTTTGAGGACCGCGGGTTCAGGGGGTGTGTGATCGTCAACAGAATCGCGTACAAGCGCGTGGAGTACACAGATGCTGCTGCTGCTGCTTCGTCGCTTTTTGAGTCGACTCAAGTAGCGCACAAGCGCGTGGAGTACACAGACGTTGCTGCCCCTTCCTCTGTGCACAGACACAGCACCACCAGCCATGGCGACAGCAATAACAGCAGCGGCAGAAATAACAGAAGCTCCAGCAACACTGGCAGCAGTAGCAGCGGAAGCAATGACACGGACAGCAGTAGCAGCACAGGGGCATCTGATTGCGATGCGTTGGTGCACGTGGGGGGAGGGTACCCGTTCAACCTACTGGGAGTGGAGTGCTCGCGAGACGGCCTCTCAGGGCTGGAGTTTGCAGGCGGCATTCCCGGCACCGTTGGGGGCGCTGTCTTCATGAACGCAGGGGCGGATGGACAGGTGAGAGACGGGTTAGGGTGTGGTAATTGGTGCCAGGCAGGCAAGCAACTGAGTGCAACGCACTGGTGCAGGTGGTGGGGGGGGGGGGGGTGGTGGAGGTGAGGGGTGGGTGGTGCACGTGGGGGGAGGGTACCCGTTCAACCTGCTGGGCGTGGAGTGCTCGCGAGACGGGCTCTCAGGGCTGGAGTTTGCAGGCGGCATTCCGGGCACCGTTGGGGGGCGCTGTCTTCATGAACGCGGGGGCGGATGGGCAGGTGAGAGGCAATAGGGATAAGGGGAATTCAGGGGGGTAAGGGGACTTCAGGGGGATGAGGGGAATACAGGGGAATGAAGTGGATGAGGCATTCCCGGCACCGTGGGGGGCGCTGTCTTCATGAACGCGGGGGCGGACGGGCAGGTGAGGGAGCATAAGGGGTGAGGTGATTACAGGGGAGTGGGGGAATGCGGCATTCCCGGAGCTGCTGGGGGCGCTGTGTTCATGAACGCGGGGGCGGACGGGCAGGTGAGAGAGACACGCTAGGGAATGAGGGAAACACAGGGGTGTGAGGGAATCCAGGGATGAGGCATTCCCGGCACCGTGGGGGTCGCTGTGTTCATGAATGCAGGGGCGGACAGGCAGGTGAGAGATTCGATAGCAGCTCAGAAAACTGTTGAGTGTTTCATAGGTAGGAAACAGTCAAGGCCCATCAACCTATTCCTGGTTGATGTCTCTTGAGTCATAGGTTTCCTCCTTATACCCCCAATCCAGGCTCTCCCTCTTCCTCCCCACTCCCCTCCCTCCCTGCCTGCCTGCTTCCCTGCCCACTCCCCTCCCTCCCCCGGGAAATAGCCAGCTGTCTCCTTTCTGTGGAGGTGCTCTAACCCAACCGGCACTCTTCTCTCCTTCCCTCGCGCCCACCTCACCTTCGCCTACCGCCACTCGCTCTTCCAGCTCATGCCTCACTCCCCCCATTCCTCCCCCTCCCTTCCCCCCCTCTGTTTCGCCCTCACGAAACAGCGGACTGTCTGCTCTCAGTGGATGTCCTCTCTCCAACTGGCACTCTCCGCTCCTTCCCTCGCTCCGACCTCTCTTTCGCCTGCTGCCACTCGCCCTTCTAGCACAAGCCTTTTCCTCCCTCCCTCCCTCGCTCTCTCCCCCTCTCCCACAGGAAACAGCAGACTGCCTGCTCTCGGTGGACGTGCTCTCTCCAACCGGCACTCTCCGCTCCTTCTCTCGCTCCGACCTCACCTTCGCGTACCGTCATTCGCCCTTCCACCACATGTCCTTCCTCCTTTCCTTCCCGCCTCCCGCCCATGCGTCCCTCAGGAAACAGCGGGCTGTTTATTCTCTGTGAACGTCCTCTCTCCCAACGGCACTCTACTCTCCTTCTCTCGTGCCGACCTGACATTTGCCTACCGTCACTCGCCCTTCCAGCACAAGCCTTCTCCTCCCTCCCTCCTTCGCTCTCCCCCCCCCTCCCTCAGGAAACAGCCGACTGTCTGCTCTCTGTGGACGTGCTCTCTCCGACCGGCACTCTCCTCTCCTTCGCTCGCTCTGACTTCACATTCGCCTACCGCCACTCGCCCTTCCAGCACATGCCGGACTGTGCTGCCATAGTGGGAGCAACGTTTGGGCTGCGGAGGAGCAGTGAGGCGCGGGACAGGCAGCGACGATACATGGACAGGTGAGGGACGGCAAGCTGTTGACTTTGTTGGCTGGGTTGACTTAGTTGACTGTGTTGATTCAGGGACCCATTGCTTACCGCCACTCGCCCATCCAGCACATGCCGGACTCTGCTGCCATAGTGGGCAGTGAAGTGCGGGACAGAAATGCCTTTTTTTTTGGGAACCCAGTTATGTACAGATAAGAACAACAGTATAGGACTTGGAAACTCAACTTCTGTACAAGGCTGAATTATCTGGCTCCAGAGGCACCTCGGGTTTTGGGCAGCACAAGCAGTGGGTCAACATCACCCTGAGATTCACCCTGATCAAGACTGTTGGAGACTTTGCTATTACCAGAACATCAGAGTGCCAGACGGACACAACAGCCCCGTTTCTCCCCATCCTCTTCCCTTCGTTCACTCACTCCCAACAAGCATTCTCTTTAACCTCCCTCCCTACCCTGCCCAATCCCCTTCTTACCGTATTCCACACCCACCCCATCCCATCTTTCTGTGCCAGGCGTCGCCAATCCCAACCCATCGCTGATCGATCCGTTGGGTGCATTTTCCGCAACCCTGCACCCCCCTCTGCTTCTGCTCCTCTCTCTAGCGCTGCTCCTCCCGCCGGTTCCTCACCACCAGCCGGTTTACCAGCAGCTGGTGCTTCAGCAGTTGCTCTCCCTGCCTCTGCAGGTGCTCTGATAGACCGGGCTGGGTTGAAGGGTCTGCGTGTTGGAGATGCTTTTGTGTCGCCCATGCATGCTAATTTTCTGGTTAATGGTGGGGCGTGCAGTAGTGAGGATATGGAAGGGCTGATTGTTGAGGTGAAGAGGAGGGTGAGAGAGGAATTTGGGGTGGAACTCGTAGAAGAGGTTAGGCGGGTTCCATATGAATGAAGAAATATTGTTCTATGTGCTGCACAATATTCTGGAGGTAGTGATTACCATATGTGAGGCCCCCAGATGGTATAAGCTACTTAGCTGGATGAAGGTAACTGTACAGTTGCCGCTTTGGTTTATTGATAACTGGTCCCGTATGGAGGACATGTGCTGGAAAATCGGTGTCGGTTTGATATTCGTCCGTAGGCACACGGCATCGGGATTGCTTCCACGAGACGCCATTGACGTGGCACGAGCTGTAAGGAGTTGCGTCATCACCCACGTGGATGATGTGCCCATACGAGCCCCTCACACCAAGACATGTGGACATAATCGCAGGAGCCCTCGGAAATTTTCAAGATGACCACGTCATGCGCATGTTCCGCGCGCTTTGTCAATAAAGAAATATCGATGGTTCCCAAAACTCTCAGGGAGTGTTCGAGAATCGTCAAGTAGCTAAAACAAGCTCGTTGAAACTCCCGAACTAGCATATCATCAGTATAAAGCACGTGTTACATCGAATGAAATGCCTTCACTACCGACACGATAACGACTCACAGATTCGGAATCCGTCCTACTGCTCTTGTCACATTTCGCCAGCCAGTCCCCACAATCCTCCAGCGTAGAAAGTTCCATCCTGTTCCCAGCCAATCCTTACGGCATTCCCGAGGTTGCTCCAGGCTTCAGTCGTGTATTCGTTAGCTAGACGCCCTCAGTGCTGGAGCTTGTCGTGCCACTGATACCAGTCCCGCGCATTCCAACCGTCGGCCATGGCGTCTGCCGTCGCGCTTCAAGGTAGCACGGCGACCTCGAGTGGCCTGCTCGTCGCGGCTCGGCTCAGTTCCAGCAAACCGCGCTGCGCCTCTCTCGCATCAACCCTAGTACCGCTGCCACGCATGCTTACCTCCTCTAGAATCACACCCGCGCAGCCCTGTTCCCGTCGAGGGTGCAGCGTCGTTGTAAATGCTCAGGCTCCCCCCACTTCCACTCCTCAAGACGAGTCAGCCCCCGCTTCGCAGCAACTTCCAAACCTTCCGTCGTCGCTAACTGAAGCTACTACTTCTCTCCTCGACGCTCTTAAAGCTGCGGTTAAGCCTGCGCTCGCCGCGCTCCTAATCACCGCCGTCCTCGCCGCCGGCGCGCCGGACGCCGCGCTCGCCGCGCAAGGCGGCGGCAGAATCGGCGGAAGCGGCTTCGGCGCCTCCCGCATGCGCTCCTACGCCCCGCCACCCTCCGCCCCCCGCGGCGGATACTCCTACTCCGCGCCCCCCGTGGTCGTCGCCCCGTCCGTCCCGTTCTTCGCGCCTTCCCCGTTCTTCTTTTTCGGCCCTTCCATCGCCTACGGCGGCGGCGGCGGCGGAGGGCTCTTTAATCTCCTCGTGATCGGGATCGTGATCTGGTTCGTGTCGCAGTCGGTAATGGGGTTTTTAAGCTCGGCGCAGGAGGAGGGGGTGTGGCAGGAGACGCAGCGCAGCAGCGTGGTGAGGCTGCAGGTCGGGCTGCTAGGCTCGGCACGGCGCCTGCAGCGGGATCTGGATCGGATCGCGGATCGCGCGGATGCGAGCTCACCCGAGGGCCTTCATTACATCCTGCAAGGTACAGTACTGAGTTCCGTTACTTTTTTTTTTTTTTTTTTCGGAAGACGGCTAGACGGTTGACGCTTTAACCATGGATGCGAGCTCACCCGAGGGCCTTCACTACATCCTGCAAGGTACATTACACGTTGTGTGCATTGCGATGGCTTTACGGGAGTGTACATTGTAGTACAAAGTGTCCGTCCGTATGTTCCTCTTTCTCTCTTTCCTGACTATTCTCTGCCGCTCACTCGCTTCCTCTATCTCTTTCTCTCTTTCTTGCCTAAATCTCTTGCCATTTGACAGAGACGGTGCTTCTGTCGCTCACTCGCTTCCTCTCTCTGTTTAATCTCGTTCCTTCTCGTTCCGTTTCCATTCAACAGAGACGGTGCTGGCGCTGCTGCGCAACCCGGACTACTGCATCTACGGCTTCTCCTCTGTAAGTGCTGGGAATCACGTGTGTTCTGTGTTAGCTGCTTTAGTACTTGAGTGTTTTAGCTTAGGGCCTGGTAAATAGCAACCCAGACTACTGCATCTACGGCTTCTCCTCTGTAAGTGCTGGAAACCACGTGTTTGATGCTTTGGCAGTTAAGGGCTTTTGCGTCTAGCTAATCGCAACCCGGACTATTGCATCTACGGCTTCTATTCCGTAAGTGCTTTCAGATTTTCTTCCATCCGACCCCTTTCACCGCTTTGAACCGAGTGAGCTTGATCAATTGTAGTACGCGCCTGCAAGAAACAATCCGGACTTCTGCATACACGGTTTCTCCCTTTCCGTCAGTGGCTACTGGTACGGTAACACTCTTTGCAATTCGCCAAGGAATGTGTTACCAACAGCACTCCACGGAGGAGGAAAGTGCAGCACATTAAATTCCGCACATGTGTTGTTTTCAAGTGTTGTGTTGTGTGTGTGTTGTGCATGGGAGCATGAGCAAGTTCCAGAAGTACTTACCTGTTTCCCATCTCCCTCCCGTACAGTCAGAGGTGAACAAGGGCGCGTATGGTGACGAAGCTGCTATTAACTGTATGAGCATGGAGGATCGAAGCAAGTTCAAGGAGGAGACTCTTGTTTCCCTCACCCTCCCTCTCCCCTTCTCCAGTCCTCCCTCTCCCCTTTCCTCTCCCCTTCTCATACGTCAGTCAGAGGTGAATAACGACTCATACGCTGGTGAAGCAGCGTTCAACCGCAAGAGCATGGAGGAGCGGAGCAAGTTCAAGGAGGAGACTCTTGTTTCTCACCAACCCCCTCCTCTCCCTCTTCCCCTCCCCCCCCCCCCCCCGCTCTCCCTTTCCACCATTCCCAACCGTACAGTCAGAGGTGAACAACGACTCTTATGCCGGCGAAGCAGCATTTAACCGCATGAGCATGGAGGAGCGCAGCAAGTTCGAGGAGACTCTTGTTTCTCACCACCCTCCTCCTCCCCCCCCTCCTCCTCCCCCCCCCCCCCCCCCCTCCCCTCTCTCTTCCTCCCTTTTCCACCATTTTCAACCTTTCAGTCAGAGGTCAACAACGACTCGTATGCAGGAGAAGCAGCGTTCAACAGAATGAGCATGGAGGAGCGGAGCAAGTTCAAGGAGGAGACTCCTGTTTCTGTTGTTCAACCTCCCGCGTTCCCCCGTCCATGATTTCCCAACGTTACAGTCAGAAGTGAACAACGATTCATATGCCGGCGAAGCTGCATTTAACCGCATGAGCATGGAGGAGCGCAGCAAGTTCAAGGAGGAGACTCTGGTCAACGTGGACGGTATCAGGCGGCGAGTCACGCGCAATCCCAGCCAGGAGCGCATGAACTCTGAATACATCGTGGTATGTAGGAGGGAATGCACATTGTGGTTGCTCTCAACATCACATTGTAATTGTGGTATGTTGAGTGTACACGAGGTCTCCTCCTTCAGTGGTCAAGGAGGAGACTCTGGTCAACGTGGACGGTATCAGGCGGAAAATCACGCGCAATCCCAGCCAGGAGCGCATGAACTCGGAATACATTGTGGTAGGTTGGTGGTATTTGAGAGGGGTGTGCGTTGTGGTGGTGGTATGTTGTCTGTACACAGGGCCTCCTCCTTCAAAGTTCAAGGAGGAGACTCTTGTCAACGTGGACGGCACCAGGCGGCGAGTCACGCGCAACCCCAGCCAGGAGCGCATGAACTCGGAATACGTTGTGGTATGCTGAGAGGGGTTTACACTGTGGTTGTGGTATGTTGAGAGGGGTGTACACTGTTGTATGTAGAGTTGTCAACCCCAGCCAGGAGCGCATGGACTCGGAATACATTGTGGTATGTGGAGTGTGCATTGTGGTACGTTGAATGGATGAGCATGTGAATGTGGATGGCATCAGGCGGCGAATCACGCGCAATCCCAGCCAGGACCGCATGAACTCGGAATACATTGTGGTATGTGGAGTGCACTTGCAGTCATGCCTTACTTTTGTCTGGCAATCACGTCTTATGACCGCTGAGCTGACAAGGCTGGCAGCAGCAGGGGGCACGTTTTAAGATCTCAAAAAACGGCACGTTTTGTCCTTGTGCTTTGTCCACAACAGAATTCTGATTTCTGCTAATTCATCCAATTCTTCCTCACATCGCCTCACGTGCGTACAATCTTGCAGGTGACGATGCTGGCAGCAACAGGGGCACCTGTGGCCCTTGAGAAATGTCCACGACTAATTTTGTCTTCTGTTAACCAATCCCATTCGTCCTCACCTCACCTCACATGCGCACAATCGTGCAAGTGACGGTGCTGGCAGCAACAGAGGGCACCTGTGGTCCTTGTGATCTGTCCACAACTGATACTGATCTCTGCTAACTTATCCCATTCTTCCTCAACTCACCTCACACGTGCACAATCTTGCAGGTGACGGTGCTGGCAGCAACAGAGGGCACGCTTCGGCTGCCGGGGATCAAATCTGCGAGTGACCTGAGGGAAGCCCTGACTCGCCTCGGCTCCATTCCTGCTGATGAGCTTCAGGTGAGTTAGAATGAGCTTCAGGCGAGTTAGGATGAGCTTCAGGTGAGTTAGGATGAGCTTCAGGTGAGTTAGGATGAGCTTCAGGTGAGTTAGGATGAGCTTCAGGTGAGTTAGGATGAGCTTCAGGTGAGTTAGGTTGACCTTCAGGTGAGTCGTTCTACTCATGGCAGCAAAGCATGCTCTACAGTCTCTCAGAGCACCGGGATGACACTAGCAGATTATGTGCCACTTGCTCCTCCCTCATGCAAGCAGCCTCGGCCTTAAAGTGCAGGTTTTGTGTGCAGCCTTGGGGTGTGTATGCAGCCTTGGGGTGTGTATGCAGCCTTGGGGTGTGTATGCAGCCTGAGTGTTGAACACACTCAGCCTCATTTAACGTCTTGCTTCCCTTCATGGCGTCACTTGCTTGCCATTGTCCTCGTCTTGGCGGTACTTGAGCTCTGGGTGCCACATAATGATGGCATGAACTTGCGCACATACTTTTGAGTCGACTCAAAAGTTACTTGTGCTCTGGGTGCCACATAATGATGGCATGAACTTGCGCACATAATCAGGACGTGCCATTTACTCCCCATTACTCCTTCCCCCCTCTATCCACACTTTCTTCCTCCTATCTTAAAGCCTCCCCTTCTCCTCCATGCAGGCGGTGGAGGTGCTGTGGACTTTCCAAGTTGACGAGAATAATCTCACAGAGAATACTCTCACAGAGAATACTCTCACAGAGAATACTCTCACAGAGAATACTCTCACTTGACTCCCCTCCTTCCCACCATTTTCCCCTCATTCTCATTCCGTCCGCTCTCCAACCCCCTCTCTGCCAGGCCGTGGAGGTACTGTGGACGCCCCAAGACGACGAGGACACCCTCACAGAGCGGGACATGCTGCTTGACTACCCTCGTACCCTCCCCTGCTCCCTCCTTCCTTCCTCCCTTCCTCCCCTCATTCCATATTCAGGCTGTAGAGGTGCTCTGGACGCCCCAAGACGACGAGGACACCCTCACAGAGCGGGATATGCTACTTGACTACCCTCGCCTGCGGCCGCTGTGAATGCATGGCCTCACGGCTGCGTGAAGGAGTTGGGGCAAGAATGAAACTGGTTGGGTGGGCCATGTTTGCAGATTGTGTTGTGTTTGTGGTTTTGTAAAAGCTAGTTATCAGTGGTGTAGAATTTAGCAATTATAGTTATGTAACAAACTATTCACTTGTTTGTATTGGTTCATGATGTCACCCATTACAGCAAAGCGGGACAGGGTGTCATGAGAATGAACTAAACAATCTTCACGTAGCAAGAGACGAACTATTTCATCTGATCACAGGGCAATACCAATTGTAGCCAAATGCAAAGGAGCACCAATGGAAAGCACTGCTGGATGGTAAATCCTGTGCAATACAAGGCTGAAAGGTAGAGACCAAATGTGGCAGGAAGCCTCTTGCCATAGAACAGGGCGAGTACCAGTACAGTACTGGCAACTAAACATTAAATATATTCAACTATTGTACACAGATATAGCACGCAGTGTCTAACATCTAATGTATCCCATTATTATCTCGATACACCAGCTCTTATGGCCTCCAAGGAGGCCTTATTGCCACTACCCTAGTTTTTGTTTTTCTTGAAGGATCCACCCTCCCTCCAACCCTCATACCCCCAACCTGCTCCTCCTTCCTCTTGTTCTGTGATGCTGCCAAACCAACCTGCTCCTCCTTTCTCTTGTTCTGTGATGCTGCCAACCCAACCTGCTCCTGCTTTCTCCTGTTCTGTGATGCTGCCAACCCAACCTGCTCCTGCTTTCTCCTGTTCTGTGATGCTGCCAACCCAACCTGCTCCTGCTTTCTCCTGTTCTGTGATGCTGCCAACCCAACCTGCTCCTGCTTTCTCCTGTTCTGTGATGCTGCCAACCCAACCTGCTCCTGCTTTCTCTTGTTCTGTGCTGCCGCCAAACCGCCTTGCTCCTGCTTCCACTTGCTCTCTGCTGCTGCTGACCCCTGCTTAACACCTCCACCAAGAGAAATAACCAAAGCTCTTGAAGGCTGCTTCTTGTCTTCACATACCACGCCTCCAACCCCACCCTGCTTCCTCATCCCAAGTGCTGCTGAACCTCCCGAGAGGGCCTTGAGAGTTTCACCAGACGCAGTCACCAGAACTGCCTTCACTCCTGCATTCAGCACCGTTGTTTCCACAACACCTGCCTTGACATCCTCCTGGGAGCTCTGGCCAGCGCTGCTGCTGTCACTGAAGCTGCTGCTCATGCTGGAGACGCCGACAACAACTGCCTTGACATCCGCTGCTCGCGTGCTGCCAGGCTGGAGACGCCGAGTAGGGAGCAGTCTCCAACTGGCTGCAGGCGTTCCCCTGACCACGCTCTGGTCTGCACCTAGCAGACCCATCCGTGATGCCAGATGCACAGCAGTTACCACGTTCTTACTCACTGTAAACGAATCCAGCAGAAGCACCAGGTCAAGCAGCAACGAGCAGTCACTGTACTGCTTGCTGTAAATGTTGTAGCAGTTGAACCTGTAGCTGCTGCAGCAAAGGCTGTTGACAGCAATGGCAGTGGAAGACTCCTCCTGGGAGCTCTGGCCGCTGCTGCTGCTGTTACTGAAGCAGCTGCTCATGGTAGCATCACTGCTGCTTGGATCAGAATCGCCCTCTGCAGCCATAAACAGTGAATAAACCTCCTCTGCAGCCTCTACTTCAGCTTGAGGCACTTCCTCGTCCTCAGGAGAAACGCCCACGAGTCCTCCTCCTCCTCAGCAGCCAGATTGCGAGCAGGATAGGCCATCCAAGCATCATGTTGCGCCTGCAGCACAGCATGACGCTGCGCCTGCAGCAGAGCATGACGCTGCGCCTGCAGCAAGGCTGCCTTTTTCTCCCACAAAGCCATGGCCTCGGCGAACGTGGGGCCGTCAGTGGACGACCTAGCATAACGCTTTTCCTGGATTAGAAAACCGCGCTTCTCCCACAGGGCCAAACGATCAGCAATGGACGGAAAATCAGAAAAACAAGCCATAGAGCTAACCGAGCGTGAGTGGGAGTAAAAGCAAAGCTAAACGGTAAGAGCGAAGAGGTTTCGCGAGAACGATATTAACGACAAATTAACGTTATGAGAGGTCTGACTTGCTAGAAGAAGGCTCAATCAACAGAACAAGAAGAAACTGGATTCTTAACTCTGAATATGAGACTTCACTGCGTTGGGTTTGTAGGTGAGACGAACGGCAGGAGAGAGAGGGACGGACGTTGCGTGGAGGGGACACTCACAGGGAGGAGACAGGAAAAAAGAAAGGACTTTTTTCTCGGATGCTGCCCGAGCACCACCGGAAAATCGGAACCGTGCGCTGGCATGCTGCCCAGCGCGAAATCTACTGAAACCGCGAAAATGGGAACGAATCGGCTGGTGAACCGATTCTCACCGAGGGTCTTCGCATGGGAGCGACGCGACAGGATCTGTTTTTAGCTAACCCCGATTCTATCGTGTCCTTCCCCCCGACCAAAACGTTTTCCGCTGCGCGCTAGCGGAGCTTCTTTCCTACAAAGTCGACGGCATGAAATAATAAGTTCCGCCTGCCCGACCGCACTCGCAGCGCTGACGAACCTCTGGGGTACTCCCATCGCCGAAAATTCCTGGTGGCGCTGTGCCTCCCGCAATCGAAGGAAGACAGGTTCGGCAGCGAAGCTCTGAAACTGGGAACTTCAGGGGATGAAATCGAGGTCAGATTAGAATGGCGAATTTGTACTCTCTAGGGAGCTCCTTGTCCTGAACCTTCTGCATTTCCAACCATCAATACCATTTCATGCATATTAGAACAATAATATTTCTTTCCTGAAAATCAGAAGGGTCGTAAATATGCTGCGAAAACACAATCAGCAAACCAAAACACCATGTTCTCTGTTCCCATTAATTATTATTCTTGGTTTATGGATTGTGCACGGTTGCTGCTGTGTGAAGTGTGAGGTTGAGTTGTGTTGGTGTTAAAATTTTAAACGTTGGTATAACTAGCAAGAACTGTTTTGGCGCGTTGCACTCACTCAGCCGAACTGCACCACTGATTCTCCTCTGGCACCAGCTTGCTTTCCTCACCCCGCTGGTTGCGTATTGCTCGTTGCGCTCACTCAGCCGAACTGCACCGCTTCATTTTCATCAGTCAACCTCTCCCAAATCTGCCATCGCTCGTGCCTGCCTACATACGAGAGACAACGCCTAGCTTTCTTTGCCTGCTCGTTCCCGTCCCGTCACCTCCGAGTCGCGCTGACGCCAGTCAGCAGCCATTTTTCAATGCTCGCGTGACGGTGCAATCGCTGTTCTCTTGAAATGGGTCGCGCATGGGCTTGCTGCAGCAGTCACGATCGCTGGAGATGTATTATCGGGGCAACGATCACGGCTTCATTGCAAGGCGGAAGAATCGGCGGAAGCGGCGGCTTTTGCGCCTCCCGCGTGCGCTCGTACGTTCCGCCGCCGCCATGAGGATAGATTCAGAGACGGATAGGCGCTGGAATGTACACTGCTAGACGGCTAGGCGCTTTTCAACGGGATCTGGATCGAATTGCGTATCGCGCTTATGCGAGCTTCCCGGAAATACCACAAGCAGCAGCGGTGCTACACGAGCAGAGCTAGTCGAGTCATTCTGCCGCGTCTGCTAATACCGCTGCGGACGATCCCGACAGGAACTCTCCGTGTGAATCTACGACGTACGAATGTGACGAGAAGAGTATCGTTCCGTTACATTCTTCAACTTCTCATTTCTCTCGAAATGTGTCGGTTTTAGCCTTTATGCAGTCTCGATCGATGGAGAGGTATTTTCGAAGCAAGCATGTTCTGTGTTTCCACTGGGGCGTGGTGGTTCTGCAGCGTTGCTGTCTCGAATGGGAGTAGCAGCTGGTGACACACGGGTGCAACCCTGTTCTGCAGCGTTGCTGTCTCGAATGGGAGTAGCAGCTGGTGACACACGGGTGCAACCCTGTTCTGCAGCGTTGCTGTCTCGAATGGGAGTAGCAGCTGGTGACACACGGGTGCAACCCTTTTCTGCAGCGTTGCTGTCTCGAATGGGAGTAGCAGCTGGTGACACACGGGTGCAACCCTGTTCTGCAGCGTTGCTGTCTCGAATGGGAGTAGCAGCTGGTGACACACGGGTGCAACCCTGTTCTGCAGCGTTGCTGTCTCGAATGGGAGTAGCAGCTGGTGACACACGGGTGCAACCCTGTTCTGCAGCGTTGCTGTCTTGAATGGGAGTAGCAGCTGGTGACACACGGGTGCAACCCTGTTCTGCAGCGTTGCTGTCTTGAATGGGAGTAGCAGCTGGTGACACACGGGTGCAACCCTGTTCTGCAGCGTTGCTGTCTTGAATGGGAGTAGCAGCTGGTGACACACGGGTGCAACCCTGTTCTGCAGCGTTGCTGTCTCGAATGGGAGTAGCAGCTGGTGACACACGGGTGCAACCCTGTTCTGCAGCGTTGCTGTCTTGAATGGGAGTAGCAGCTGGTGACACACGGGTGCAACCCTGTTCTGCAGCGTTGCTGTCTTGAATGGGAGTAGCAGCTGGTGACACACGGGTGCAACCCTGTTCTGCAGCGTTGCTGTCTTGAATGGGAGTAGCAGCTGGTGACACACGGGTGCAACCCTGTTCTGCAGCGTTGCTGTCTTGAATGGGAGTAGCAGCTGGTGACACACGGGTGCAACCCTGTTCTGCAGCGTTGCTGTCTTGAATGGGAGTAGCAGCTGGTGACACACGGGTGCAACCCTGTTCTGCAGCGTTGCTGTCTTGAATGGGAGTAGCAGCTGGTGACACACGGGTGCAACCCTGTTCTGCAGCGTTGCTGTCTCGAATGGGAGTAGCAGCTGGTGACACACGGGTGCAACCCTGTTCTGCAGCGTTGCTGTCTCGAATGGGAGTAGCAGCTGGTGACACACGGGTGCAACCCTGTTCTGCAGCGTTGCTGTCTTGAATGGGAGTAGCAGCTGGTGACACACGGGTGCAACCCTGTTCTGCAGCGTTGCTGTCTCCAGAAGCTTAAACCACCAGTATATCAGAAGTTGATACGTTTCGATGCAGTAAGTTGTGATAATGGGCAATCGATTGAGCTCTAAGCGAAGTGTGCCCCTGAAGGGTCTCCACGGATTGGGATTCACAGAGGAATGCGAGCTATTCGAGCCATTGTGCCGTGCCTGAGAATGATACCGCTGCGGAAGATCTCGTCTGAAACGATCCATGTCATCCTGGGAGTGCGTTTCAAGGGGAAAAAATGCGTTCTGTTCCTACCGATTTTGACAGGAACCCCAGTCGCTCACTTCTCTCCTCTCTCCTTACTGCCTTGTCGCAGGTGGCAGTGCTGGCAGCAGCACGGGAGATTGAAGGGATCAAATCTGGAGTCACATGAGTGAAGCCCTGACTCGCCTCGGCTTCATCCCTGTTGATGGGCGTCAGGTGAGTTTCAGGTGTGTTTTGATGAGCTTCAGGTGATTTTTCCAAAAGAGCTAAAGGTTTGTTCTGATGCGCTTTAGATGTGCTTTGGTGAGATTCTGGTGCGTTTTTCATAATCTCAATAGCATGTTCTACGCTGGCGTGTCTTTCATTGCACAGGAATACATCTATACGGAATGGAGCATTAAGTGTATCTCCTCTTCTTCTACCTTACAGATTCGGCCTTATTGTAAAACTTTTACTCACTCCCCTGAATTCCCTTTGCATTCTCTCAAAGCGTCACCTGCTGGTTTCTGAGAAATATTCCAAAACAAATCCTCTCTCCCTCTCAGAGCGCCGCATGCTGGTTTTTGACAAATCTCAGAACCCAAACCTTTGAACCCAAACCTTTCTCCCAACACAGGCGGTGAAGGTGAAGGTGAAGGTGAAGGTGAAGGTGCCATTGAAGCCTCTCCGCAGGAGGACACGCTCACGACGCAGGACGTGCTACGAACCCCCCCCCCCCCTTCCCCCCTCCCCCTCCCTCCCGACCCTCCCCCACCCCCCACACAGTTCGCTCCCCTGTTCCTTTTGTATTCCCACTTTCCGCTTCAGAAGCCTCACCACAGCGAGTACACACTCACGAAGCAGGACCTGCCGTCCAAACACCCCCTGCTTTCTTTCCCTTTCTGCTTCTTGTGTGCTGATTTGAATTCCCAGGTGTGCTGATTTGAATTCCCAGTACATTGCAGTTCCTGGAACGGCGTGAACATTCACTCCTCGTGCTGGAACAGCGGTATGTGGAGGAGGAGGTATGAGGTGACTTTTGAGTCGACTCAAAAGAACAGCGGTATTTGGAGTGGAGGTATGTGTGTGGGGCGCAGCAGCAGAGGGCCCTCTTCCTTTTGATGATCTGTCCATCCCACCAGTTATGACAGGATGTCCAATCGTGCTCCGCTCCGCCATACCATTGTCTTCTTACACATTGCAGGTGACGGACCTTGTGCTGAGACGAGATTGCCAGCCAATTCTGACTTCTGCAAGCCAATCCCATTCGCCCTCACCTCACCTCACCTCACGTGCACACAATCTTGCAGGTGACGGTGCTGGCAGCAACAGAGGGCACGTTTCGGCTACCGGAAGTCATTTCTGTGAGTGACGTGAGGGAAGCCCTGACTCTCCTCGGCTCTGTCCCTGGTGATGAGCTTCAGGTGAGTTTCTATGGGTTTCAGGTGTGCTCAGGTGGGCCTCAGGTGTGTTTGATGAGCTTCACGTGGGTCATTCAACTCATGGCAGCATAGCATACTTCACAGTTTCACAGAGCACTGGGGTGACACTCCACTGAACTCACCCTTCTATCTCCTCCCTCCCCCTCACTCACACACGTTGCCTGCCACGAGCTGCCCCGTGTCCCATCTCCCTTTCACATTCCTACTTCCACCCCCTCACCCCCCCCTCCCCTCTCCCCCATTCCTCCTCCTTTCCTCCTCTCTTTCCATGCTGGCGATCAGCGTCAGTGTCATTGAGCTGGCAACAGCAAAGGCTGCCTTCCGTCCTTGTAACGCTTTTTTTTTTTGTCTTGAGGTTTTGCAGGTGACGATGTTGGCAGCAGCCTAAAATAGGTATCCACTGCAGAATTTGCGAGTGATTTGAGGAAAGCCCTAAATCGCCTCGGTTCCATTCATGGCGGTGAGCTTCAGGTGGGTTGTCATGAGCTTCAGGTGGGTTGTCATGAGCTTCAGGTGAGTTTCACGAGCTTCAGGTTAGTTCTCATGAGCTTCAGGTGAGTTTCCATGAGCTTTGGGTGTTCATGGTTGGGGTGTGCTCTGATGAGCTCCAGGTGTGTTCAGGTCAGGTGCGTTCATTTAAAGCTTCAGCCATGTCATTCAGCTGGTGATACCATAAGCTACTCACTGCTCTCACAGTCAACGTCAACGGCACTTCCTTCTGTCTCCACTATACAAGCGGCCTAATCTACTCGCTTCTTCCCTCTTCTCGCCTTCCGCTCCCCATCCACACAGGACAATTAAGAAATCAAATCTGTGAGTGACCTGAGGTTAGCCCTGACTCGCCTCGGCTCCTTCCTTGCTGATGACCTTCAGGTGTGATCTGATGACCTTCAGGTGTGATCTGATTACCTTCAGGTGTGATCTGATGACCTTCAGGTGTGATCTGATGACCTTCAGGTGTGATCTGATGACCTTGAGGTGTGATCTGATGAACTTCAGGTGTGATTTGAAGACCTTCAGGTGTGATTTGAAGACCTTCAGGTGGGATCTGATGACCTTCAGGTGTGATTTGAAGACCTTCAGGTGTGATTTGAAGACCTTCAGGTGTGATTTGAAGACCTTCAGTTGTGATTTGAAGACCTTCAGGTGTGATTTCAAGACCTTCAGGTGGGATTTCAAGACCTTCAGGTGGGATCTGATGACCTTCACTCATTCTCGCCCGCCCAGAGTTGACTTCTGAGTCAACTGAGAGAGGCATGCACCAGCTGTCCTGCTGCTTGTTGCTCATCATCTCATTCTCACCCGCCGACAGGGGACGCATCAGCCAAGTCATAACCTGTCATGGTGGCTGTGCTGAGCGCATCAGAGTCATAACCATCACCGGTTCATCACCTGCCAATCGAATTACCATCACCCATGCTCACCCATGGTCATTCATGGTCAATCATGCTCATCCATGCTCACCCATGCTCATTCATGCTCATCCATGCTCATCCATGCTAAGCCCTCCAGGTCATTGCTCCATGTTTGTCAAGTGGCCATGAGTTCATGAGCCATGGGCGAAGAATGGGAGTGCTGGATTCTCCTCTCACTTTGCTGTCATTAGTCTGCTGCTTATTTTGTTCCTTACCATCATCATCCCCATCTTGTCTTTCCATTTTCTTTCCGTGTGCAGGCTCATGCTTCCTGCTCCTCTAGTCCTATTATTCACCCACCTACCGGTACCTGATTTGCCTCGCCTGTTGTGGCAGCAAAGGGTGGCATGGCAAACTTTTTCACCATCTAGTGAAACAGAATGTCGACATAGGTACAAATGTGCTGACTGGAATGTGCTGTCATGGACCATGCAAAGGTTTCACACAGGCCATAAAGCTAATCCTTGGTCAAATGTACCATAGTAACAGAATATCACCATCTAAAATTGCCTTTTCTTGTTTCCAACACAAGTATACAAATTTCGGGCCATGATGCCACGCACGCATGGACTTTACAACCCTAATTGAACTTAACTATTACAGCATTACAAGACAGTGACTACGATAAATAGAACATGAAACTTATTGTACAGAGCTACGGTACATGTAATCAATTTTCCTTCTAATTCAAGTCCCTAAAGCATCCCTTATGGCCTCCATGGAGGCCTTATTGCCGCCCTTGCCATACTTGACGAACCCCTACAAGCTCCTACTCTCCTGGATACGACCTTTTCCCTCGCTCCGCATCCCCCACCTCCCGCTCTCCCCTGCTGCCTCTTCCTCTGTGGCAAACGCTACTGAAGCCTCCTTGACGCCTCCACCAGGAGCAGTATCCATTTCACGTGCATGAACATCCCTCGTTCCACACATCCCATCCCCAATCCCATCCTGCTGCTTCATGCCTTGTTCTGCTGCTGACCCGTCCGCAATAGCCTTGAAGCATCTATCAGGAGCAATCAGGGTTGTTTCCTTCACAGGAGCTGGGTTCACTGCTGCTGCTGCTGCTGCTGCTTCCTTGCTACCAGCCTTGGGAATCCGAGAGGGGAGCAGCCTCAACTTGGCTGCTGGCATTCTCGTTCCCAAGCTCTGGCCTGAAACCAGCACACCCATCCGTGATGCAGCACTCACAGCAAGGACCACACTCCTACTTGCTGCAGATGAGCTCAGCAGGAGCACAAGATCCAACAGCACCTCGCTCTCGCTGCTGCCATTGATGTGATTGTTACTGTAGCAGCTGTTAAACCTGTAGGCAGCACAGGAAGTGGTCATTAGAGTGGGAGGCTCCTCCTTGGAGCCGCTGCAGCTGCTGTCACTGAAGCTGCAGTCACGGAAGCCACTCTGGCCGCTGCTGCTGCTGCTGTCACTGAAGCCGCTGTCACTGAAGCCGCTGCTGCTGCTGTCACTGAAGCCGCTGCTGCTGCTGGACGCCTCCAAACGGACCACGCTGGCGTCATTGCTGGCATCACCGCTGCTGCTGCTGTCACTGAATCCACTGCTCGTGCTAGAGGATTCAGAACCGAAGACCCTGGCTTCACTGCTGCTCAGGTCGAAAGCATCCCCCGAGCCCTCGCCCTCTGAAGCATCAAGCAGCGAGAGCACCAACTCGACGACCTTTGCTTCAGCTTGTTTCTCTTCCAGGTCCGCATAAGACGTGGTCCACGGGTCCACCTCCTCTACGACAGCTTGTTTCTCTGCCTCCGATTGATGCTCTTGCTGGTCCGCATAAGATGTGGTCCACGAGCCCGCCTCCTCGGCTGCAGGATAGTGAGCAGGGGATAAAAAAAGAGCACGGCGTAGGGCCTGCACCTCTGCAGCCCGTTTCCTCCAAAGGCAAAAGATTTCAGCGATCGTAGGGTACTCAGCAGATGCACGGATCGGTGCATAATGCTTCATCCGCAGCAGCGTACCGCGCTTCTCCCACATGGCCACAGCCTCGGCAAATGAGGGGTAATCATAACAAGCCATGGGAGGGAAAAAGCGAAGAGAATCTGAACACTAGAACGCCGAGTTACCGTGGGAACTAGATAAAAATAAGGTTGCGAGAGCTCTGGACAACGGATTAACCAAAGAGGCCGAGAATAAACTCGATTTGATACTGTGAAAATGAGTCTGCCGCTGGACGTCGGGTTTGTAGGGGTGAGACGAGGCGAGGGGACCAACAGCAGCAAAGAGTGGGACGAGGGTGTGTGGAGGAACGCTCACAGGAGGGAGGAACGAAAAGGGAGAAAATTTTTCTCAGGTTCTGCGTGAGCAGCTCCGAAAAATCGGGACTCTGTGCTGGTATGGTGCGCTGGTCTACTGAAACCGCAAAAAGGGGAAGTCTGGTTTTGCTGGTGAAGCGAATCTCGCAGAGGGTTCTCTTGAGGAAGCGATGCGAAAGGATCTGTGGTTCCCCAACCCCGATCCTATCGTGTCCCCTGGGCTCGACAGAAGTTTTTCCGCTGCGCGCTAGCGGAGCTCCTTCCCTACAAACTCGAAGGCATGAGATAATAGGTTTCACCTGCCCGACCGCACTCGGATCGCCGACGAATATCTGGCGCACCGCCATTCCCGAAAATGCCTAAGGCTGGCAGCGCTGTGGTCCCCGCGACTGAAGGAAGGGAGGTTCGAGCGATGATTTCCGGGCCTGAGGGGTTGCAGAGAGATGGAATCGAGGTCAAAATCGTGAATCTGTACTCCCTAAGAGTGCTCCGCGTCCTGAACTAATATTCAGCTTAAATTGCTTACATGCTATTATATACTGAGGTGAATATGGGAACATTTCATTTGCAGTGTTTTTTATGTGAGAAAAGAAAAATTCGATTATAATCGCTGCCGGCAGAATTGAGAGGTAATGATAGGAATCATTGTAAAAATAAGCTGGGTTGCACCAAAATGACTGCTGACTGCATAGTGGAAAACAATAAGGCCTCTCCTCACCGCCTAAATGCCTATATGGTATGCTACGTGAACCAGTTCTAATTCGTTCCTAAGCAGGGAGACTGAACCACTGTGTGCATAAGTATTTCTCTCCCCTCTTGACTGGTAACCCTGCATGCTTGGACCTACTATCTTCAATGCCTTGATCTGTCAAATGTGTGTACCAGAGAATAGCTTTCCCTCTCTCTGGCTTCACCTGCAGAGAGAAAAAAACGTGGATTATTAACAATCAGACAAGGAAGCACCTTCACTCATTTCATCCTCAATCAACTGCCAACCCATCCCTCTCCTCCTTCAGCCATCCCCTCGTCTCTCTCCAGACCCTCTCCCCTCTCCCCTCTCCGTGGTCACAATTCCATCGATAGCAGGACATACCTTGATGCCTACGTTTGGGAAGTACGTCTCCCCTCCTTCAAAGCCATCATTTAGGTACACAAGGAAAGTCCCACGAGCTTCAAGCGTGCCATCTGGCAGCATGCGGCCGTCATAATGAGCCTTATACTCCTGGCCCACTTCGTATTTCACCAGCTGGAGCTCTGACGTGGCAAGCCGTTCAAAATCTACGATTCCCGTGATGAGCTTTGCACATCCTCGGATCTTCATGCACACCTTACCAGCAGCACTCAAGTCTTTCGATGGATCAATCCAAGTCGTGCTGCAAGGCGAAAGTATGTCATCAGAAGGCGGACTATAAGGAAAACAGGAGCAAACCAGAAGAAAAGGCAGCAACATGAAATACGAACCTGCTGGTTCTATAGTCGCTTAGTCCACTATCCCCTTTGTTTGCTTTCTGCAGAAACGACAGAGATCAGGTTCAGCTAACGAATCAAAACCGCGTGAAGAATGAATCTGAAAAGTAGGGAAAAAAATCATTTCGGCACCACGACATGGGAGTATACGCGGGAGAGATTGCTGACCTGGACTCGGCTCCGCTGCCATCTGCCGCTTCCTGATTCGATCAAGATTCTGCACTCCTCTTAGTAATCCAGGAAATTCCCACACTCGGAATTCTGTATCTACGGTCGAGAAGTTGAATCTCGGAGATTCTGTCGGAACAATACTCTTCTTGTCGATATCGCTACTCGTGGGTTCACATGGAGCATTCCTTTCAGACTCTCCAGCAGCAATACTTTCAGATGCTTCACAATGGCTCGAATAGCTCGCAGGCCTGTGCGAATCGACGGATACCCTTCGAGTTGAGCTCATGCGATGGCCCATTATCAATATCTGCAACGACTAACCCTTCCGAAACGCTGGTGTATTGAACCTCTGGAAACAACAACCCACTGCCGTGAAGGGGACATCTTACTCCGAAAATACCTCTCCAGCGATAGTGACTGCAGCAAACCCATGTGCGCGCGACCCATTTCGAGAGAAATGCGACCACGCCGACACGCGAGCATTGGAAATGGCTGTCGACTGGCGTCAGCGTGACTTGGAGGTGACAGGATCGAGCAGTCGTCTGTCGTCAGCTACAAGGCGGGACAGATTCCGGATTCTAGCATCACTTCCGTCTGTCTGTCCTTCTGATGATCAGTCAGGTGGATTGGAAATTCTCCTGCTGCATGAGTCATGCAGTTCGGCTGAGTGAGAGCTCCGCGCTATAACGGTCTTGATACAGACTACGAAAGCTGAAACGAAATAGAGTCGATTAACGCACTTACTGGGAAGTCCCCACCATAGTTTCACATCAGTTTTATAGTTCTACAAATATTTAAAACATCAGTTATCAAATCTGAATGAATGTGATTCGTCTGATTAACTGTATACAACTTTTACTTTATATCACCAACACACCTCAGCGCCAACAGTTTACAACAATAATCCGATCCCATCCACCTAGATCTTGAAGGATGAGAAAAATAGTATCATTGTTCTATGTACCTTACGTCATTTTGATTGCTGTGTTCATTATCTGGCAACTTCGACTGTTCATTATTATGCATACAATCTTTTAAACCTGAAATAGACTTTCTGTTTGATTTCACCATTCTGACTCCAATCTCAACCCTCCAGCATTCTCAATGTCGAAGCTTTGCTACTGAACCTGCCTTCCTTCAAGTGCGCGAGGGACAGCGCCACCACCCTTAGGCGTTTTAGGGAATTTGAGTACCACAGAGATTCGTCGACGCCCCGATGCTATTGGGCAGGCAAAATTTATCGTTTCATGGCAAAAGAAGCTCTGCTAGGGCGCAGCGGGAAAGAAATGTCGGGGGCAAGACAAGTGCATAGGGAGGGGGAAAGATATTACGCTGTGTGAGGGAGGCTGAGTGTGTGAGGGAGATGGAGAGGGGAGAAGAACAAGGCTGGGTGTGTGTGAGGAGGCACAATAACGCCGCGTTTAGTGAAAGTGTCATCCCTGCGCTATGTAAGAACTTAGAGCATGCTATGCTGCCATGAGTTGATTGACACACATGAAGCTCATCAGAGCACACCTGAAGCTCATCAACACCCACCTCAAGTTCATGAAAACTCACCTGAAGTGAAGCTCGTCAGCAGGGATGGAGCCGAAGCTCGTCAGCAGGGATGGAGCCGAAGCTCGTCAGCAGGGATGGAGCCGAAGCTCGTCAGCAGGGATGGAGCCGAAGCGAGTCAGGGCTTCCCTCAGGTCACTCTCAGATATGATTTGCCCTCTGCTACTGCCAGCTCTGTCACCTGCGAGAAGTCCAAACAGAAATGAGGCCGAGAGCCATTGCAAATTATGATGTTAATAGGACAGAGCCATCCCTGCTGCCAGCAGGGTCACTTGTAATGTGAGTTGGGACATATGTGAGGAGTGAGACTGAACAACCCGTATACAATGGTCGTGGACATAACATAAGGAGGAAACATGCAGTCCGCTGCTGCCAGATCTGTCATCATCTGCAGTTAATGAATCTGCTCTGTCATCTGCAGTTAATGAATCTGCTCTGTCATCTGCAGATAATGAATCTGCTCCTTCTCCCTGAAGCACTTACAAACAACTCATGCATGCTCACCAAAGAGTTGCCTATCTTTCCGCCCCTACCACACAAAACAAAGAATGGTACCCGTAGCACTCATAGACGCAGCAATCTAGAATTCTTTTAACCAGGTGACTGCAAACCTGACTTGGCTCACAATCCGATTCCGGTCCACATGGGAAGAGGTTTCCATCCCATCTCCTTTCCCCTCTCCCTCACCCGTCTTCCTTTCCCTCTCCCCTCTCCCTCTCCTTCTCCCCTCTCCCTCTCCCCTCACCTTCTCTCTCCCTCGTCCTCACTCACTAACATTAATCCCAGGACGTGGCTTGATGCCTGCCTGCCTGCCTGCCTGCCTGCCTGCCTGCGTGCCTCAGCATACACCGCATCCCACCCTACTGCATCTACAGCTTCTCCTCCGCAGGCTGTAAGGGACAGGGAGGCAGGCAGCTGGGGAGATCACCCGAGCCGACAAGCGTTTCTCATGGATGGGCGTGAGGGGAGTGAGGGCGAGTAAGAGAGAGAGAAACATCGGGATGAACAGACGGAAACATGGGGGTTGTGCAGCAGCGCGAGCACGTTTTTGTTGAATAATGGCGTCTGGCATGAAGAGGGTTTTTTTGAGGCGCCTCAAAAAACACCTTAATGTACGCGTTTTTGTTGAATAATGGCGTCTGGCATGAAGAGAAAACAAGAGGAAGGAAATGAGGATGAGAAAAGAAGGATTTAGGGGATATGTGAATGCATGAGAGGGAAAGTCGAAAATAATCAGGAAGAAAGCGAGGAAGAGAGCGAGGAAGGGAGTTTGCGGCGGGAAATACACAGAAAAGGAGAAAGAGGAACAGCTGAACACTTGGGGTGCAGCAGGTGAGGGGAAAAACTTCATGCCTATCACAGAATTTCTGGCACGCGAAACCGAAAGAGACTTACGCGGGAAGGAAGACAACGCAACACGGTGTCAATCACTTCCGACAAGAAATAGCCACGCGGGAAAGAAAATAACGCAAACGATGCAGGATGTGTAAAGGACCTCCGGGAGCTAGCTCGCATTCGCGCGATCCGCGATTCGATCCAGAACCTGCTGAAAGCGGCTAGCCGTCTCTGAAATCCAAGGCGGCGGCGGAGCGTACGAGCGCATGCGGGAGGCGCAAAAGCCGCCGCTTCCGCCGATTCTTCCGCCTAGCAATGAATCCGTGATCGTTGCTTCGATGGTACACTTCCAGCAATCGTGACTGCTAAAGCAAACCCATGCGCGACCCATTTCGAGAGAACAGCAACTGCACCGTCACGCGAGCACTGGGAAATGGCTGCTGACTGGCGTCAGCGCGATTCGGAGGTGACGGGAACGAGCAGGCAAGGAAAGCTAGGCGCTGTGTCTCGTATAGCAGGCACGAGCGATGCCAGATTTGGGAGAGGTTGACTGATGAAAATGAAGCGGTGCAGTTCGGCTGAGTGAGCGCATCGCGCAATGCGCAACCAGCGGGTGAGGAAAGCGAGCTGGTGCCAGAGGAGAATCAGTGGTGCAGTTCGGCTGAGTGAGTGCAACGCGCCAAAACAGTTCTTGCTAGTTATATCAGCGTATAAATTTTTAACAACAACACAACTCAACCTCACACTTCACAAAGCAGCAACCGTGCATAATCCACAAGACAAGAATCTTAATTGATAAGAACAGACATGGTTTTTGCCGATGTTGTTCTCGCATCATATTTACAACCCTTCCGATTTTCAGGAAAGAAATATTGGTGTTCTAATATGCATGAAATGGTATTGATGGTTGAAAATGCAGAAGGTTCAGGACGAGGAGCTCCTTAGAGAGTACAAATTCGCCATTCGGATCTGACCTCGATCTCATCCCTCAAGTTCTCAGTTTCGGAGCTTCGCTGCCGAACCTGTCTTCCTTCGATTGCGGGAGGCACAGCAGCACCACCCTTAGGCATTTTCGGCAATGGGAGTACCCCAGAGGTTCGTCAGCGCTTCGAGTGCGGTCGGGCAGGCGAAATCTATTGTTTCATGCCGTCGACTTTGTAGGAATGAATCTTCGCTAGCGCGCAGCGGAAAACTTTCTGTCGGAGGCAGGAAACACGATAGAATCGGGAGTAGAATTCGTTTACCCGCGAGGACCCTGCGCGAGAGTCGGTTCACCAGCAAGAATTCGTTCCCATTTTCGTGGTTCCGGTAAAGACCGCGCGGGGCAGCATGAGTGCACGGTTCCGATTTTTCGGAGGTGCTCAGGCAGCAACGGAGAACAGTTCCTCCATTTTTCCGAAACTCCCTCCTGTGAGTGTCCCCTCCACGCAGCCTCCATCCCTTCCTCTCCTGTTGCTCGTCTCGTTTACAAATCTAACGCACAGAAGTTTCATTTTCAGAATTAAGAATCCAGCTTCTTCTTGTTCTGTTGATTGAGCCTTTTTCTAGCAAGTTCAGACCTCGTTCTTATTATCGTTTTCTCAGACCTTTTTCTTTATCTAGTTCCCGCGGTACCTCGACGTTCTAGTGTTCAGATTCTCTTCGTTTTTTCCCTCCCATGGCTTGTTATGATTACCCCTCATTTGCCGAGGCTGTGGCCATGTGGGAGAAGCGCGGCACGCTGCTGCGGATGAAGCATTATGCACCGATCCGTGCATCTGCTGAGTACCCACGATCGCTGAAATCTTTAGCCTTTGGAGGAAACGGGCTGCAGAGGTGCAGGCCCTACGCCGTGCTCTTTTTTTCTCCCCGGCTCACTATCCTGCAGTCGAGGAGGCGGGCTGGTGGAGCACATCTTATGCGGACCAGGACGAGCAGCAATCGGAGGCAGAGGTCATTGAGGAGGTGGACTCGTGGACCACGTCTTGTGCGGACCTGGAAGAGAAACAAGCTGAAGCAAAGGTCGTCGAGTTGGTGCTCTCGCTGCTTGATGCTTCAGAGGGCGAGCGCTCGGGGGATGATTTCGATCTGAGCAGCAGTGACGCCAGCAGCAGTGACGCCAGCAGCAGTGACGCCAGCAGCAGTGACGCCAGCAGCAGTGACGCCAGCAGCAGTGACGCCAGGGTCTTCGGTTCTGAATCCTCTAGCACGAGCAGTGGATTCAGTGACAGCAGCAGCAGCGATGACGCCAGCGATGACGCCAGCGTGGTCGGTTCGGAGGCGTCCAGCAGCAGCGGTTTCAGTGACAGCAGCAGCAGCAGCGCCTTCAGTGGCAGCAGCAGCAGCGGTTTCAGTGACAGCAGCAGCAGTGCCTTCAGTGACAGCGCCTTCAGTGACAGCAGCAGCAGCGGTCAGAGTGGCTTCCGTGACTGCAGCTTCAGTGACAGCAGCTGCAGCGGCTCCCAGGAGGAGCCTCCCACTCTGATGACCGCTTGCAGTGCTGCCTACAGGTTTAACAGCTGCTACAGCAACAATCACATCAATGGCAGCAGCGAGAGCGAGGTGCTGTTGGATCTCCTGCTCCTGCTGAGCTCATCTGCAGCGAGCAGGAGTGT